TGAGTTTACCTAAAGTCTGGTCTCCACAACCATCAGGTGCTGCAGAAGAGTACTTGAGGGAAGACTTTGCCACAATTTTCCTCACAAGGCTAAATCCATTGCTGTGGAGACCAGATGAGGCTATTCCAACAACAACATCCCCTTCGGTGATCCTCTCTAGATGAGGGAGTTTCTGATCCCGCTCCATGGCACCAACAGCAAAACCAGCGAGGTCATACTCGCCAGGAGGATACATGTCAGGCATTTCTGCTGTTTCCCCTCCTGGTAAGTTACAAGCAAATACACCACACTGTACTTATAAATATGTTTAGGAAATAATGACACCAGCTACTCCTACCAGAAACAATTTGGCTATATCCTGTATTCTATTAGCTGCCTAACTGCATGTTCAATCAAGCATGATTTCAAGGGAAATAGCACTAATTTCTACAAGGGGCGAGATAAAGTAACAGCTCTGTAAGCCCTTATGTAGCCTCCAAACATCATAGGACAAATGTTCAGTTGAATATAGTATCACTTTTACAGCAGCTTGGTTTAAGAAATGCTTTCATATTCATTTGAAAGCATTTTCTATTTTTGCTCCATCTTCCAGGTAACGGCGCAGCTTAGAGAAATAATTTGTTCAGGATCCCCCACATCCAAAATGTCTTGGCCCACAATGTATAGCGTAAGATAGAAGGTAGGGCAGGCAGACTCCAAATTAGAAACTGTGTTCTAAAAGGTGGCTGAAAGGCAATTTTTGGCCTTTAGGTCAAATTTGTCCACAGAAATGGTAAGATGAAAGAGTTAGTTTTGTTCCTTGGTCCACCTAACAATTTACTTTGCTAAAAATAAATGTATTTATTTCTCAGATATTGTTAAGCAGTATTTCCATAAAACCTGAATACATTTTATCTTTTATGTCAGTTCTATGGGAAAATATGGCTTAATATTTCTAATCCCAGGAACTCATCTGCACAGCCGTGGGAGCAGTAAGGAGAAAAAAAAAAAAAATTCTTTTTAGCCTATCTGTTGCAGCTCCTGAGAAAGATGGAAGGAAACAGAAAAGGTGACCTAAGACCAGGGAGAGAGATAAGTTGCCTGACAAGATAGGCATACAGGCATGGAGGGCAAATCCTTGGGGTGTTGAGGGCACAAGATGTTAAGGCTAATCCCGGCAGTTTTATTTCTATTTCGTTTGGCATGTGTTGGATATAGTCTCTCACTAACTATACTGGCACTGACCACATATATGACTAGTACACAGTAAGAAGGACTTATGATAAGAGTGGATAATCATACCAAGGAGAGCACATCCAGCTTGTCCACAAGCTTTAGCGACTCCAGCTACAACGGCTTCAGTTGTGCCAAGGTCAAGCTTTCCACAGGAAAAGTAATCAAGGAAGAAGAGGGGTTCTGCTCCTTGTGCTAGAATATCATTTACACACATTGCAACCAAATCTTGACCAATGGTATCGTGTTTATTGCACAGTTGAGCAATCTACAGGAGAATAATACAAACATTCACAATTGAGAAGAAGCTCCATATTGTATGTTGTCAATTTAGTCATGGAAGTTAACAAACCACTGGCTTTAGCTAGCTGCTTGTAACCCCTCAAGACAAAAGAATACTACATTCTGACAGGGCATTTGATCTAAAATTATCTTTTTATCTAAAAAGATAAAATATCCTAAAATTATCACCTAAAATATCCTTCCTTCCAAATACAGCCTTGATATTTTGTTAGGAATGTTGACAATGTAGCCATATGAGTAACATATAGTTATTTGGCATAGCTCTTTCAGCCTATATATTGCAAAAGAAGAAAAACAAAGATTTGTATGCAGAATAAAGACCTAAAGATAATGAACATAAGTGCAAAAGGGGGACTGTTTGGGGAGCAACAAGCTGGAGGGGAGAAGACAAAAGGGGAGAGTGATGAGGAGGGGCAAATATGACCAAAGTATTTGATAACCATGTATAAAAACAGAATAATGAAACCTATTAAAATTGTAAAAACCAAAAAACAATAAAAAACCCCCCTGAAGACAAAGCAAAACAAATGGGAGCAGGGGACATAAGAAAGAGTAATAGAGGGAATGAATTTGATCAAAGCATATTATGTGCATGCAAGGACACATCACAATGAAACCTCTTTGTACAATAAATACACACTAATAAAATAATTAAAACACGTATTTGATAAACAGTAAATTCCCTCTTATCTTTCACAAAGCCTTTATTCACAGTGGTATCTGGTTACCTTCAGTTTAGTCCCAACACCGTCTGTTCCAGAGGCCAGAAGAGGATCTTTGAAACCCGCAGCCTTCAAATCAAAAAGACCAGCAAACCCTCCAAGATCAACATCACAGCCTGTTGGAGAGGAAACTAATTACTTACTGCATTTTAATAGACTAGTTAAACATGAATATTTATGCCACTTCTTCCTAAAAACAGCTTAAAACAAGAGCTGTCTTCCTTGAGAATGGCAGACAGCACCATTTACTCAAAAGAATTGATCAAGAAGGCAGAAGACAGTTGGGTTGGGCTTAAGTAGGGCAAGACTTAGGAGGAATCTGACATTAGTCGGAAATTTTTTCTCAAATAAAAAGCCCAAATCAATTCATGTCTATCAAAGTTAATGAATTAGCAAAGTATAGGATTTGACTTACCTGGTCTAGAGGTGGCTTTTGCTAAAGGCTGAATTTTCTTAACTAGCGTATTTCCAGCTGAAATGTCTACACCAGATCCCTTATATGTCAGGCCCCTAAAGAAACAAAAATAAATGTTAATATTACCTTAACACCAGGGAAATTTTAGTATTAAAAAATAGTTGTTAAAGCAGAAGATAGTCCAAGTGATTTTTACATTCTCTAAAGTGCTTAACCTTAAAGTTAGACCCCATCCATACAAAATCTGATTTAACTAATCTAGGGAGGACCCTGGGAATTGAAATGCATTTAAACACCTTCCTAGTTGATTCAGTTGTATAATTTCTATTGAGAACCACTACTTGAACATAATCACTTATTTCTTCCAGAAGACTTCTCATAGGCTGCTAAATATTCAGTCACAGAATGTTTTCATAGAAGGCAACACTACACTGCATTCTCAGTCATGGAACCATGTTGGTTTCTGATTCAGTTTCTTTTTTCTGTTTCTGTTTTTTGGCAGTACTGGGGTTTGAACTCAGGGCCTGTGCTTGCTAGGTTGGTGCTCTACCACTTGAACCCTACCCCCTGCTCAACTAAGTTTTTTTTATTTGCATGAAACACACATGAAATTTACCATCTTAACTATTTTTAACTGTAGAGTTCAGTGGTATTAAATTCTGATAGTGCTGTGCAGCCACCACACCATCCATGTTCCATTAACTTCATCTTACAAAACTGAAACCATCTCTCCACGAAGCAGTAGCTCCCACACTCCTGGCTCTCTGGCACCTGGAAGTCACCATTCTACTTTCTTCTTCTTTTTTTTTTTGAGACACGGTCTTCTAATATAATCCAGACTTGCCTTGAACTTGTGATCCCCCTGCCTCCAGCTCCAGTGCTGGGATTACAGTTCTTGCCACCATGCCTAGCTTATTCTTTTAAGTATACTGACATTTTGTCACAACTTTTCTCAGTTTGGTTTTAGTGTGGGTAGGAAAGGAATGCAAAACCAAGTAAAACTTAGGGTTATAAGAACTCTGTAAGGGCTGGCAGACTAGCAAGCATGAGGCCCTGAATTCAAACCTCAGTATCACCAAAAAGTAAAGAATTCTATAAAAATTTCCTAAAAAATCAATCTGAGTTTTTACTGCAATAATACATAACTGCTTCAGTTTTTCGATAGCTGAGGACAGTAGAAACAATATTAAACATCATAAAAAAATGCAAAACCTGGTAATGATACTCAGTATATTTTTAGAAATCATATCTGAGTAACACTGTAAACTCAGTAGTTTTGCCTTGCAAAAATGAGAACTTTGGCTTACTGGGATGGAGTGGTAGATGACACATGAAGTTTTATTAAAAACAAGCAATCAAGATATAACTAGAGTTGAGAGCACTAGTAATGAACTCAAAGTCAGATTCACTCTCAGAAGGAAATGAAATCTACTAGTTTAAAAAGTCTCTCAGGCACCAACTGGCATTGTGGCACCTCGTTTTTTCAACTTAAAGAATTCAGACTAGAATTAAGATTCTGGTCCCTTGAAGTAGGTCATTTCCATGGAATCTAGTCATTTTAAAATGAAAAAGTTTTAGCACAGCATTTTAATGTTATTCATTCTAAAACAAAATTGAATAAAATAAAAATTCCACTCAAGTGGTAGAGCACCTGCCTAGCAAGCACAAGGCCCTGCGTTCAAACCCTAGTATTGCAAAAACAAAACAAAACAAAAAACTAATTTTTGAACTTTAAAAAAAATTTGCCTCTCACCTCTCACTAATAGTACAATTGACTTAAATGGCTAAAAATTATTTATTCTAAAATATATTCATCACCCATTAAAGATTTTAATGAACAACAGTAAATGTGACATATAAGAAACCAAAACACTCAAATTGCAGCCAAGAGTTTATTGATTTTACGAGGACATAGCTGTACATGTCAACAAATGAGCCAATAATGGGTCAAAAAACACTTCAGTAATATATCAAGAAAATTCAGTGACAAATGAGACTACCAAAACTGACAGGGCAATCAAAATAAGGTTAGAAAGAGCAATACTGTCATCTTGAGTTCTTTGACAAAATCAGGAATTATGGTTTGAATACAAAAATAATATTTAATTATGTAATAATAATTCATGGGATAAAAAATCCTTTTACTGTGATCCTGCTAAACTTTAAAGGAGCTACCATGAAGTTTTTCCCATTTAACCTGAATATTACTAAAAACAGTTTTGATTCAAACAAAATACAAGATCAGATCAGCCTATACAATGACTTAGTATAGGGCTAACAGAATTTCCTCCAGGACCACTTAGGCTAGTTCTGAAACCGTGCCCACAACTACTTCAGGAGAGAGGTTTTTACCTGGGCTGCTGGAGGAAGGCTATGGCGTGAAAACCGATGTCCTTCCTATAGACTGCTCCCTCAAACTTGATAACAGCCAGTCCTCTCCTGGCTTCTTCAAGGGCTGCTGTGAGATTTTCCCGGATGGCTGTGACTGTAAGGACTCTTCCCCCACTGGTCACTACTTTGCCATCTTTTAGGGCAGTGCCTGCATGGAACACCTCTAGTCCTAAAGCTTGAGCCTCAGGAAACCCTGTAAAGGAGCAAATTTGACAAGATGTTTACACTGTGAAATGATTTACAATTTCCACAAAAATTAAAAAAAAATTCCTATCATGGGCTGGGGACATGGTTCAACTGGTAGAACACTTGCCTAACATGCATGAGGCCCTAGGTTTGAGTCCCCAGTATTATACATACATATACCACCCCTAAAACATTCCTATCAGGCAGGGAGTAAGACTACATAATAGTAAATAAACCTCTTCTTGTAAAAACAGTCTGCTCTATTTTAGGATGACAACTTTATTCCCGAAACCTTGTATTATGGTAAATCTCAATAAAAACTTTGTGTTGCTGGGTGCCAGTGGCTCACACCTATATTCCTAGCTACTCAGGAGGCAGAGATCAGGAGGACTGCAGTTTGAAGCCAGCCCTGCCAAATAGTTCTCGGGACCCTATCTCGAACAAACCCATTACAAAAAAGGGTTGGTGGAGTAGCTCAAGGTGTAGGCCCTGAGTTCAAACCCCAGTACCACAAAACAAACAAACAAAATAACCTTGTGCTACAGTGACTCTCAATGAGGAAACCGAACAAAACAAGATGCATGAGTGGTTTGAGACCTATTTTCTCTTCATAAGAGGTTAAAAATTCAAAGAGACATGAAACCTAAGCACCAATAATTAAAATTTTGCATCTGATCACATCTAACTCCTAAGCATTATTTGTTTCCTTTATCATAGTCATTAAGTACGGTTGTTTTCTATTTTCTTTTTTGTGGTACTGGGGATGGAACCCAGCCCTGTACATGCTAAGCAAGCACTCTAAAATGAAGTCACATTCCCAGCCTATTTTCTTTTCTTTTAAAATAACCAACAATGGACTGAAACTAGATCCATGTATATCACCCTATACCAATATTAACTCAAAATGGATAAAGGATCTTAATATCAGACCACAAACTCTAAAGTTAGTACAGGAAAGAGTAGGAAATACTCTGGAATTAATAGGTATAGGCAAGAACTTTCTCAATGGAACCCCAGCAGCACAGCAACTAAGAGACAGCATAGATAAATGGGACCTCAAAAAACTAAAAAGCTTCTGCTCAACAAAAGAAATGGTCTCTAAACTGAAGAGAACACCCACAGAGTGGGAGAAAATATTTGCCAGCTACACATCAGACAAAAGTCTGATAACCAGAATCTATAGGGAACTTAAAAAACTAAATTCTCCCAAAATTAATGAACCAATAAAGAAATGGGCAAGTGAACTAAACAGAACTTTCTCAAAAGAAGAAATTCAAATGGCCAAAAAACCCATGAAAAAATGCTCACCATCTCTAGTAATAAAGGAAATGCAAATTAAAACCACACTAAGATTCTACCTCATCCCTGTTAGAATAGCCATAATTAGCAACACCAACAACAGGTGTTGGTAAGGATGCGGGGAAAAAGGAACCCTCTTACACTGTTGGTGGGAATGTAAACTAGTACAACCACTCTGGAAAAAAATTTGGAGGCTACTTAAAAAGCTAACCATATGATCCAGCAATACCTCTCTTGGGGATATACCCAAAAGACTGTGACACAGGTTACTCCAGAGGCACCTGCACACCCATGTTTATTGCAGCACTATTCATAATAGCCAAGTTATGGAAACAGCCAAGATGCCCCACCACTGACGAATGGATTAAGAAAATATGGTATCTATACACAATGGAATTTTATGCAGCCATGAAGAAGAACGAAATGTTATCATTTGCTGGTAAATGGATGGAATTGGAGAACATCATTCTGAGTGAGGTTAGCCTGGCCCAAAAGACCAAAAATCGTATGTTCTCCCTCATATGTGGACATTAGATCAAGGGCAAACACAACAATAGGATTGTACTTTGAGCACATGATAAAAGCAAGAGCACACAAGGGAGGGGTAAGGATAGGTAAGACACCTAAAAAATTAGCTAGCATTTGTTGCCCTCAACTCAGAGAAATTAAAGCAGGTACTTTAAAGCAACTGAGGCCAATAGGAGAAGGGGGCCAGGAAGTAGAGAAAAGGTTAGTCCAAGAAGAATTAACCTAGAGGGTAACACACACACTCAGGAAATCAATGTGAGTCAACTCCCTGTATAGCTATCCTTATTTCAACTAGCAAAAGCCCTTGTTCCTTCCTATTACTGCTTATACTCTCTCTTCAACAAAATTAGAGATAAGGGCAAAATAGTTTCTGCCGGGTAAGCAAGGGGGTAGGGAGGGAGGGGGGGATAGGGAGGGGGTGGGTGAAGGGGGAGAAATGACCCAAACATTGTATGCACATATGAATAAAATAAACATTAAATAAATAGATAAATAAATAAAAGTAAAATTTAATCATGCCAAGACCTTGGAATTTTAACATATTAATTGGGTCATTTAAAAAAAAAGAATCTGTATTATAGTACATTTTAAATAAAAATGTTATAAAATAAAAAACACAAAACAAAACCAACAATAGGCTTGCAGCATGGCTCAAGTGGTAGAGTGCCTGCCTAGCAAGTGCAAGTCCCTGAGTTCAAACCCCAGTACCACTGACCCAACAGGGTCAGTATAATGCACAACATGTTCATAAATAATCTCCACCCTATATAACAACTATAACATTTTGAGATAGATTTAAGTTAAATTTTGAGATTGGCCCCAAAATCCCTGGCTTCATTTTCTTTGAATTATTTCTCTCAGATAAACTTTTACACTTAAAATCATTATTAGACTACATCCTCAAAACTGTAAAGTGACCAAGGTAGACAGTTCATACAAAGATAAACCCCCCTCTTAGTTTTTGGAAAAAAAAATGTATTTCTATCTCTAGTTTGTCTTTTTCCTTCCCCTTTCCTTCTTTTAGCATCCCACACAGTAATTTGTAGTTTCTTGTTTTTACACAGCTTCCCTGAGTGTTCTGACAACACAGTCATTCAATCACAGGCACTTAATACCAACTGGTATTGGTAATACCCAATTCTTTTTTTTTTGGCGATACTGGGATTTGAACTCAGGGCTTCATGCATGCTAGGCAGGTGCTCTACCACTTGAACCACTCTGCCAGCCCCCAATATGCTTTAGTGGAAATGACCAATACACTTCTTGCCTCAACTTAAGGGAAATTTCACAAATACAAGTGATCTTGGTTTAATCTTATCTCTTTCTTTGCCCACCTTCAAAGGAACTTAACTGTCTAGGTGTCATGTGTGGGATTCAAAGGGCAACAGACTTGTCATCTGGGCAAAAGTGTAAATAGGGTGTTTGAATCAAGCATACTGTAGGAGTACTAGGAAAGGCTAAACTATAGCCTACTATGGTCACAGAGGTCTGCCTTTGGGCTTTTGGCCCTGGAACTTATTGGGCATTTTTAAACACTGATTTTTAAATAACATTTAACTAGATGCTTCACTTTCTGTAAAGAAAAAGTGAAGAGAAAGCTATATTTTTCAAACTGTTTGCAATCTGTCATCCAAATGTATATGGGCTACAATGTAAACTAAGAGTTCAAACCACGTAAAACTGTATGCACCTATAAACCACTGATATGGTTTATACTAATGTTCCTCTATCACATTATTACCACCCTAAGTAAGATAAATGTATGTATGTATGTATGTATGTATTTATTTATTTACGTGTACTGGGGCTTGAACTTAGGGCCTCAGGTTTGCTAGGCAGGTATTCTACCACTTGAGCCACTCTGCCAGCCCTTTAAATACAATAAGTTTGCATATTTGAACACATATATCCAACAAGCAATGTGGTTACGCTTGAAAACCTCCAAAGGGTTTGATGGCTTCATTTTCGTAACAGGAGCAGGCATTTGCATGAGAGGGAGGCCAACTGTAGTACTGGTTACTTGTCACATTGCAATCTGACCTCTTGTTCCCTGCTGTTTACCTGTTATCTCTACACCCTTGGTATAGGCTCCAGGATAACCTTTACTTGCCATGACAATAGTTATGGCAGTGTAGTTTTCTAGCCAAATAGGTAGAGATGTACCCAGCAGGCCATCTAAGGTGGACTGAATCACTTCATAAAGATCACTTTGAAGAAGTGGGAGAATTACCTGGGAAAACAAAATCCACATGGCAGGTGAGGTAAGTTTCAGTTTTTCTTAGACATTTTTTTTATTCAAATATTAGTAGAGTTTGCATGTGTTTCTCAAAGGTAATCATTTCAAGGTTGACAAATCCTGAGATCAAAACAATGCACATCTACAAAGTAATAATTTTTCATCTCTAATTACTGTTACCCACTTGGCACTCTGGATCACCAAAACGGCAATTGAACTCCAAAACTTTTGGGCCATCCTTGGTCAGCATTATGCCAGCATAGAGAATTCCTTTATTAAAAAAGAAAAAAAGGAGAAAAGAAATCTGTATGACGACCTTGTATTATGACTACATAATCTAGAATATAAGTTTCTAATACTCAGATTTGGAAAAATCATAAATATTATAATAATGGCCCATTAAAACGTGGTAGAAAAGAAGAGAAAATGGCAAGTTTTATCAGAAGAGGAAAGTTACTCTGTAAATGATTCTCACGTGCTTACCTGTGTATGGAGTACCCTCCTGCTGCATGCCATCTACGGTCCTCTGAAGAATAGTGTTTTTAATTTTTAGTAACAAGTCCTTAGAAATCTGGGGAATACACAGAAATACTTAAATGTAGCTGGTATCACTACCCAGGACAGGCTGAGCACTTCAAGCTCATCAGCTTTTAAATCTTCACAATGCCCATCAAGTAGATACTTTAGGTTTACTTGTACAGATCAGGAAAGAACTCAAAGAACTAAACTATATCTTACACCCAGGACACAGAGTAAGCAGCATGTTTACTTTCTCTTTGTCTGCAGATCTACAAGCTCATTTTTTTTTTAAAAACTATTCCTTAATGCCTCACTAAAGACACAGAAATTTTAATGTTTAAGTATTACTCTGAGTCTGGTAAATTACCACAAGTATAAATTGCATTAGATGTTTATTGTTAAACAAGAGTTCAGTGCCAACCACCACTTCTCCAGTAAGGCAATTTTTATTTATTTATTTTTGGCTGTACTGGGGTTTGAATTCAGGATTTCATGCTTGCTAGGCAGATGCTCTACTGCTTGAGCTACTCCACCAGCCCAAGTAAGGTAAATTATTAAATCACCTCTCATTACTAAACCTCTGGATTTTCAAAAGTATATACCATTAAAGTATATTACCCAAAATAGTTTCCTGAACATACTAAAAGCAAACAGTGCTCTCTCCCCTCTGATGATCTTTTCTATATCTTCCAGGACACTTAATGAATACTTATTAGAAACTGATGCACTTATAAATCTGAGTTTATAAATTTAATTGTGAAAATTAGACCTAGACATAGTTCTTACATTAAAACATTTAGCAATGGAGGTGTGGCTCAAGTGGTACAGCACCTGCTTAGGAAGCACAAAGCCCTGGGTTCAACCAGTACCGCCAAAAAATAAAAGTAAATAAAAATAAATCAAATCAAAATTACCAAAGGGCAGTTTCAGATTTATAAAGCCTAATGAAAGGTAAAGTTTGGTTTGGCTTTAATCTTAAAATCAAGAAAAACATATAAAAGGTACTGTATTGGTACAAACAATTATTACTATCACCAATGAAAAGAACTGGGTGAGTTTCTATAATGCTAACCTACACATATTCTAACAATGCATATTTTAATTAAAACTTTCCATAAGAACAAATTATGGTCTGATCTGGTTCTCCACTCATTGTCATCCTCTCTCTCTCTCTCTCTCTCTCTCTCTCTCTCTCTCTCTCACACACACACACACACACACACACACACACACACACACACTCTCACACTTCATGTGTCGGACCCTGGCTATCCAGAAATGAAAATGGTAACTGGATATAGAGAGGAGCTAGGGGATTGGAAATTTATTTAATTCTTTCTATATTTCAGATTAATTAAAAATTAAATGGGCTATTTTAGTTCTTCAAAGACTTTTAGAAAAAAATTTATTTTCAGAGACTGGAAGAGGTATTTTTCATTTTAAGTCAAGCTGCCAATTAGTAACAGAAGCAAACAAACCAGAAAAAAACAGAAAAGCATCATCTAAGAATTACTGAACTTGAGCAGAGCTCCTGGAAGTACCTGAGGTGCTGGGCAGTAGGCTCCCATTCCACCAGTGTTGGGCCCCTGATCTCCCTCCAGTAATCGCTTATGGTCCTGGGCTGGGGGCATTGGGGCCACTGTCTTCCCATCAGTGAAACACAGACACTGAAGAAAACAAAATAATCTTCTTCGGTTAAATGCCAAAAAGTAAAAAAAAAAAAAAACATAAGAAGGTATATTACATGTACGTTAACTCTTCTTAGAAGAAAAGTTATCTTTTTCTGAAGAACAATTAATTGAAAAACCATAAAAAACCTCAAGTTACATACATCGACATCTTTTTTTTGGCGATACTGGAGTTTGAACCCAGAGCTCTGAGCTTTCAAAGCAGGTGTTCTACCACTTGAGTCATGCTGCCAGTCCATTTTGCTCTGGTTATTTTGGAGATGGAAGTCTTGCGAACCATCTGTCTCGGCTGGCCTCTAACTGAGATTCTCCCAGTCTCAGCTTCCTGAGTAGCTAGGATTACAGGTATGAGCTACCAATGCCTGGCTTCGCTACTTATTGTATAATAAATTATATATGAAAGAAAAACTAGAATGTTTGAATTAATCCAGACCTTAATAATGTGTGATGTAAGTCCAAATGCTCCCACTAATACACTGGGAATGATTAAAAGAGGATAAATTCTTTTTTCATTTGAATCCCAGATACTAAATGTATGTAAATGTTTTTGAAACTTCTGGTTTTATGTCTTCAGATGAAGCACCCAGAGGAAATCAAGACTCTTTTGGGTGCTTTCATCTACAGCGACTTCTAGTGTGCTGTAAAAGTCAAAAAGGAATATACGTACAGACACCTCTTCTCCTTCAAGAAGTTCTTCAATGACGACTGTTTCTCCAGCTACTCCAAAAGCTTTCTCCTAGTGTAGTTTTTTAAAACAAAACAAAACAAAACACAGTTGGTAAACTGTAAGATTTTAATATTTATCTAGTTGATTTTTGTAATTATACATTATTTGTATCATGAAAGTCTATATGAGCATTGTAATTTTTCTTTCCCTTTCTTAAAGACTCAGAATAGGAATGTTTCCTGTTTTTAATATTGCAGTGACCTTCAACAAACACTGGTACAGATGAAATGACACATTACTGATACTCTCATGAGGATTTGGTTTGGTTTTATAGTTTCAAATAAGGGAAAAAAAGATGGTTTCATATTTGCCAATTTTTTTTTTTTTTGTGGCACTGAGGTTTGAACTCAGGGCCTCACCACTTGAGGCACTCTGTCAGCCCACGAATCAATCTTTACTCCTGATAATGACCATGTATGTTTGTGTACAATAATTATATGAATGCATGCCTGTGAAGGTAGGTTTCTCTGAGGAGTAAAATCATAAAAACCAAGATGGATCATGAAAGAAAGACTACATTCATTCACTGCTTCACTTCTCTGCGACCTGGGACATATGGGACACGTACCCTGGTCCTCATGGATGGCTGGAGGACTTATTTGTATGTCCTATGGTCTGAGTATTTTCTACCTTTAGTAGCACAAACAAAAGATGTTAGAACTTACTTCAGAAGAATAAATTATGGTTTAGTCATCAGTGTGGATACATAATAACCATTTTATAGAGATGGTTTACAATACACAGTATTATAAAAAAGTAACTCACCTGTGTGTTTGGTAGATAGATTTGCTTAAGAAACAATTTGTAAACTTAAAAAAGCACTTATTGGGGGTGAATAGAAAATAAAACTTTCAGAAGAATTATTCTACCTGCATGATCTCCTGAACAGCTTTGCAAGCCTCCTCTTTGCTCTTTGCAACGATCACCCCTTTCCCAGCTGCAAGACCACTGGCTTTCACAACCAAAGCAGGGAAGTCTGCACTGTGAAGACAGAGCAGCCTTCATCACTCAACAAATCTTTGCAACTTCAAATTTTAAAATGTTTTTGTAATGATATGCTATAGCAGTAACTGAAAAGCAGAAAGAAAAATTGTTATTCTAATACCACTTTGATGTACTTCCAACCAGGAATTTTTTTCCTTATGCATTGCTTTATAATTTTGATCACACAGTATGTAACAATTTTGCTTTTTTCACTTACAGGGAGATCACATAGGCAAAATTTTTAGAAGCAGAGGCATATTTATAGACTAGATATAGAATGATATTTAAGATACAAAGTAGTAAGATCAGTGTAAGCAGGGACACACAGATCATTTCTGGAAGCACACACCAGAAGCTATGGAGTGGGACTGAGGATTTGGAAGGTGGCTTACCCAAAGTAAGTAACAAATCTGTTACTTACCCAAGGCATCTGGCTACTAGATAATAATAATATTCAGTGTCTAAGAAACCCTGTAGGATAAAGAATAGATAAACAATGAACTTGACCCAGTTGAAGGAAAACATACCAGGTAGCAGGAGTACCACAATGAAATGGGCAAAGGCATGTGCCAATGAACATTTATTAATTGCTCAATGTTTTTCATATATAAATGAAAAAGCTCGAAGTGTAAATGGAACAAAAGATGTTTAATTATAAGATTTAGAATGTAGTGGTGACACATGACCAAATGACTCTTCATTCTGGTTAATTATTTGTGATAAAAATCAGTAACTCTTATATTATGAAGTGCTACTGTGTAAATCTGGCTGTGAAAACAGCACATGACTTGCAGAAGCAAGTGTATCATTCCCCCTAGAAACTATCCAGTAATAAAAATGAAAATTTCTTCCTCTTGTAAGGCTACAAGACCGTATACATAGAATTCCACCTTATTTTGGTGTTGGAAAAGGTAACTTACCTAATATCTGAAAATATTTTTTCATTTCGTTTTCTTTGTTTGGTGGCACTGGGGTTTGAACTCAAGGCCTTTCTACCACTTGAACCATACTTCCAGCCCTGACAATATTTTTTCCATAATTGTCTCACTATAAAATCTTCATAGTCTAAGAACCAAGCATTGTATTTTCAACATAAAAGTGACATTATATTTAAATACCATTTCACAGGCAGCCTTCCACCTACCTCATAATAAAGCTGCAGGCTTCTTCAGGCTTGGTGAAAGCTCTCCATTGTGCAGTTGGGATTCCGTGTCGGTCCATAAACTCTTTGGCAAATCTTTTGCTAGACTCCAGCTGAGCTGCTTCTGCTGTGGGGCCAAAGCATCGCACACCTGCAGAGGTCAAGTCCCCAACGATTCCTATAGATGCAAACAGTCACTTAGGGGACTCAGGGTCTCTCTGGGGACTTTTTAGTCTGAATGTGAATTACTATTAGATTAAATTTACATTTAGATAAAGCAGACAACTGCTGGAGGGGAAAAATAAGTTTTTCATGTTGTATATTGTTAATTAATGAAATATTATTAAGAGGTGGTTCAAATCCAGCAAAAGAACTGGGCAATGTGACACGCTTGAAGTTAAAGTTACTCGAAAGGCTGAGGCAGGAGGACTGTTTATGTCTAGGAGCCGGAGACCATTCTGGGCAACAGAGTAAGACCTCATGTCAATAAAAACCAAAAAAAACCCCCAAAACCAAAACAAAAGAAGTCTGGCAAAAGTTAGTTGTTATTTTGTATATATTGATTTAGATACCAGAATAGAGCAGAATAAAGAAACGTTGCTCACAATTACAAATTTGAATTCTAGCTCATCATAGTACTGAGGTTTTTGGAGAAAGACAATCTAGAACTCATAAATTTCAAGAGTGAAAGCTCTCTAGCACATTATAGGCTTTTGTCCATGAAGTGGATTGGACCAGATGATCACTGAGCTCCAGTTGGTATTGCACGCATCCTCACAAAAAACAGAAGGGAACTTTACCAGCAGCCAAAGGTGCCTCTGGTCCAACAACCACAAATTCAACTTTCTCGTCTTTGCAGAACTGAGCCAGGGCAGTGTGATCACTGACTGAGACAGCTGTGAACAGAGAACATAAGCCACCACACTTATAAGAATGTGTTTCAATTAACTAAGTACAATACTTCAGTCTGTTAATTCTTGGTTCTATTGGCACAGTTAATAGTTTCACCACGAGAAATTTGCAACTGAATGCAATGTGCTAAGCAACAAAACTCAGCTGTCTATCACTGTAGTCACTTACATGATGAGAATACCAGCGAACTTCCCCAAAAGCTATTAAATCATGATTGCCCATGTCACCAGTGTTAGTTGTATGCTAAGCAACAGCAACGAAAAGAACAAAATATCACAGACTATACTCAGAAACTGGTCTTTTAATGTCATTCATTCAAGATTTACTAGGAACTCACTATGTGCTAGATACTGCTATAGGCCGTTATTAAAATGTTAACAGAGGCAGGGCACAGTAGCTCATGCCTGTAATCCCAGCTATGTAGGAGGTGATCAAGAGGATTATGATTCAAGGACAGTCCTGTAAAAAAGGTATTGAGCTCCCCATCTCAAAAAAGAGCTGGCTTTAGTAGCACATGCCTATCATCCCAGCTGTGTAGAAGGTGCAAGTAGGAAATCGCAGTTCAGGCCAAAAAAATGTGAGATCTTACCTAAAAAAATAACTGAAGCAAAAAGGGTTGGGACATGGCTCAAGTGTTAGCAAGTATGAGGCTCTGAGTTAAAAAACTCCAGTACTGCCAAAACAAAACAAAGCCAATACAAATAAGAGCCCTACATTTAGTATGCTTCCAATGCATAGTGGGAATATAGGGCAATACAGAAACAGCAACAAAAAACTTGCAAATAGGAATGAAGCAAATTTGGTATGAGTTGAATTGGAAGGCTATTTCTAGTTGAGAGTGGAAGAGCTGTTTAAGCTAATAATTGAAAGATGTCATGTAAGGTCCAATTCTCTTCTCCAAACCCAGAAAAGGTCAGCTTCTCAATGTATAGAAACTGCCTAAGTATGGTAAGGATGGAGTGCTATGAACCTTGAGTTAGTAGCTCCAAACACACCTTGGCTGAGCAGGATCAACTGTACCAGCAGGATCAGTTGCACCAGTCTAACAGAGGGCAACAAGACATACCTATCTGTTAGTTGCTGCAAATGGTAGCAGTCTCATGACAGTCCTGAGACTTTGAAATCAATCTTGGGAGACTTTGAAAGCCTTCTCTATATGACACCTCAAATGTGTGTTGATAAAATGTGCCAGTTTTAAATGAACAGATCGACTATCTCACATGTAGAGCTAACAACCCAGGAAAAGAGATATTTTCTTATTTGTCCTTTTTTTTTAAGTTTTGGTCTTATCTACTGTAACTACTTTCTCCTGGTTTGTGGCTTGTTGAGTCTATGTTCTCTGCATAAGTAATATATGCCATAGGGTACTGGTGCATACATCGTGACACAAGACAAACAAGTGCCTTTCCCTTCTAGGATTTACATCTTAGTGGTGGTGGGGGGAAATGAAGGCAGGAGATTAACAATAGCAAAATGAAATCAATTCAGACAATGGTTCATGACTGGCAACATAACATGTGTTGGATACATGCTCCACTTAGAAACCTCAAGAAGACCACTTTGGGGAGGTAGTTGAGCTCAAAGTGATAAGGAACCAATCCTGCTACAGGTGGGAACAAGCACAAAGCGTGGAGCTAGCTAAGTTTGGGAAACTGGGAGGACAACATGGATTCTATACAGTGAAAATGCGAAAAAAGGATACAAAAGATCAGGCTGGAAAGACAGGCGGAAGCCAGACTGCACAAACGACTTTGTAAGGCAAGATAAAGAGTTTGAGTTTTATTTCAAGTAGTATGAAGAATGTGAAGTATACAAACTGATCGTTTCTCCATTATTATTATTCGAAGAAATAAGGGTTGAACTCTATTACGGAGTCAGAAATGTAAGGGCTGATTCTTAATACCACCGCTTAACTTTCAAAAACATACATCAAAGCCTTTAACTTATATTAGGCACTTGTTGCCTTTTCTTTCTTTCTTTTTTTTTTGTGGTATCAGGGCTTGAACTCAGGGCCTACACCTTGAGCCGCTCTGCCATCCCTGTGTTGTGAAGGGTATGTTTTAAGATAGTTCTCACGGAACTATTTGCCCAGGCTGGCTTTGAACCTCGATCCTCCTCGTCTCTGCCTCCTGAGTGGCTAGGATTACAGGCGTGAGCCACCGGAGCCCAGCTCCATGAAATGTTTTTCAAGAATAGTTCTCAAGTCTGCAGTAAGTAAACTGCTTTAACTAAACATTTGTTCTATTACTGGACATTTAGATTTTATCTAAATACTCTTTGCCCAGCTTACTTGTTGCCTTTTCAATGAATACATTTCATAAGGTTTGAAATAATTTAAGGTAAAGAAATGCTACATTATGAAAAACAGCTACTTTATGTTTACAATTTACAGCAAGATTAAAACTGCCCCATAAAAATTTAAAGTATTTTTTTTTTGGTGGTACCGTGGTTTGAACTCAAAACTTCACTACTAAAAATTTAAAGTTAAGGAAAACACTCAAACCTCAATAGCAATCTACTTCTACATTACTTTACAAAAAATAAAACTTTTTATTTTACATAAATCAATTATAAGGAAAAAAATATATAAACCAAAAACATTTATGAAAGCCATTAATTTCTTACAAATCCACTATGACCCAACAATGTAAATACCATATTACATTTGTTTGTTTTGCAGTGCTGCAGATCAAACCCAGGCAGGGCCTCATGCTAGCTAGGGAAGGGCTCTACCACTGAGCCAGACCCCAGCCCATAGAACTGCATTTGAAAGCAAAAAGCAACTAACAGCAAACAGCTGCTACTGGTGAGCTGCCAGTGTTATTTCATTTTTTGTATTCACTTCTAATAATGATACACGATGGAAAATTTAGCACACAATTATAGTCATTTTAAGGTGAAGACTTTACTTTTGCATGGTGTCTGGCTGTGAAAACTACTGATTAAAGAACATAGTATTCTGCCATGCCTTACTTCTATTATTTAAAAGGACAAATGCAATCTAGTTTATTAACAAATAGTAACTATTACCACCCACTTTGAAACATATTTACCACTATTTGAGATCTTTTCAGAGCAGGCAGTGCCAGCATTTCCTGGGGCAACCAACACTTGTTTGACATGATGAGACTGTGCTAGTTTCCAGGCCAGTGTGTGTTCCCTTCCTCCACTGCCAATTACAAGTACTCGTGCTGCCATCACTCTGTCCACAAAGCAAGAATTCAAAAGGAAACAAAACCTGCAGAAAGAGAATCACAGTTGATATTTTAGAATGTACATACTTCAGAAGTCACAATTTCTAAATTTTTTTTTTTTTTGGTGGGACTGGGGTTTGAACTCAGGGCTTTGTGGTTGCAAAGCAGGTGCTCTAGCCCTTGAGACACAACTCCATTCCATTTTGCTCTGGTTATTTTGTAGATGGGGTCTTGAGAACTATTTGAGGGCTGTTCTTAAACCTTGATCCTCGTGATCTCAGCCTTCTGGGTAGCTAGGATCACAGGTGTGAGCCAGTGATGCTCAGCTCACAATATGATTTTTAAGTAATCATTTCTACTCACACAACATTTCCACCAAGTGATTTAAAGCAGACCTGACTAGACAGCTAGGTTAAGAAGCGAATGGTGGTTTTAGCTCTTGTTATGTTTGAGAATCCCTCAAGGTTTCATTTGTTGAAATTTAATCCCTACTCTGAGTTTTGAGAGGGTGGAAACAATCTCTGTATTTAGATGTGGGGCTTCCACAGTTGGTTAGACTTAGATTAAGGCCATTAGGGTGGAACCCCCATGACTGGATCTTGGTAGTTTCATCAGAGGGAGAGAGACCAGATGTACATACACAGATACAGTGCTCTGTGCCACATAAGGACCTTGCCAGCAAGAAGCTAATCAAATGAAGCTCTGTGACCTCGTACTTCCAGAACTGTGAGTCAAAGCAAACCTCTTTTGTTTATGACTTACCCACCTATCGTATTATGTTTTATAAGCAACAGATAATAAGACATATTTAGCACCTTATCTGAGAAAATCTCTGAACAATCTCTGTTCTCTAGCTTCACTTTGGAGGAGTGTCTGTGAGGCAGACACTATTATTGCCACCTTAAGGATATCAGATGGAAATTCAGTGAGGTTGCATAAATTGCTGGAGGTCACACAGCTAAGTGCAGGTAAAGCCTGGGTTCCAACATTAGCCATTTTGCTTCAGCTACTCTTAACAACTGATATGACTGTTAAAGGTTTGAGTTAAGGAAAAAAGGACCTGCCCAATTAGTCTCAGAAGAAAAAGCTATTTCAGTTCAATGGAATATGTACATTTTACGTGCCATGGGTACTGAGATAACTGAAACAAATCTATCTTTAGATATCGATAAAATTTAAATATGCAGCTTGAATACGCGCCGCAGCGTAGGAAGTTTTCCTCTATTATACAGAATTACTGAAATGGCTGTCCTAGTCAGCCTGAAGTACTCTACTACACCAGGAGTGGCCAGCGGGGGCTGGTCTGCAGGGTCACGGTGCCTGCCCCTTCCTGGCTGGGTGGCCTGAAACTTAATTAACCTTCTGGGGCTTCAGTCACGTGAATGGGTAACTCGCGGAAAGAATGACAAGAGGCAGGCAAAGGATTTCGGGAATAAAACAGACCCAAATGCAAAGGCACAAGGAGAAAATGATAAAATACGCGAATCAGTTTCGGATTACAGTCTTTAAGGAAATTAAAAAAAACCAAACAACATAAAGGCAGAGACAGTCCGGGATCTCGGAAATAGCCAGAAGGTCGTGTTAGCTCACAGGTAAACCTCGGTCAAGTCAGAGAAAAGCACATGGCCGCTTCAATTCGCCGTATTTAAGACCGAGAAGACATCTTCTACCTCGAGCCCACTTTCTACGGTCTCAGTCACTCCGGACGTTAAATCCCCGGGCCAAAGCAGAAAACAGGAAGTATAAAAGAGGAGGGGGCTTACACACCGACGCCCGCGGCCACGCCGCTTGCACTCGCCCGCTCGCCGGAAGTCGACCCGGGGGACCCGGCGCGCACCGGGCCGCTCGCCCCGCCCCGCCCTGGGCGGCCTCCCCTCCCCATTGGTCCGCCCCGCCCTGGGTCCCCCGCTCCCCCGCTCCCCCGCTCCCCCGGCGAGCGATCGGTGGAACACCCCCCGCCCGGCCCCGGGGTGCGGCCCCAGCCCGCTCCCGAGCAAAGCCTGCAAGTCCCGGGCTCGTTTCTAATCTGACACTGTTTGGGGGGGGGGTGCCACGTAACGTCTCCATTCCTCCCCGAGAGCCTCCTGAGCTCTCCCACACTGAGGCGTGGGGACGCCGAGATGTTAGAGCCATGTTTAGCTAATCGTGCTCTGCTAACGGGAGTCAGAGCCCACCAGCTACTTGCGGGAAAAGTCTTGTGACCCGCTTGGCACCTGACGACCCCCAAATGCGCCAGGTTTTGAACGTAGGTCGCTCAGGACCTTCGGGCTTTTGCTTTTAAAAAATGAGACGGGTTACAGGAGGTAATGGGAGATGGGGTAAAAATGTGTTCCTCGTATTCAAATTACAGTGGGTAGCGGGGCCGATTAGTTTTTTTCCCGTATGCATGTCAATGATGAACCTAAGTTGGCGCCCCCAAGAAACGCTCGGAGGCCCAGTATCAAGCACCACGAAGCCGTTTTCTGCTCCCTTTCCTCAGGACCTTTAAGCTCAGGCATTTGCTCGCTACAGTAGAACTCTTAATGCCCCCAAACTCTATTGGAGACCAGCAACTGATACTGACAAAAATCTCCTCGAGAGGCTTCTCCTGTAATGGCGCCTGCGTCAGACACTAACATGGCGGATTTAGTCGTGCGCGGCGCAAACGTCAGCACCTCTACCCCAGCCGCTCAGAAACAGCGGAGGAGAGCGGGGCCGTGCTCACTGATTGGCCCGTTGGCGGAGCGTGCCGGCCCGACCGCTCCTCTTCGAGCCAATGAGGGAGGCGACAAAAGGAATTGGCCGCTGCGCCTCCTCCCGAGGCATGCTGGGAGCCTGGAGGACTAGCGAGGAGGAGTTGAGAGAACGGAGCGGACGCCATGGCGGCCGACATCGAGCAGGTTTTTAGGTCTTTCGTGGTCAGTAAATTCCGGGAAATCCAACAGGAGCTTTCCAGGTAAACGCCTCCCAGACTCTTTTGTTCCCAACGGACCGTTAGGGTCCTATCTAGCCTTCCACGGCATCTTTCTTCAGAGACGCCGTCGTTCCTCGGCTCAGGCTACGCTACGGCCCCGCCTGGGCCTGGGATCCATTTTACGGGCTCTCCCCCCCTCCCCCCTCCCCCCAGCCCTCCATCCGCTCCTTCCCTTCCCTTCCCTTCCGAGGAGCTGGCGCTCTTCCCCTTCCAGCCGAGTTACGATGCTCCTTTTTGGGCCGCCCAGCCCTTCGGTTCTCGGAGGCCTGATGTCCACCGGGGCCGGGCCTAATTCCTTCCCCGGCTCCTCCTCCGCCGCCGCCTTTCCCCTCCCCCTCCCCGCCTCCGCGGGTTTCGCCGGCCGGTGTCTCTGACCGGAAAGGGTCTCTAACGGCCGTTTCTTGGGTAATCTGAAGTCGTCTTTATTATTGCAAGCGTCAGACCGTTTGGGGGTCGGGATCCATTAGTGAGATTCCTCGGGCCCTAGTGCCCTGTGGTTTCCATCGGGCAGCATTCTAATAGAGATTTAAATTAACACTCTTCCAACTAACACTAGTCACTTGATAGCATGGCTGATACTAATTTGAGGATGGAAGGGGACTTTGAAAGTAGCGATTACTTCGTTTTATTAAGTGGGAAGGGGTAGTTTTTCTTGCTGCCCCCGTCTCCGCTGACGTATTGGGCCATTGCTGGTGGACTTCACATAGGTTACCTTCGGCTCCGCGGAATCTGAAGGGGAAGAGGTTTCCACAGTAGTTGTTTACTTGGAAAGGAGCATAGTGTGGGTCATGTTACTGTTAAATGGTTCTTTTAGTGGTTTTGCTTTGTATAAGATACTTCTTAAAAATACAGAGGTAGGAAAGAGATCTTGATGAGTAAATATTTGTTCCGAGTTCAAACGTTTTTACTAATTGTGTAAGTTGAGAGCAAGAGCAATACGTGAATTTGGAAATCAGCTGAAAATGCGATTGTAAATTGTGAGCCAAATTAACATAGGGTTATTGGGGTAATGATGCATTGGAGGATATATTTTTAAGTGAGAAATCCGCTAAGTTGCTTTTAAACCTTTTGTGATGTGTTAGCGTTTCTAGGCTGAGAACAGACCTTAGCTACTACAGAGTTTTTGAAAACTTAAATACTTGCATGTAGTAGCTTGCTTAGCGTAATAAATCGTTTTTTGGAGCTTGTAAGAGTCAGTCTTTATATTACAAAATGAGTGCTTTCTGGTTGTACCTAACTTAGAAACTATAAAAGAGGAGGAAAAAAACCCCTACAGTTACTGATGTGTCCTTTCATTTTTTTCTTTGTGCATTCAGATAAATGTTTTATTAATGTGTTCATTTTGTGTTTTTTAAATCTAATGTATTTTGAATAAATTTGTCTCAGTCTCAATATTCTGGATCGTGGCTATAAAATTCCTTTGTAGGAATATAAAATTTCTTTGTAGGAAAATGTTGTTGGATATCTAGTTGGTTTGAAATTTTTTTTCTCATCACTTTTCAGTAATTGCAATTAATATCCTGCTACCTTTAAGGTGAAACCATGATTATTTCCTTATAGACTGAAGTTTAAAAAAATTGTAGCTACTTTTTTGATTTTAAAATCCGTGATAAATTACCTATGTATAAGTGCTTGGGAAAAGTGTACATGTGCTCCGTGAAGAAAGTCTAAAAGTGTATTAGACAAAGCAGTTTATCATTAAAGAAATACTCAGCATGTGTTAATATTTTATCAGTGTAAAGTCAAACTTTTTATTCCATCAGTATGGGTAATGAGGCTGACATTTAGATAGGTAAAATGATCTATATTATTTTACATGGATGTGTTTTAAGAGTATGGACTCAGATTTTGAACAGAAGCTTCACCTCCTTAATAGCTGTGTGACTTCAGTTAAGTTTCTTGTCTTTGTGCCTCTTCTCTCATTTGTAGAATCAGAACAATAGTGGTGATTTTAGAGTTTTGTCAGGATTAAAATGAGTTAAAAAGTGAGAACAATGTACTAGTTAATACTCATAAATATTAATACTCGATTACATGATTCATTATTAGAAAATCAAGTGTTCTTGAGCATTTAAATAGGCATCAAAACTTTTATCATGCTTTATGTGCTTTAAGTTAGCTAAAATGAAGGTTAAATTAAAATTGAACATGTTGAAAATACTTGATTCTTCAAAATTTTGCAAACGTACACATAGTAAAGAATAAATACATGAATGACATGTTTTTATTTATATTAAAATTCTTGACTTTGTGAATTGAAAATATGTTAAGTCATCTTACTTATTTACTGTTAGTATAAATGCCACTTGTTTCATGTGAAATTTTTGAACAAATTTTAATACCAGGATTTTTTTATACATTCTATGAATGTATTTTTTCTTTTTTAGTTTTATGGCATTTTAGTAACTGTTGAAACCTGAATAGAGGCTACAAGTTACTCTTTTTACTGTGTGTGCCTGGCTAGCTTTTGTGTTTCTTGATACTGTTGATCTCTACACTGGTACGGTTTTATTGTGGCCATAGTTTTTTACCGTAATGTTAGGTCATCTGTTTTCTGTGTATTTGTGATTGGGCTGTTAATAATTTTTCTCCCTTGAGAGAAATACTTAGGTAACTCAAGCCTCATGTTAGGTTCCTGTAATTATTTCTAAAAAGGTTGTGTGTGGAAACCTGGTTTTAAAGAGTTTCTGTACTGTCAAAGTACTTTTGACAGTACAGAAACCTTTAATTACGTAGCAAATGAAAATGTCCTAACTATAAGCACATAGTGTTAAGGGAAGACTATTTGATGGCAAACATCTGATATAGGGAAAGGATAAAATGTATGGACATTAGATTAATTAGAATATTAATGTTTATTGACTTTTATTACATGGTGTAATAAAGTACTAATTTTGAAAACTTTTCTTGTCAAGTGGAAGGAGTGAAGGCCAGCTGAATGGTGAAACAAATACACCTATTGAAGGAAACCAGGCAGGTGATGCAGCTGCCTCTGCCAGGAGCCTACCAAATGAAGAAATAGTGCAGAAGATAGAGGAAGTACTTTCTGGGGTCTTAGATACAGAACTACGATATAAGCCAGGTAAGTTGGAGTTAATCATCTGCCATAAAAATCTTGTTTTAATCTTTTTTTTTTTTTTTAATTTGAAGGTTAATAGTATTTTCAGTTTTTGTCTGATTTGACTTTCCTGCTAAAATCCTCCTATGAAAACAAAATTATACTCAAACTTGAATATTGATGCACTTGATTTGTTGGTAGAATATAATTTTTGTCTATTTGATTCAGTTTTGTTGTGTCTTAGTGCCACAATTTTTACATACGGGTTTACATTGAACAGTTGTGTAAATGTCAGTTTTGGAACATGTGCGGTCCCCGAGACCAATTTTGTAGTGATTTTAAGACATGCCCAGGGAGGTTTTAAAGCCAAAGCTTAGATGTTGTTTTGTTTGTACATCCATTCCTCTTTAAAGTGCAATGAAGAGTAGTTATTGCATGATTATTTAGCTTTTCTGGAATTGTTAAATAATTGATGTTTACAAATGAAGAACTTATGATTAACCACAAAAATAAGTCATTATTCATTAACTATAGGAATTACGTGTGTGGTTATGGTTTGTTCTCTTTGTAGGATGTGGTTTACAAAACATACTTTAGCCTTCCTTTGTTTTATGACTCTAGCAACCTTTTCTTAGTTGAGGTATAACTTCATTAACATTTGATGTTGTGAAGTAAACAGTAGAAATTGATTAGTTTTATTTTGGCATGTGTATTGTTGTTTATTGGTTTATTTTTTTTCTCTTCCTATAGTGTTAATGGCCAGGCTGTCTGATGAGCTTTTTCTAGGATCCCTGAGATTTATCTAATATAATATTGGCATTAGAGTAAATTTTATCTGGTTGTAAAATAGACTATAAGTTGCCATCTCAAGGATATGCAAATTGAAATGTTCTTTGGTACTGGGGCTTAAACTCAGGGCCTCATGCTTGCTAGGCAGGCGCTGTACCACTCGAGCCACTCTACCAGCCCTTTTTTGTATTGGGCATTTTTGAGATAGGGTCTGGGAACTATTTGCCCACCTCTGGTTTTGAACCACAATCTTCCTAATCTCTGCCTCCTGAGTAGGCAGGATTGTAGGCGGGAGCCACTGGCCCCTGGCTGAAATGTAATTAACATTCCATGTTAAGGGCTATAAGAATTTGCTCCCCATTTCTTAGCATTAGAGTAGTTTGTAAGAATATAGGTGTAATAGATAAAATTTGAGTTCTTTGTTGATGGGTTATATTTGTTGTTCACATGTTTGTATACTATTATACTTCTGTTTGTATACTATCTTTCTAATCTTTACTGAGACTTTACTGTCTGATAGGAATTGTTCTCTGTACTTTAGTTTTTTTTTTGCTCTGCTGGAGATCAAACCCACAGCCTCATGCATGGTATGCAAGCTCTCTGCCACCGAGCTACACCTCCAGTCCCTTTTTGACAAAGTGAGTGTTTTGACTCACTTTGTCCTTTAACTCTAGAGGTACAGTATTTCAGTAATTTAGCCAAGACCATTCATTTACTGAGTGATGGATTGATTCAGGCTCCAAAAGCAGGCATTCTCTTTCCTGAGCCAGTACCATGTTGTCTCCTGTGTGAACAGGGGTTAAAAACAAAGTAATTACAAGAATTATTTAATATGGATATTTTTAATAGGAATTTTAACAACTAAATATGAACTGGATTAATTGGTAAATAGTTTAAAATTACAACTTGAAAACTGGAGAAAAAAATGATAGTTTAAGAATAACTTGGCTTTTTCAGAAAATAGTTTGCTTGGTAACTTTTCATTTAACATGAGGTTTATACTATGGTGTTTTAATGTGGTATGAAGATACCAGTTTGATTTATCTAAATCTGTTTTGGGGTGTTTTAATGTGGTATGAAGATACCAGTTTGATTTATCTAAATCTGTTTTGGGGAATGTTTGACAATTAATTTTCATTACTTTCAGACTTGAAAGAGGCCTCCAGGAAAAGTAGATGTGTATCTGTACAAACAGATCCTACTGATGAAATTCCCACCAAAAAATCAAAGAAGCATAAAAAGCACAAAAACAAAAAGAAGAAAAAGAAGAAAGAAAAGGAAAAAAAATATAAAAGACAACCAGAAGAATCTGAGTCAAAGCTGAAATCTCATCATGATGGGAACGTAGATCTAGAATCTGATTCCTTTTTAAAGTTTGATTCTGAACCTTCAGCGATGGCACTGGAACATCCTGTAAGAGCATTTGGCCTATCTGAGACCAGTGAATCCCCTGCAGTTATGCTAGAACCTCCAGTAGTATCAATGGAGGTATCAGAGCCACACATCTTAGAAACTCTGAAGCCAGCTACAAAAACTGCAGAACTGTCGGTTGGATCTACATCAATAATCTCAGAGCAGTCAGAGCAATCTGTGTCAGTAATGCTGGAACCATCTGTGACAAAGATTCTGGATTCCTTTGCAACAGCATCAGTGCCTCCTACAACAGTAGTGCTGAAGACATCTGAGCCAGTTGTAACAATGTCAGTAGAGTATCAGATGAAGACTGCAATGAAATCTTTGGAGAGCACCTCTCCAGAGCCAGCAAAGATCATGGTAGAGCCTCCCATAGCGAAAGTACTAGAGCCATCAGAAACCCTTGTGATAGCAGAGACACCTACTGAGGTGCTCCCTGAACCAAGCACATCAACAACAATGGATTTTCCAGAGTCATCTGCAACTGACGTGCTAAGATTGCCAGAGCAGCCTGTAGAAGTACCATCGGAGATTGCAGATTCATCTATGACAAGACTGCAGGAGTCGCTGGAGCTGTCTAAGACCACAACGATGGAGCCGCTGGAGTCGTCGGTGGCCTCGGCGCTGGAGTTGCCGGGGCCACCTGCAACCTCCATGCTGGAGTTGCAGGGGCCCCCTGTGACTCCAGTGCTGGAGTTACCTGGGCCCTCTGCTACCCCAGTGCCAGAGTTGTCAGGGCCCCTTTCTGCCCCAGTGCCTGAATTGCCAGGGCCCCCTGCGACAGCCGTGCCTGAGTTGCCGGGGCCCTCTGTGACAACAGTGCCACAGTTGTCGCAGGAATTGCCAGGGCCTCCAGCACCATCCATGGGGTTGGAGCCACCACAGGAGGTACCAGAGCCACCTGTGATGGCACAGGAGTTGCCAGGGCTGCCTGCAGTGCCAGCAGCAGTAGAGTTGCCAGGGCAGCCTGCGGTAACAGTAGCAATGGAGTTGACCGAACAACCTGTGACGGCGACAGAGTTCGAGCAGCCTGTGGGAATGACAACGGTGGAACATCCCGGGCATCCTGAGGTGACAACGGCTACAGGGTTGCTGGGGCAGCCTGAGGCAACAATGGTGCTGGAGTTGCCAGGACAGCCAGTGGCAACAACAGCGCTGGAGTTGCCTGGGCAGCCTTCGGTGACTGGAGTGCCAGAGTTGTCAGGCCTGTCTTCGGCAACTAGGGCACTGGAGTTGTCGGGGCAGTCTGTGGCAACTGGGGCACTAGAGTTGCCTGGGCAGCTCATGGCAACTGGGGCACTGGAGTTCTCAGGGCAGTCTGGGGCAGCAGGAGCACTGGAGCTTTTGGGGCAGCCTCTGGCAACAGGGGTGCTGGAGTTGCCAGGGCAGCCTGGGGCGCCAGAGTTGCCTGGGCAACCTGTGGCAACTGTGGCGCTGGAGATCTCTGTTCAGTCTGTGGTGACAACATCGGAGCTGTCAACGATGACCGTGTCGCAGTCCCTGGAGGTGCCCTCGACGACAGCGCTGGAATCCTATAATACGGTAGCACAGGAGCTGCCTACTACATTAGTGGGGGAGACTTCTGTAACAGTAGGAGTGGATCCCTTGATGGCCCAAGAATCCCATATGTTAGCTTCTAACACCATGGAAACCCATATGTTAGCATCCAACACTATGGATTCCCAGATGCTAGCGTCCAACGCCATGGATTCCCAGATGCTAGCGTCCAACGCCATGGATTCCCAGATGCTAGCCTCTAGTACCATGGACTCCCAGATGTTAGCAACTAGCTCCATGGACTCCCAGATGTTAGCAACTAGCTCCATGGACTCCCAGATGTTAGCAACTAGCACTATGGACTCCCAGATGTTAGCAACCAGCTCCATGGACTCTCAGATGTTAGCAACCAGCTCCATGGACTCTCAGATGTTAGCAACCAGCTCCATGGACTCCCAGATGTTAGCAACCAGCTCCATGGACTCCCAGATGTTAGCAACCAGCACCATGGACTCTCAGATGTTAGCAACTAGCTCTATGGATTCTCAGATGTTAGCATCTGGCACCATGGATTCTCAGATGTTAGCTTCTGGTACCATGGATGCTCAGATGTTAGCGTCAGGTACCATGGATGCCCAGATGTTAGCGTCTAGCACCCAAGATTCTGCTATGTTGGGTTCAAAATCTCCTGATCCCTATAGGTTAGCTCAGGATCCTTACAGGTTAGCTCAGGATCCCTATAGGTTGGGCCATGACCCGTACAGATTAGGTCATGATGCCTATAGGTTAGGACAGGACCCCTATAGATTAGGCCATGATCCTTACAGACTAACTCCTGATCCTTACAGGATGTCACCTAGACCCTATAGAATAGCTCCCAGGTCCTATAGAATAGCACCTAGGCCATATAGGTTAGCACCTAGGCCCTTGATGTTAGCATCTAGACGTTCTATGATGATGTCCTATGCTGCAGAACGTTCCATGATGTCATCTTATGAACGCTCTATGATGTCTTACGAGCGGTCTATGATGTCCCCTATGGCTGAGCGCTCTATGATGTCAGCCTATGAGCGCTCCATGATGTCAGCCTATGAGCGCTCCATGATGTCTCCTATGGCTGAGCGCTCCATGATGTCAGCTTATGAGCGCTCCATGATGTCAGCTTATGAGCGCTCCATGATGTCCCCTATGGCTGATCGATCTATGATGTCCATGGGTGCTGACCGGTCTATGATGTCATCCTACTCTGCTGCTGACCGGTCTATGATGTCATCGTACTCTGCAGCTGACCGATCCATGATGTCATCTTATACTGATCGCTCAATGATGTCTATGGCAGCTGATTCTTACACTGATTCTTACACTGATACATATACAGAGGCATATATGGTGCCACCTTTGCCTCCTGAAGAGCCCCCAACAATGCCACCATTGCCACCTGAGGAACCACCAATGACACCACCATTGCCTCCTGAGGAACCACCAGAGGGTCCAGCATTATCTACTGAGCAGACAGCATTAACAGGTGAAAATACTTGGCCTACAGAGGTGTCAGCATTACCTCCTGAAGAGTCTGTATCACAGCCTACTGTGAGTCAAAGTGAAATTTCAGAGCCTTCAGCTGTACCTGCTAATTATTCAGTGTCAGCTTTAGAGCCCTCAGTGTTAGCATCAGAGTCTGCTGTGACTGTTCCAGAACCACCACGAGAACCAGAGTCTTCAGTTACATCAACACCTGTTGAGTCAACAATACTAGCAGAAAATGAAATTATTCCAGAGAGACCAATGACTTGCATGCTGTCTGAAACTTCTGTGTCAACTGAACCAACTATGTTAACATCGGAGCCTCCTATTATGTCAGAAACCACAGAAACATTTGATTCCATGAGAGCTCCAGGACATGTTGCCTCAGGGGTATCTGTGTCCCTGCTGGGGCCAGCAGTAACTATTCCAGAGCCAACAGAGAGCATTCTGGAGCTGCCAACCATGGCTGTCCCAGAGCCTCCAGCCATGGCCGACCTAGAGCCTCCAGCTGTGGCCGGCCCAGAGCCTTCTGCTGTGGCTGTCCCAGAACCACCAGCTGTGGCTGAGCCAGAGCATGTTATCATTCCTGTGTCAGTTTCTGCCCTGGAGCCTACTGTGCCTGTCATGGAACCAGCAGTGTCAGTCCTTCAACCTGCTGTGGTTGTTTCAGAACCAAGTGTTGCTATCCAAGAATCTACTGTGACCATTTCAGAGCCTGCTGTCACTGTCCCAGAGCCGACTCAAATGATACCAGCTGAGATGGCATTAGAGCCTGCACCAATGATGGTGGAGTCTAGTATTATATCATCATATGTTACTAAAAGGATGAATTTACCATCTGGTGAACAAAATCTTACTCCAGATGTTGGCATGCAGGAGATTCCCCCATATTCAGGTGACCAGCCACATGCTGAAGGACACCTAAAATGTGACTCTTACGAAAGTGAACGTGGTGTAAATACAGACCTTACTATAAATAATCATTTGATTGCTAAAGAGGTAGAACATAACATAGTGTCTGCTGTTAGCACTGGTCTGGTTGTTGAAACTAGTGAAGAGAAAATTTTGCCTATCAATGAGACTAAACAATGTACAGTATTGGATACCTGCCCTGGTATTAGTGAAGCTGATGTAGGAGGAACTCTATCTTCTACTGGTCCTTTTGCTCTGGAATCTGATGTAATGGGAACTAGTAAGGGTATTGAGTTTGCTACAGAATGTGCTGTCAGTTCAGTTAATAACTATGATGTTGAAGTATCCTTAACTACTCAAGATACTGAACATGACATGGTAATTTCCACCAGCCCCAGTGGCGGTAGTGAAGCTGATATAGAGGGACCTTTGCCTGCTAAAGACATTCATCTTGATTTACCATTGGATAATCTTGGTAAGGATACAGAAGAACCATTATCTGTAAAAGACAGTGACCAGACATTTGAGATTGCTCTCAGCCCTAAAGAAAGCAGTGGGGAAGATAAAGAGGCACATCTCCCTACTAAAGAAATGATGTCTGATTCAGGATTTTCTGCCAGCATTGATGAAATTAATGAAGCAGACTTAGTGAGACCATTACTTCCTAAGGACATGGAACGTCTTACAAACCTGAGGGCTGGTATTGAAGGACCTTTACTTGCAAGTGAAGCTGAACGTGACAAATTGGCTGCCAGTCCAGTTGTAGTAAGTGTACCAGAAAGAGCATCAGAATCTTCTTCAGAGGAAAAAGATGACTATGAGATTTTTGTAAAAGTTAAGGACACACATGAAAAAAGCAAGAAAAATAAGAACCGTGACAAAGGCGAGAAAGAGAAGAAAAGAGACTCTTCATTAAGATCTCGGAGTAAGCGGTCCAAGTCTTCTGAACACAAGTCCCGCAAGCGTACCAGTGAGTCTCGTTCTAGGGCAAGAAAGAGATCATCTAAGTCAAAGTCTCATCGTTCTCAAACGCGGTCCCGGTCCCGTTCAAGACGTCGGAGAAGGAGCAGCAGGTCAAGATCAAAGTCTAGAGGAAGGCGATCTGTATCAAAAGAGAAGCGCAAAAGATCGCCAAAGCACAGATCCAAGTCCAGGGAAAGAAAAAGGAAAAGATCAAGTTCCCGGGATAACCGGAAAACAACAAGAGCTCGGAGTCGAACCCCAAGTCGTCGGAGTAGGAGTCATACTCCCAGTCGACGAAGAAGGTCCAGATCTGTAGGTAGGAGGAGGAGTTTTAGCATTTCTCCAAGCCGGCGTAGTCGCACACCCAGCCGGCGTAGTCGCACGCCCAGCCGCAGGAGCCGCACGCCCAGCCGCAGGAGCCGTACACCCAGCCGCAGGAGCCGCACCCCCAGCCGCAGGAGCCGTACACCCAGCCGCAGGAGAAGATCGAGGTCTGTGGTAAGAAGACGAAGTTTCAGTATCTCACCAGTCAGATTAAGACGATCAAGAACACCCTTGAGAAGAAGGTTTAGTAGATCTCCTATCCGCCGTAAAAGATCCAGATCTTCTGAAAGAGGCAGATCACCCAAACGTCTAACAGATTTGGGTGAGTCGTCGTTTTAAAGTTTACTAGCATTGTAGTAGAGAATGATTTAAATCTGAGTTTTTTGTGATCTTGAGTCCAATGTAATATTTTGGGTTATTGGCTTAGATATTAGATTAGGTTGTGCTTAGAAAATACAGGGATAAGTGCATGTAATTGCAGTTAAAAAGACCTGTCTGGTAGGGCTTGGGGTATGGCTCAAGTAGTAGAGTACCCACTTAGGAAGCATGAGCCTCTGAGTTCAAAACCCCAGTGCTGCCAAAATAAATAAAAATAAATAAAAACCAAGGTGTTTCGATAACTAGAATGTTATATTTTGCTTGAGCTATCTTGCCCTAACTAAAAATGGAAAGCAGAAGTAGATGGAAAAGTGCTGTTCAATTAAAAACAAGGTACTTTATCCTGATATTGTTACTGTATTTTAGCGTACATTTTTGCAAGTAAGCAAAATGTTAGTGCTACACATTTAATATATCTTCAAGTGGCAATCTGGAATTATTAAAGGTGAAGGCAGTTGTGTTTCATGTAGTTGGTGAAGGAAGTGAGTGGAATTTTTTAATCTGGGGAATTAACTCACTGAGTGGATGATAACTAACAGATAAATTTATGAGATCAGAATTTGTTCTGCCTTACTTTAAATGTTCTAATTTTTCCTGATTTTTAAGTATTATGCAGTGAGTTATTCCAGTAATCTTCAGGTCAGGACTGTCTGAGGAAAAAGACCTTAAGAGTAATAAAGCAGAGTCTGCATTCAGTCAAATATGAGTTTTCTGAGTTCTCTTTTATTCAGAGTGGTGGTATTTAATTCCCAGTGATCTCAAGGTAGTGAAGGAGACATGGGTAAAATGCATATGTCTCTTTTTACCAAAGGTAAAAATGCCAAAAAGGGTATAAAGTGATGATTGCCATAGCACAGTACAGATGAATGTTAGTTCTTTCTTAATGAAGATTTGTTAGGAGTGGCACTATAATTTGGGCTCAAAGAGTAATTTAAGCTGTTGTCAGAAGAAGAGTAATTTTAAGATCATGATAAGTTTGCTTTGGCAGTTTTCTGTCTTAGGATGTGTCTTTATCATTATATAGTAAGTTAGCTAATTCCTGTTAGAATAGGAAACTCAATGTGGACTTATTCTTTAAAAGTGTCCTCCAAGAGCGGTTTGATCCTAGCTATAAAGTAGGGTAGAAAATTGATGCTTTTAATTAGTGTATGAAGCCTTTGATAATGCAAAATGTACAGCCTTTAGGAAACCAGCTTCTTACATTTTTCCTCTTACAGATAAGGCTCAATTACTTGAAATAGCCAAAGCTAACGCAGCTGCCATGTGTGCTAAGGCTGGTGTTCCTTTACCGCCAAATCTAAAGCCTGCACCTCCACCTACAATAGAAGAGAAAGTTGCTAAAAAGTCAGGAGGAGCTACTATAGAAGAACTAACTGAGGTAAGCTAGACAGAATTCGTTTTCATTCTAAAATGGATTATTCCAGAGATGTTGACTCTGGAGTGTGCCAAAACCTGAATTGTGGGCTGAACTGATAATGGCTGGCACCGAGTGGCCAAAACCCGAAATACAGATGTGGCAGCGGCAGAAGCTCTGTTTCGCAGGCCATTATCCGGGATGGCTAAGCTCCGCTAGCTAAAAGTTACTTCCCATTACTTTTGCTTTCCAGTTTTAGAAGCCAAACTGACTGAGGAGTGGGACGGTTCGTTTGAATGGAGGAGGTGTTGAGTGAGCAACACGCAGAAGCTCGCCTACAGTTTCGTTTCCATTCACGACGTGTTCACTGATCGCCACGAGTGTACTGCATATACGCAAAGACACAGACAATCTTCAGAAATGATCTTTTGCCACCGGAGCTTGGAAATTAATGAGAATTAGCTGGCCATTGCCTGAAAGGAACTTCTTTCGCATCAACATTTCGGGTTTTGGCTGTTTGGTACCAGCCATTGGCGATAATGGCCGGCCATTATCAGTTCTTCCTGCGGTTCGGGTTTTGGCAGTAACATATATTTTAAATATACTTATTTTTGTTTCTAAAAATTTGATCTTTTCAATTGAGGCTTTTTTGGGGAGGCTTTATTTTATTTTATTTTTTTTTGGGGGAGGGGGGAAGATGCTGAAATATTGCTGCTAGGATCCAGAAATACCAGTTTCATATACTGAAACTTGGTACTGGCTAGCCTTATGCTAGCCTGCCACTGTCAATATATTCTGTTCCCACTGGTTATATGCTTGATATACTCTGTGTTTTTGGCTAAATGAGCTTTTTAATCCTGTTGTAATATTGACAAATTCTGCTTGTATAGAGACAGGTCTACCCAAATTTACTCTGATCTTTTTATAAAGCCAGGTAATGAAGTCTGTTCCTTTGCTTCTCAGGAAGGAACTGACTTTGCTTGACAATTGCGCCCTCTCCATCATGCCTTATTTTCCAACCTTAAGTTCTATTCCTTGTGAGACTCATTTCTACAAAACATTTATGGAGAGATATGTTACTATTTAACCCTACCACAAATGTTTCAAATTTTTATTTTGCCATATATCTGGAGGATCATAAAGTTTTAAAATTTGCTTCCTCACCTAGATTTATTACATTATGACTTAGTAGGTCAACCCTACTCCCCCCAAAAAAAACAAAAACAAATGAGGACCTAGCAAAAGCTTCTGTTGCTTCCTTACCAAATCCAAGCTCATTATCTAAATAGAACCCTATGAAAACCCTATGAACACATAGTGTACAGCCTCATCTTCAGTGCTCTCGTCCATTCTAACAGGTTTTTTCTCACCCTTTTACCACCACCTGACCATGATGACTTTCTTTCCTTACCACCCCTGTTCTTTACTATGAAAATCTGACTTAGAATTCTTCAAGGAACATTCTTTGATTCTTAAACTCTGCCTGACTATTATCTTAAAGCCTTTGTTCTTTTAGCACTTATGTACTTGGTTTGTATTATATCAGTTTGCACTTGTTATTGTGTTGCTCTGTAAAAAAATGTCTTCAATTATTTCATGTATATGTACTCTGTCTCTTGTATTAGATTGTAAGCTCCTTGAGAGCAGGGACCATGTCTTCTACATTTTTTTTTTTTGTATTCCCAAGACAGTGCCCAGTACAGTGCTCTGCACATAGTAGGTGCTCAATAAATGTTGTTGACTGACTAGCCAGTGTGTTTAAATAATAGCTGATAAGCTAAATTACCTTTTAATAACCTATCATTAATCTTGTTTACTTTTGAAAGTTGATTTTATAGGATGGTTCTTTATAAATTAAACATGTTATTCTACATAAACTCTAAGATTTATTTTTTTGTTTTGTTTTGTTTTTACTTTTAAAGAAATGCAAACAGATTGCACAGAGTAAAGAAGATGATGATGTAATAGTGAATAAACCTCATGTTTCGGATGAAGAGGAAGAAGAACCTCCTTTTTATCATCATCCCTTTAAACTCAGTGAACCCAAGCCCATTTTTTTCAATTTAAATGTGAGTATTAGTTCTTATGGATTGATGAAATGAAACAAACAACTAAATAAATACCACATAGATTTAATGCAACATTTTTTGATGGTACTGAATTTTGAACTCAGCTGCTAGCAAGCAATGTAGCACTTTTGAGCTGCCCCTCTAGCTCTATTAAATTAATTTTTTTATTGTGGGACTGGAGTTTGAACTTGGTCTTGAGTCACACCACTTGAGTCACACCTCCAGCCCCCCCAGTGTATTGATTTTTTTATGTAAATACTGTGAGAAGTAACAAAGTAATTTCCTCCCAAAGTAAACATTTCCTTTAGAATATGTTGAAATTCTTCAGAAACCACTATCTGTTATATGGGTTTTAATTAAGAAACATTATTTTTTAGATTGCTGCAGCAAAGCCAACTCCACCAAAAAGTCAGGTAACATTAACAAAGGAATTTCCTGTGTCATCTGGATCACAACACCGAAAAAAAGAAGCAGATAGTGTTTATGGAGAGTGGGTTCCTGTAGAGAAAAATGGTGAAGAAAACAAAGATGATGATAATGTTTTCAGCAGCAATTTGCCATCGGAGGTAAGTAAGAGGAATATTATGTATTTTTCTTTTTTATACCTGAATCTGCCATTTTATTGTTATTTTATATCTGATTTGGATTCTGTTTCACTCTTCTTAGGGCCGGGTTAAACGGCAGGGCCGGGTTAAACGACAGATGAAACAACCCGCAGCTTCTCATTTGACAGTAACTCGATGCAATTCACTTTGTGGAACCAAGCCACAAAGTGAAAAGCATCGAATTGCAGAGAACAGTGTTATCACATCCCTACCCAACATTGGGCCCTCCTTGCACTTGTGGGAAGGTAGCCCAAGGTACAACTATTTAGCTTCCCGTTTTGCTTCAAGGCTCTATAGCTCTAGATTTTGGTGGTAGCAAATTTATTGGGGGAGGGTTTGAGTGGATAGAGGCAGATCCTCAGGTTCAACACAAGAACTGGATTGGAAAAGGTAGGCTGATGTGAACATCTTGGGAAAATGCCCCATTGCCATTTAATGATGGTTTTTCTGGGTTGTTACATTTCCTTTGATTTTAGTCATTTTTCCTACCCTGTGCTATTTTGGCCCTTTTGAATTCTTGTGTTTAACCTAATGTTCAGCCTTGGTACTCCATTCCCTTCTCCTTCCCCTCTTTGCTACTATTAAAAGTTGGAGAAGTGGAATTTACGCATTGAAATTTCCACAAGGCTATAGTTGTATCTTGTCAAAAGGACGCAGTAACAATGCCAAGTGTCAAAAACAACCCCATTAAAATGCCTGATTAAACAGTGTGCTGCTAAATATAGTGCACATGAAAACAGCAAGACTGTATATATATGTAAATATATATATATATATATCTGTATCTTTGTATGTATCTCTGTATCTGTACCTTTGCTGTATCTTTTAATAAACAGTTTACTTTTATTTAACTTGTTGTGCAAAGTCACGCTTGGGGGATATGGGAGGGTGGAGACTTACTAGGGGAGGGTGGGAGTTTTGAATGATATCATAGACTAGTTGTCTTGCCCTTTGTTTCCAAAACCTTGGCATTTGTCCAAGGACTGGACTAGATAGCCAATGCCCTTATGGACTTCTTTTTCTTGCAGTTCTGGGATATACAGGTCTGAGAGACCTGTGCTCTTCACTGGAGGTTCCCTACATTGGCCATATCATCATCTTCCAGTAAACACTTTCAATTCTACAAATCCTGTTTATAAAATCAGAAAGTAAACAGAACCCAAATCAGAAACTTTCTCATAGCAGTGTTTTTCCCTCTGAGCTATTATTCACAGGTGACATTTTCACTATGTGTGTTTGATCCTGGGGCATTCTGAAAAGGAACAAGTTCCATACGGTAAAGCTGGACATAATAATTAGCCAGTGTAACTAATTTACAGTTAAAGGTGATGGTATGCACTCACATGGACTTCGGCTATACAAGCAAATTGTACTGTCACCATGACATGATAGCTAGTTTGGACAATATTTTAGTGAAACCAGTTGAGTGCTTTGTTACTAATCTCCAAATCAGGCTACTTACACATCTCAAGAGGGAAAGATTAACTGACATTTGTAGCTTACTTAATCTTCTTGTAGTAGCTGGATATAGACCATGATAAGAGGGCTGTACAGACTTAGAAATCTTGATACATATGCTTTTAGTAACTGATTTATTGCAGATTAAGCATTTAAACAAAGTTGAAAAAAACATAGCAAGGATATCCCATAGAGTAAAGCCATAAGTATTGGCAGCATTTCAAGAGCTTTTCCCGAGAAGATAGTAGTTAGAACTTTTTTGACTTTCTTCAGTTGAAGATGGGAAAAGTGCTCAGTAAATCTTGATTACACTTCTTTTTTGATCAAGAAAATGTTTTTGTTTTACTTAAAAGTTCAGTACTCCTTCGTTTTCAGTCTTAACACTTGACAGTGTTAAGCCTTAGCCTTGTTTCTCGTCAAAAAATGGTTGTCAGATTTTAATTAAAAAGGTTGAAGAAGTCTAAAGAAATGTGGCAGGGAGGGGAGGGGGCGTGGGGAGAAGGTATAGCAAAAGGAGTCTTTTATTAAGACAGAAGGAGGAAGATTGTATTCAGAGGGCCAAATGAAGCACATGTGTCTCTGGCAAGGTAAATATGACTGTTTATACCAGACTCTAAGCTCCTTATGTAGGAAGATTAGACTCAAAGAATATATAGGGTAACTTCTAAATAAAATAATTTAAAATTTTAGGGAGAGAGGACTAGAATTGTGTTCTGTTTTCACAATTAATGTTAAACACCCACAGAAAATATTCACAGTATAAAATGTTCATTTCCAGTTATTTAGCTATCATCTAAGTGCACTCACTGTAAAATTAATATTCTTTATGCCAGTGTTTGGAGTACTTTTGTTGACAATTTATGGGAGCAATGACTTTTTTGATTGCATCATGGCTTGAAATAAAAGGCTTTCTAGAATAAAAGGAAGACATTCTTTTAAAGGGCCAACTCTTTAGCTGAGTAGTATTTTTTATTTATTAATTAGTCTTTTGTTTTAATAAATATAAGTGGAGTATGTGGTTCTTTAGTCTTTTTTTTGGTTTTTTGGGTGGTACTAGGGTTTAAACTCGACCTCACGCTTGTTAGGGAGATCTCTGTCTACCACGTCAGCCACTCTACCAGCCCGTGGTTTTTTAGTCTTGACCATAAAACACTGAGCCTAAGATCACAGCTTTTTTTTTTTTTCATAAGAGGCGAATTATCTTTGCTAATCTTACCAATTGCCTTGCATGAGAGTGCTCCTTGACACGAGTGTAGACGTGGATCGTGGATGATGAATCAGCATAAATTCATATCTTACGGAAAACAGCTCTTCAGAATATGTGCCCTTCTACTGTAACATCATCTTCCTACCCAGAAACCAGCCACTATCATCCTCAGTACAGAAAGAAGTGACTGCAGAACTTTTGACTATATTTGTGCAAATTTGACTTATGAACTATGAAATTTTTTTAAAAAAATGGAAAACTAATATTTGAAGAATAGTCCTCAGGGGCATGAAGTGTTGGTAATAAAGTTAGCAAAGGTTTCTGGATTGATTCGAAGATTTAAATGTGGTTTTTGACGAGTTACAACTACACTAGTAACCACTAGTTCGTAGTATTTGTGGATTTAGTATAAATGTTGTAGGGGCCCAGCTGTAGAAATTGTTGAGCTGTTAGGATCATTTTTATATCGGTGTCCTAGTTTGTGTCATTTGAATCACAGGTCTTTTTCCCAAGGTAACTAGACTTCTCTTAAATTTAGAAGCTCAGAATTCATAGAGTAAACTGAAAATTTTAATTGTAAATTAAATAATTGTAAATTAATAAGTTCTAGAATTACACACACTGCTAGAGTGTATATGTACAGTCTTGTTTTTCATTCTTTTCTCCCAAGAACTCCTAAGTGGTTAACACTGAATTTTGAATCACTTACATAGGGTGTCTGTTTATTTTCCTTTTATAATTGAGGTTAATCTAAATGTTACAGCACAACTTTGTAACATTTTTTATGGTTTAATAAAAAGACTGATAATTCACTTGTAAAAACCCAATCAAACACAGTAACTAGGAGTTACTGTGTAGTGTGGCTTTTTATTTGAAAGTTGTCATTTTTTTTTTTTTTTTTTGTAATCTATGAACCGGTATATTTTAAAAGTTTTTGTTAAGTATTTTAGATATTTTTGTAGGCCAGATGTTTTTTCTTTAGATTAGTTTTATTACAAATTGCCTTTTACACCTTCTTTGAAAATAATCTGCAATTATCTGTGTAGGAAATAATTTCTTCTATATTTTCATTTGACTTACCTCATCCTAATTGTTTATTTTTTTTTGTGGTACTGGGGTTTGAACTCAGAGCCTACACCTTGAGCCACTCCACCAGCCTGTTCTTGTGTTGGGTATTTTTGAGATAAGGTCTTTCGAACTATTTGCCTGGGGTGGCTTCCAACCTCGATCTTCCTGATCTCTGCCTCCTGAGTAGCTAAGGTTACAGGCGTGAGGCTTCTCCCTGCCAAATTGTTATTTTTAAGTCTTTTATATCCTGTCACTGTCATTTTATAAAATGGTAGGAAAGATTTGTTCTATTTGGGGATTGGTTGGGTTAACAAAAATAAAGGTATAAAAGGTACATTCACATATATGTAATACAGATATAAATTTTGTGTTACATGGTGCCAGCTTCATTGTGAATTTTATTACACCTCAGAACCTTTATAGGTTTTAGAAAAGCACCTGCTTTATTGCTGAGATGGTGGTTAAAAAACTTTATTAATATGAAAATCATGACTTAGGACACTTTTTGTAGATTTTACCTTTTAGAACAAGTCTTACTTCTTCATTGGAGTGGCTCAAGCAGTAGAGTGCTTGCCCAGCAATTGTGAGGCCCTGAGTTCACACATCAGTACCACCACCACCAAAAAAAAGTAATTAGAACAAGTCTTGCAAGAAGGAAGTTAAACATTTCCTCCATTATAATACCTAGAATATTACGTTTTTATATATTAGGTAGCAAACAAGTATATAGTTTATCAGTGGAAACCTATAAGGCATGCTGATCACAACTTGATAATGGTATTCTACAAATTTAAGATTCTTTTTTTTGTTTTTAAAATGGCTTTTATTTTGGTATTTTTTCCCCACATTTCCTGTATTTGAACAATATTAAAGGATGGTTAGGATTCTAAAACTACGTTTTCCAATGTGTTAGTCACTAGCCACTGAACAAAATTACTTAGTCACATTAGCCATAGTTCAAGTGCTCAGTAGCTATCACTGCTATTGTCCTATTGGACAATGTACTGCTCTAAAAAAATAGCTGTCGTATCTTACGAATGTTTTAATTGTGATATGTAACATTTGGTTGGAGTCTTGAAAATTAATGCTTTGGGAATTAAACTTGGCTTTTTTATGTATTAATGCATAACCTGAATTACCTTGAAAGCTGAAAATAGACTTTTTGATGTAAACTCTTGAGGATCCTTAAGTGGTTAAAATAATCTTGATTTCATTCTATTTTGAGTATATTTTTCACATTATTAAAAGAAATTCATTATTGGAAACAGCTTTTTAAAAATGGTAACACATTGGGTAAGCTTGTTGCAGAATAAAGGAAGCTGTACTATGTCAGGAAAACAGTTACAATTTTAAAGTAAATTAAAAACATTTAGCAGAGATTTGAATTTAATATGAAATATTACTGAGATTGAAGGAAGTTTTATTCTGGGGGAAAATGATGAGGGATTTTGATACCTTTACTGAGGTATCTTAAAGTCTAAAAGAAAAAATATTGAAGATATAAAATGTCTCAAAGGATGAATTCTCCGATAAGTAATTCCACTTGTTTTTTTCTTGGAAAGAAGTAGTTGTATTCTAGAAAAGTTAAGTTTTCAGAGCATTTATTATAGCTAAATTATAGTTGGGAAATGGGGATTGGAGTTGGGATGGTGAGTAGGCAGGTTTTCCCGGTATCTTAAGATTTTAGTCTTTTTTTGCAGAATAAAAAAAAAAACTACTGGTCCATGTCTAGGCACCCTTACACTTAGATTGGTAAAATTGCTGTGAAAACCAAGTAAGTCTGGAAAAGTTAATGGTGGGCCTTCAGAAATTACCTTGATAATCCTACTTGACAACTGTAGGAGATCCCCTGATGCTCTGAGGACATAAACTTTGGCCTGGAATATCTATTCACATTTAAAGTTCCAGGAGTCTCAGCAATTTGAGTCCCAGGAATTAACTTACAGTCGAAGTGAATTGTGGACATACAGTACATTTCTATGTGTTTTTAGATTAACTAATTCTTGTAGGCCTTAGAATACTCTGTAGATAATTTATTAAGTTGACTAAGCAATTAAGGTCTTTCACTCAAGAAATATAGTTTAGTAAACAATTAAGAATTCAGTTTAATGTTGTTTTCATCTTAAGAAGGCATGTAAGAATTTATACTTTGTGGAAGAACAAAGTTATTTAACCAAAGGACTCTTAGGTGATTCAGGAAGATAACTAAGAATGATGGTGCGAGTATGGGGGTCTAAAGGTAGGAAAAGGAAAGTTAGTCCTTATGCATGAAATAAAATTCTCTTAGTCATATAGCTGTCTTTACTATGTAAGTATTTTAAGAAATATTTCATACACCATTCATAGTATTTATTTTAAAAACATTCTTAGGTGTTAACTGTTTAACTGACTTTTGTCATTGATGCAGTACCTACTAGTCACTTTTTTGTATATGAAAATACCAGAATCTTTCCATGTTAGAAGCATTTTGCAAAAATTAATTTTCTTGTGTGAAATAACTGGAAACTGTTAATAGGTTAAATGATTTTAAAAGAAAAAAACAAAACATAGTTGATATAAGTACCCATTACATTGTGCTCTTAATTTTAAACAAAAACATTAAATATTTAATAGGTTTTTCCCTGGGTAGTTAAGTGTTTCACAGATCTGCCAAATTGAGAATTTGCTGTAAGGATCACATTTTTTTTAAAAAAAGGATAAAAGTTACCTCCATCTAGTATAAGTTTCATTTTATTTTAACTGCTGGACACTGAATTTAGGACTTCATGCGTGTGCATGGTAGACAAGTGCTCTCTACCACTGAACTTCACCTTTAGAAGGGTTGTTTTTTTTTTTTTTCCCTTTTCCTTTTTTTTTTTGGGGGGGGATTGAACCCAGTCCATTATGCTTGCTAGGCAAGCACTCTACTACTTTAGCTATGAAAGAGATTATGACAAAAAATGTTTCAATTGATATTATTAAGGATTTCCATGAATATTTGTAAAGGAAAGGTTTATTTGTTTATATACTGAATATATTCTCTGAAGACATTGGGATCCTAAGACCAAAGTGTATCCATGCACAACTGTGGGGTGAAAGATGAGCTGATGAGTGAAGTAGCAGTCATTTAACCCAAAATGGCTTTCTGCTTGTTTATTCAGGAGCTTTGCTTCTGCTGAAGATTATGTTAATAGGTAGGATTAAATGAAAAGTGGTAGAGTATAAAATTTTAGTAGTTCAAAACATTCTCACTTTGTGATTAAATGACTTGTTAGTGAGCTTTTACTTGTCATTTAACACTATATTGATTATATTCGATAGTGTAGAAAATACTGAAAAATCAGTTAGATTTTGGTTTGAGTTCTGCTTCTTGACACTTTGTAACTGACTTAAAACCTTAATCATCATCTACTTTCCAAAGGTTACTTTTAATTTTTTGAGTCTTTCCACTTCCCAAGATTGTTAGTATGCATGACTATTGTTTTTGACAGATAGCAATTATTTATAGGAGCACATTTGAAAATACCAGGGGGCTGTGGTAATTAGAGATAATTATCTGTGTTTTCTTTCTTAGCCTGTGGACATCTCTACAGCGATGAGTGAGCGGGCACTTGCTCAGAAAAGACTCAGTGAGAACGCATTTGACCTCGAAGCCATGAGCATGTTAAATCGAGCTCAAGAACGGGTATGTAGCAGTTTTAATGTCTTAGTAAATGAAAATTTCACTAACTAAAATTTTGAATTGTGACATCATAAACTATGATAAACTATTTATCTTAATTAGCTGGCTTATTTTAAATGTGATTTGAAGTCTGATCATTTAGTAAATGTTTATTGTGTCATGTGACAGGAACTGTTTCTTGAGAGAACAAAATAGAAAAAATTACTTGTACTCAAGAGTCTGATTCATAAAAAGAGCTAAGTGCCCATAACCCCATGAGGTGTGTAGGTGTGATTATTAGTTCTTATGTATCAGTTGAGGAAACTGAGGTAAGGAGTATTTAGGTCCCAAACTATTAAGTAGGGGAATTGGGACTCAAACCCAGGCAATCAAAATGCAGTGTCTTACAACCACAGCTTTCTCCATTTCTTTAAGTTCTTACGGTAAATCTATATAGAAATACTTCAGTATATCCTTAGGCAGGAAATAACATTGCTGACAGTACCGTGTTCAGTAACTATATTTTGAATGAATGACAGCTGATTCTTTACCATTGTAGATATTGGTGGTCCACACCTTTTTTAAATAGCTGTTTTACTTATTTGGACCATTTCCTACATTAATCTCTAAGGCTGTGTCATGAATTTATTTCTGGCTCCATAATATCTCAAAAGGAAATAGTTAATTACAAATTTAAGGTGTCACAGCATTATTAGGTTGCATTTAATATGAGATGAATAAAAAGGCAAGGCAGGATTCTTTGCCACTCTTCTACTTTTTACATGTATCTGTGATATTTTGAAGAACGAATATTAGGCTTATGGTTTTCAGTTAGAGATACACTTGTATCTTTCACCCATAGTATTAGGTTGGGGAAGTGCTTTAGTGGTTTAAGAAAATATTTCATTTTATATATGTATAACTTCAATATATTTTGACAGCTTAAGTCTTGTTACTTAGCCTTTTCAGAAGCTAAACCATTTTTCTTTAGTGAATTAAGTGACTCTTGGTAGCATTTTAATCAGATAAATTATTTTATTTAATTAATCAAGGTGGCTTCTTTTCTTCAGATTGATGCCTGGGCTCAGCTGAATTCTATTCCTGGCCAGTTCACAGGAAGTACCGGAGTACAGGTTCTGACACAAGAACAGCTGGCCAATACTGGTGCCCAAGCCTGGATTAAAAAGGTATACAACATATGCACATATGAAAGTATCAAAGTATAAAGTGAAAAATTTTTGGATAATGTTTAATTTAAAACGCATGAAAGAGGCCAGTGACTTTAAAGTTGCCAAGTAAATTTGCTATGTGTATATGCTCCAGGATGGACATTGAAGATGGACCGGAATCACGGCACAATGGCAAATGTATAAATATGGCTCAAGAGCCACTCAGTTTATATCCTAAGGTTCTTTTTATTTTTTGCTGCTGCTGCTGCTGGTTTTGGTGGGGGTGGTTTTCTTTAACTGTTTTGAATGCTAACTGTATCAAGTGCTGTTCAGAATATTCCACAGTTCCTGTTGGTCTACTAACCTAATCATTTTAGAGCAGTGGTTCTCAAATTTTTCATCATGGGATACTTTATTACAGGTTTATTTTTGGTGGATTACTACCCCCAGCATCCCTCTACCTCCCAAATATTCCATTCCTCTCTTCCTCTGTCCTTGTCCTCTTCATTAGTGCCTGCTCCCTCTTATAAGATCCCTCGGCTATGCTCCTCACTTCTCTGTGACTTCCAGCCCCAAGTCCCCATATGTTGGTCAGCTATTGGCTACAGCAAGTGGTTGGGAGGCCCTAGTATTAGTACTGCATGTGGTGAATTTGCCATGGGACTGGAAGGCTGGGGGAGGATGGCTGGAGTGTGGGGTGGGTTGTGCTGAAGGGTGGTGAAGGGAGTGGGATGGGGATGCTGACAGAGATAATTATCTGTGGACCACCATGTTGGCCCTGGTGGCCTCTGGTGATCCACAGGCTCAACTTGAGAACCACTGATTTCATGAAAAAACAGGATATATAAGACCTAAAATCAAGGGAGAGGATGGACACCTCGTACTACGAAGATGTAGGTGCACCTGGTCTCAGATTCCTGCAATGAGATGTTTCAACTCCACCTACGGCTACCTCATTGTTGGGGGAGTCTTAGGTGGTTAAAAAGGGCTTTCTGAAGAAATGCAGTTTGGTGAAGGGACATGGTTTGGTTGGATGGGTGATGGGAAATTTGTTTCAGGAGTACTGGCAGCATAGCAGTGCTGAAACTGGGAGGCTGCGTGGTCTAATGGATTGGGAAGGTTTCCTTATCCTGCTGTACTCCTGACTCCTTGTGTGATCATGGGCAAGTAATTCTTTGGAATTTCAAAGTCTCCTAAGTGTCAAGAGGAGACAAGTTCTTATTACTGCCTCAGGGGTATTGAATGTGATGGGTACCTATTGAGATTTGCAATGAGTGCCATTTGTGGATGAGCTAAATTTCAAAAAAAATTGAGATACTGGTTGTTTTGGACATTTTAATCTCATAACATTTCAGTTTTGATAGCATTTTCATTGCTGATCCTCTTATTAACAAATTAATGTAAGACAGCATATATCCTCATTTTGCCTGTTTTTTTTTTTTTTGAAGAATTAGTTGCACTAACGTGCTGGGGCGGGTGGTGGAAAAAAGGGTAACCTAGAAAAATATTTTATAATTTAGATTAATTTTATATACTAATACTTTATAGTTAAAATCCAAAAGTGATTCATATTGAATAACGGCTTTCATCTTGGTAGAAAGGATTGTGTGTGTGTGTACGTATTTATATATATTTCCTTTTTTTGTGGTCTTGGGCCACAGGACCTTCAAAATCCAGGGCCTTGTGCATGCCAATACATGCTGTCTCACTGAGCTACACCTAAAGCCCTGTTTAATGCTGTACTTAGTCTTGAGGCTTAATGCTCATTATATCTGGAAGTTACACGTGAAGTTTATGGTGCTTAACTAGTGGATGATACACAGTCCATGTACATTGCTCCATAGAAACTTCTGAATGTGCTTCCACTGTAAACTTTCTGTAGTCTATGTAATGATGATGTTGTTCCCATAGTGTTTGTTAATGCTTAAGTATCATAAGTAACTTTTACAAAGTGAATCTATTCTGATTCAATTAGCTCTCTAAACTTTCCCACAAAGTGTTTTGATAATTATCAATCTTGTAAGCAGTTTGCAGAATTTTTAAAAATAAGCAAAATGTTGAATAGAATTTTAAAACTGCTTCATCCTTATACTTTATGTAAAATATGCTTTGGGAAGTAAATCACTTTTGTAAGTTTATCAAGTGCAATGTGTTGATCAGGCCAAGTTTTAAATGACAAAAAAAGCATCACTTTTAGAAAATTGTCCATGTGTAGAGTTACTGAAGAATATTTGTCCAATATAATTTAGGGAAGGAGCTTTATTTTATAAAAATAAGGAAGAACATTTAGAAGTCATTAGGCAACTGGAAATTTAATGTGTTTATCACAAATACTATCTACTCATTCAGTGGTGAGTTATGTTTAGAAAACTTGTTCAAGTGATCATTTAGCTTTCCTTAACATTGTCCTTTATGTTAAAAAATACAGGGAATGCCAACATTTTCTTGTGTTCTTTAGTTTGTTGCAATATACTTTTGAATTAAGAAAGGTTTATTGGTATTCTCTCATTTGTCAGTAAAACACTTAAAATGTTAATTGACTTAAAAGAACCATTATTTTCTGGAATGAAATGATTTGGACATAAATTTTATAAATATTGTGATCTCATTAGATTAATTAGCTTTTTGTGAACTGCATACACAGTGGGTAAAGAAACATTAGAGATGGAAACAGTTGGAAACGTGGGTTATTTGGGGGTTTATATTGTACTCTGTCTGCACAGTTGCCCTTTTTTTTAGGAGTGTTTCCTGGAAAAGAGGGGCAGATGAACCTGGAAGTAAGTAAAAGTCATTCTAGGTGTGTAGCATCAAGGCAGTTGATATCCAAGCATCAGCTAACTTTTCTCTTTATACATCTACACTGCATGGCCTGCACCAAATAAGGAACTGAACCAGGGGTATGTTTTACCTCCACAGCTGCCTCCTTCCATCAGAGCACCTTGTTGGACTTAATGTCTAGTCACATGTCATTGGCATGTTTTCTCCCCAGCATTTAATTACAAAGCTGGGAAAGAAGATTCTGCAGTTTTACTACTGTGTAAAAGCATGATTCTTAGAAATATTTAGTTATTAACATCAGTGTAGGAGGTGTTAATGCAGTTTCTTGAGCTATCAAAACTTTTGACCCCGTTAATGACTTTTGCCATATATTTGCCAGAGAACATCAACCTAAAATTTAATAATGATGGGAAATAAAACACAATTTGGAGAATTTTCAAAAAATTTTAAGTGTCTAGAAGGATCAACAGAAGACTCTAGTACTGTTTGTTATATATACATGGATGCCCTTTAAAAAAGAGGCATCAAATAATTCCTTAACATGTGAAAATAATTGTTGATCATGCTAATGTATATAGTTGTGCAGCTTAGGACATTAAGTGGTTTGCTGCTTTGATGGAAATTATGGTTCAGTGGGTTGGATACAAGAGAGATGATTGTTCACAGAATAACCTGTGAACTTTCACCCCTCTGTATGGAAACTTGTTTCAGGGCCAAATCCTTGTAGCTGTCTTCTTGCCCCGGTCAGTGCCAGCCGTACTATTCACAACACTGCTGCTACCGAGGCCTAGGTATGTAAACATTTAAGGAGTTTTTTAAAAGTCTTATAACATCAAGCTAGGTTTTAAAAGAATTCAGATTCATTTTGGCATACTTACAGGGCATTTTATGTGGTTCTTCAGTTTATTTCTGTGTAAATTTAAAGAGTTACTTTGTTTCATAGGGATTTTGTAAGTAAAAATATCTATGCTTGCTTTATAGTAGAATGGGGAAGAAAACTGGATGACAACAGTTTGCTGCTTCAGTTTCCAAACTATTTCTAAGTGATTTCTGGGCTTTATTCATAAACTTAGGTACACCTGGCACAATTAATATTACTGACTGTTTTAACATTGCCTTCTTTTTATTTTGCAAGCTAAGAAGAGATACCAGTGAACCTAAATAGTGGACGAAAACAGGAGTGTTCTTTTATTTTTTTTGTTTTTTTGAGGGGGGCACAAGGGGCTACTGTTTACAGATTGCCATTTGACTTTCAAAATACTACTGTTAATGTGAAAATAATTAGAACATAATATATTATAGTATGTATTGAGTATAGCAGCATTTAAATTTAATTGCTATAACAGGTCTAGAAGTAAAATAAGGATTCTTTTTAGAAAGTTACCGTTGAGCCTGTTGTCACGTTCTAACTATAAAATTGGGACATTTTACCTTTTTTTCTTTGGATAGGATCAGTTCTTAAGAGCAGCCCCGGTAACCGGAGGAATGGGAGCCGTTTTGATGAGAAAAATGGGCTGGAGAGAAGGAGAAGGATTAGGAAAAAACAAAGAAGGAAATAAGGAGCCTATCCTTGTTGATTTTAAGACAGACCGAAAAGGTAACAAGTTCTTTTGGAATGTTTATTATACTTACTACCTTTTTTTGGTGGTACTGGGGTTTCAAACTCGAGGCCTTGCGCTTGCTAGGCAAGTGCTGTACTACAGGAGCCACATCCCCAGCCCTTTTAGTTTTAGTTATTTTTCAGGTATGTTCCTAAGTGTTTTGTGTGGTCGGGTGTGGACCACAGACCTTCTACTTATCATACCCTGGGATTACAGGTGTGTACCACCATGCCCAGCTTTTTTATTGAGATGTGGTCTCCAGAATGTTTTGTCTGGACTAGCCTTGGGCTGGCCTTGATGCTCAGTCCTCCTGACCTCTACCTCCCCAGTAACTGGGATTACAGGTACAAGCCACTGTGCCCTAAGTCTTTATAACTTTTTAAACATTATTTTGGTGTTAGTGATCCTAAACTGGAGATGTTTCTTTTATGGCATGCAACTGTTTTGTCAAAAAACTTTTAACCATACATAGGAGCACGTTTTTGTGTAAATATACATGGAATCACTGGTTTGAGCTTTTAAAGGCAACTTTCATCAATTACATTCACTACAAATCTTTACTTGGGATTTTTATTTTTATTTTTTCAGGTACTTTACCATATTTTCCTTATTTCCTATTAGTCCGTTTTGTCTTTATTTAATAAACTCCTTTTGCTTGTTCTTTGTTCAAGCTCAGTAGTGGGTTGGGGAGTGAGGAACTTTGTACCAACTGCTGGCAACAGTGTTAGTTCTTCATATTGCTTTGAGTTGGGGACACCTTGGAACTGTTTATCACTGACTATATTTGTTATAACCTTCAGAGACAGGGTTTGGAAGGTCTGTAAAGCCTGCATATAGCTGCTACATATTAAATATATACTTATGTTACCTTTAAATAAGTTCTTTTGTTGGAATAATGTCTTAAGGGAATCACAAGTGGCTTGTTTAGGGCTGACTTTTAAAACTGAATTTACTTTCCTTATCTTTGTAGTCACATATAAGTCAGAATTAAGGAGTTAAATTGTTTAGATGAATTTGGAAATTGAGTGACTGTGCATCAAATATGTATTACCTAACTCCAGGGAGCATTGTTAGTGTAATGGGTCTAAGTTCTCACAGAATGGCACATTTCCTGGGGAAGGTTAATAAACTCGTGTGTAATTTGCAAAGGAGTGGTTGAAAAGTTTCCTGTAAAATCCATGGAAATTGGGAAAGCATTGTTTTGAGGCTGGTAATACTGCCAATCTCTGTGTAATAAATTTAGAGAGAGGGTGGTTATTCAGAGAAGTTACATTTATCTCTCGAGAACATCTCATTAAGTAAAAAAAGGTTTGCTGTGATAAAAGTCATTTATCCTAAGACATACTGCCTTTTTCACTTTTTCCCTTTTTTTGGTGGCTTAAAATCCCAGCCTTTTTTGAAACATACTCTTTGAGTAGTAGTATTTTTTTTAAAGATAAGAAACGTAAGCAGGGCATGGTGGTAGCTCACGCTTATGTTCCTTGGACTTGAGAGGCTGAGGCAGGAGGCTCCCGGTTCAAGGACAATGTGGGCTACAATAGTGAGACCCTGTCTCAAACAAACAAACAAAAATGTATAAAAAAGTCAGTTTCAACAAATAGTTACTACTTCTTAAACTTTTATAAAGAACTTGTACCTTGTGTGAACTTATTTGTACAGTTTTTAACATCAAGGTATGTGTATAAAATACAAACTTGTATATCAGAATGGCAGAATAAAAGATTATATAGAAACTATTCATGGTATGAATCTATTGAATATTTTATTTGAAGGTATGGACTGAGGTTCATTGAGCAGTTGTATGTGTGTGTGTGTGTGTGTGTGTGTGTTACAATTTTAAATGATACTGAAATTTTTTTTTAAAGGTCTTGTTGCGGTAGGAGAAAGAGCCCAAAAGAGATCTGGGAACTTCTCTGCCGCAATGAAAGACCTGTCAGGTGAGAGCATACTTTTGAATTTCCTCTTGTCCCACCCATAACTGAATTATAATTTGTTGCAGAGTTGGTGGAAATAATTTTACTGGTTATTTTTTTCTCCGCAGGCAAGCATCCTGTGTCTGCCTTGATGGAGATCTGTAATAAGAGAAGGTGGCAACCACCTGAATTTCTCTTGGTCCATGATAGTGGCCCTGATCATCGCAAACATTTTCTCTTTAGGGTAAATATGAATTTCTGCATTAATTGTATATGTTAATTTGTTGACTTAATGTTAGAGGGTAAGGGATAAGGATCATACAATGACAGTTTTAACATTCTGTGGATTGGGGGTGTAGGGTGATGTGGGTAAGAGTGGTGGGATTTTTAAACACTGAAGGATGCTTGAATATGACTTATAAATATTTTATTAAATATTAAAGGGAAAAGATGGGATAAAATTTGGTGAATAATTTGCTGATAAGTTCTAGTGGAATGTGGGGGGGAATCTAGTACTTTTGTTGGGCTTTAAAATTTTTTTTTGATTTGAACTGTTTAATAATTTATAGTCAATGTTCAAAAAACATTTGCTTCTTTTGGGCTGAGATTTATTTAATTTATGTAGTGTGGGATTTATATTTTTATAAATTATTTTCTAGCATTTAGTGAAAAAATACAAAGCTAATAGATATTAAAGTTTGATGCTGTTCTTATTGTATGTTTTTCTTGAATAGGTATTGAGAAATGGAAGCCCTTACCAGCCCAATTGTATGTTTTTCTTGAATAGGTATTGATAAATGGAAGCGCTTACCAGCCCAGCTTTGCCAGCCCTAATAAGAAGCATGCTAAAGCCACAGCAGCTACTGTGGTTCTTCAAGCAATGGGCCTTGTACCAAAGGACCTCATGGCTAATGCCACTTGCTTCAGGAGTGCCTCACGTAGATAGATTGAGGTTTTATATTAATCATTTCAGATAATTTTACTCCGCATCACAATGTATTTCCTCTTTAATGTTGTAAATATTTGGCAATTTAAGACATTGTGTAAAAAGCAATCTGTACAAACATCTCCAGGCTTTGATTTTTGTACCATGGAAATTGTATTTAACCATACAGGGTTTTGGTATGTTTATATTGTTTACCTTAGTGATGTATTTGTTTAAGTGGCTAACATCCAAACAATTGTTTGAAGGCATCAGTAATCTTCAGTGTGGAATGTTAAACAACGCTTTTATACTGTATTTTGTACTATGATGTAACTCCCTTTCCTTATGGCTAGGCTGTTGTAACACTTGCCTGTAATCAGTGAAGGGCTGTGCACCTTGTACTATTTCACAATGGGTTCTGCTGGACAGATAACTGGGCTAGTGCTATTGAGGTAGTCAAGATCTGCTCCACAAGGCTAGTGCCACCATCTCCCCTTAAAATTTTGTAGAGGTTACAAAAAGAAAGCTATGTTGTGTATGATCAACAGGAAAGTCCTGCGTTCCCATTAAAGCCACTTGGGTCATAAGAAGGGAGTCAAAATGAAGTCCGAATAGAATTCTGCAGAGGCCAAGTACATTTAGTATGGCTTGAGTTGTGATATAGTTTTACTTTGATGTGCATTTTGAATTTCAGCTACACCTAGGTAGACATAAATGATAATTAAAATGCTGTAACCAACTTATCTAATAAAATTGGCAACCAGCCACTATTTTGTTGACTATGAGAAAGTTTAAGTTTATGTTAATTTTTAGGGTCTGATAGAGTATTTCATGTGTATTACAGTGGTATTCATATGCTGTCTCTCTAAACTTATTTTCAAAAGCTTAAGGCCCAAATACAAACTTCTCTGGAATAAATGTGGTGTTTTGTTCTGATTATGAAGTGAAACACGCACCTCTTCACTAAGTACTGTTATGCTTATACCCAATGATTCTGATTTTCTAAACATTTATTTTACAGTTGTGGTGAATTTTACACTGTCACACATCTACAAGCAGATTAAACAGTAGTTTGCCATGACAGCTGAGCATCCATCTCTTAACACTGCTCGCTGTGGAATACAAAATACCCTTTTATCTAAGTGCATTTGAGGACAGAGGAATTAGCAATCAGCACTAAAGATACTGTGGTAGAAGCATCAGCAGTCTGTTCTATAGATAATATCTACATTTATTTTTTATTTATTTTATACTTTTATAAAACAATAACCTGCTTAAGTAGTCTTAGGTAAATTGTTGGAGTAATATTTTTGCCTTGATCCCCTTAGTCATAATGCTACGGATAGGAATAACTGCTGCAGTCTTAGTCTCAATTTTCATTTGTAAAAAACACTAACTTTAATTCGGTTTTCCACTCAGTTTACAATTAAGTTGTAGAGAGAATTCATTCAAGTTATTTAAGGTTGAAAAAATTTGCATCATCTTCATATCTGAAAATCTAGCATGAAAATAGTAACATGAAAATTAATATAAAACCTCAATACTATCACTCAGCGCATGTAATAAAAAGTTAAATGAAAAAAGTTAATGTTTATAAACACTTAAGTGTTTTAAAAGTATATTTCTTTAAACTTCCAAAATGAACTTTAAAGACAAAGGCATACAAGTATCTTGAATTTCCTTGCTAGGAGGGTTTTTTTTTCCTCAAAGATTCCTTTTAGGCTTACTTTGGTGTTCAGGCTCTCCAATTACAAATGTAGTCACTCATTTCCACCTTCCGTAAAGATGACTTCCCCAGTAATGGTATTTGACTAAGCTGTTCCAAAGTCTTAGGGTGTAACCCGCAGTTAGCAAGATCTTTATGAACAACTTCCTGTGGAGACAATGCGTACAGGTCAGTGAAAAGCACACTAAGTCTTTGAACATTTAATTTTTAATAATTACCATGAAGACTTTGACAAGTGGATCATTCATATAAATATCTATTGAAGTTGGTCGTAAGAATTACAGAGAGACAAAATCCTGAAGTAATGTTAATTTTTACAGTTCTAACAAACTGATAAGCATGTGGCAGTTTTAAAGGGCTATATTATAACCCTCTAAATAGAAAGCTATAAAGATGCTCAAAATTAAAGGCATCTTTAATTTTGATTTTAGTTTTGGTTAAGTAATACCTGTAGTGACTTATGTTACCATAAATTATAAAGGAATCAGGCACCATTAAACTGACTCTGAGAGGGCAATAAAAATTGTAAGTTGTCTTTTACATTTCAGAAGTTGTTTTACTTATTGTTACTAACACAATAGCTTGAATTCATAAAATTTGTCTCAAAGTGTGGATACAGACCTTATTCTTTGCTAGTAATTCATAGTGATAATTTTATAAGGAAACAAATTTGGGTTACAGACATCTATAGCTATCTACAGCTGAGCTAAGCTACATGTAAATTACACAGCCTGTAAAGGGATCACTTACTTTGTCCAGTACTTTGGCCAGTGGCAGGCGAACATTGAACACCGCAGTTGGCTCGTGTGGATACAGTCCCGCAGAGAATGACCCACTCTGTGAAGACTCGAGTAGCATGGCCACAGAATGCAGCGCATGAGGCATGACTGGACCTGTAATCTCCAAACTAAACTGATCTTTGTATCCAGAAAGGGCTTGTGTCTTTACATTGACACTTCGTGCCTTTATGAAAATTTAAAGAAAAAGAAAATTATAATCATCTTTGAAGATTTTATCTGCTGGCTAAAAATGTGTTCAATACATTTTCATTTGGGGTTTCTTCTCTTTAATAGTTAAGGAACAAAAGTAGTTCCTAAAAGAACACAAAAATAAAAATGGTAAACTTTCATTCTCCAGCATCCTCTCTATTAGATTTCTCAGTTGAAATACATTCTAGAGAATTACAATTTTTCATATAGCATCTTATCTAACACATCTATTTGGAATATGGGGAAAACTCATTCTAGTGCTATTAACATGGTATGTTTTACATATGTATAATGCATATATGTATATACATACATAATTTTTCTCAGTAATACAGTTGTTCCTTTTCACCTTATCAATTAAGGTATACACAGGTATCCATTTTGTTGGAGATGGTTTCATCCTTGAATTCATGATTATCCTGCTTCAGCCGTCCAAGTGTAATGCTACACTTTGGATATGTGTAATATAACATAACAGTCTATTTTCTTATGTGGGAACTTTTTTTTTTCCTTGTGGTGGTACTGGGGTTTGAAGTCAAGGCCTTGCTAGCAAGTGCTCCATCACACCTGAGCCACGCCTCCAGCCATTCTGGCTATTCTTGCATTGATGAATAAGTGAAACTGAGACTAAATAACTTTCCCTTAAATGTCCAGAAAGGAAATTTAACACTTAAATACTTAATTTCCATTTACACTTTTTCAACAAAAAAATTTATGTAATTTCAAAACTAGCTGCAGTGTCTTGTGACAGTAATCCTAGCAACTTGGGAGGACAGGGATCCAGAGATCTGGAGATTCTCAAGTTTGCAGCTAGCCCAGGCAAAAAGCCTGTGAGACCCTACCTCAACTAATAACAAAGATGGTATGGTGGCCAGCCTGACATCCCAGGTACCAGCGAAAAGTAAATAGGAGGATCTCTGTCCAGGCTGACCCAAGCATAAAATCAAGGCCCTATTTTAAAAAGAACTAAAGCATAAAGGGATGGGGGTGTGCTTCAAGTAGTAGAGCTTCTGAAGCTTAGCAAGAGCAAGGCTTTCAGTTCAAGCCCCAGTACTGGAAAAAAAAAAAAAGGGGGGATTTCATATTAACTCATACATTTTCACATACTTTTTAATAAAATATGCACCAATGTACAAAAGAGGTAGGAAGAGTAATTTTTTGAAAATCAAGAATTTAAGGCCGGGCATGGTGGCAGAGCTACCTGTGCAGGAGGTGGAGATGAGAGGATCATGATTTGAGGCTAGCCTGGACAAAAACATTGGTGAGATACTATTTTAAAAAATGCTGGACAATATTGGTACATGGCTATAGTCCCAGCTATGTAGGAGGCACGTCAAGGTCCCAAGTCAGAAAGGCTGGTCTTGGGCAAAAAAAAAAAAAAAAAAAGCAAGACCCTATATGAAAAATAAACTAAGGTAGGGATGGGACTTGGCTCAAGCTGTGCAGCTCCTGCCTAGCAAGCGGGAGGCCCTGAGTTCAAACCACAGTACTGAAAAAAGGAGAGAAAGGAAAAAACCCAAGAGTTTATCCTATTTTTTTTTTTTAAGTGTATCTTTAAAAGCAAGGGATGGAGACTTGCAAAGTATACAATTTCTTTTAATCACCTTAAGCATTTGCATTGTGGCACCTCGGAAGGCTATTGGGGATAAAAGGGTTGGTGGAAGTCCTGCCTGTGCGCCTGAGGTAGCAACTAAACTCTTGCAGTTAATCAAAAAATTGAGCAATGTGAAGGTGTTGATTCCTTTCACCAATACAACAGACTCAGGTTTGTGATCCATTTGTACTTCATGTTTCTCTTTACGTCTGAAGATAACATAATCAAGGAAATTGCAAAAACAAAACACACACCAGAAGGGAAAATTATCTTGATTCTGAATCACCGGGGACCCATTTTCCCAAAGCAAAATGGAAATGCTGCTACCTGAGTTTGATCAAAATGGCGACCACTTAAATTAGCTAGAAACTGATAACAAAAACTAATTCTTTAGTAAAAAATTAATCTCCCACAAGCCTTAACAACATGGAAATGTTTTCACTTAAATATAGTTTAATAGTTGTCAGTTTACTAATACTCAGTGCATTATTATTTACTGTCATAATGAAGAATTAGTTTTAGTAAGATCTGAGAATAAGATTATAGTCATTTAAAACTGTCATTCAATGTTAAATTCCCTCAGTAACTTAATTCAATGAAAGTTAATTTTTATAATAGCAGCTGAAAGGATACAATTTGATAGACAGTATATCCGGCTTTTTAATTTTGTCTTGCACACCCATCTCTTCCAGCCAAGAAAAACTTTCTTCTTCATCCTCATCACTCACTGCTTGTTCCCTAAGAAATTATACAGTTAGTGATTCCATTTTACAAAGCTGCTAATATTATAAATCTATTTCATTGAATCCGGCAGTCATTAAAATATGTATAAGATTATTTTAACTACATACTCCCCAGGTCCCAAGCTTGTTCCATATTCTTTCTTTTTGTGCCCATTTTCTTCTATTAAAGGCAGAGAAAATTCAATGCCTACATGAGAAAAGAAAAAGAATTCAGTTTTCTTTAAAAAGTATCTAAGAGCTGGGCACTGGTGGCTCATTCCTATAATCCTAGCTACTTGGGATTCAGGCAGGGGAAAAGTTCATAAGACCCTATCTTGAAAATACGCAACACAGAAAAAGGGTGGCAGACTAGCTCAAGTGGCAGAGTGCCTGCATAGCAAGCATGAGGCTCTGAGTTCAAACTCCAGTACCACAAAAAAAAAAACAAACCCAAAAAAACAAACCCAAAAAAGCCAAAAAACAACTATTTAAGAGGAAGGCCCTTCTTTTTAGAGAACAGAATTAGAAATGTAAATTTCCATTTGACCTATTAAGACAGTATTCTCATGCACAGCTTGCTTGCTTGCTTGCTTTTTTTTTTTTTTTTTTGAGGCAGGGTCTTGCCTCAAGGCCAAGGCTGGAGAGAAACTCAAGATCCTTCTGCCTCAGCTTCCTAAGTGCTGGGATTACAGATACATGCCACCATGCCCAACTAAGCTTTCTTCATAGTAGCCCACCATAAATACACACATTTCCCTGAAACAAAGATTCAGGAAGCCATACTCTTGCTACATGTGTTACTTTTACATAAATTACATTGTATTCTAGTTCACTGACTGGGTCTACTACATAGATTTCATGATCCACTAATGGATGGGTTGATGCAGTTTAAAAATGTTATTCAGGGGGAGGGTAAAAGTTGTATTACAGAAGAGTCTCTAGGATTGGAGGTGTGGCTCAAGCGGTAGAGCACCTGCTTTGCAAGCATGAATCCCTGCAATCAAACATCAGTTCCACCAAACTAAACAATTTCTAGAGGAGTATATTCAGATAGTGACTTTCTGGACAATTATGTCTTTTATTTCAGAGATCAGATAAAAGTTATGTGTAAGGGACAGTTTTACCAACAGCAGGGGAAAAAAAACCAGAAATGAATAAATAAATATGTTTCTTGAAATAATATTGGCAAGCAACTGGTAAAAGACAAGTCAAAATTTAACTGTTAAGACAAGTGGTTACTATGTAAAATGCACTATTCTCACTTTAATTCTAAGCTTTTACCTTCATTTTTCATAGCTTCTCTTAAACCTCTAGTTGTAGGAGATATGAGAGCTGTGATCACATCACTTCCTGCTAATCCTGCTGCCCTGAACAGGATAGTAAACTGATAGGTACAAACATAGAAGTAGGGACAAAGTTTTGTCTTCAGTAGATTATACAGAGAGGTAAAGCTCACAGACCTATGGAACAAAAGAATTCTCTTTAGTTGTTATTCAACATTTAACTCAATGTCTAAAATTTAATTTTGTATAATGGGGTCTGATACTCAGCTGGTTTAAAACAGAACATGAATATTTCAGATACTAATTTGAATTTCTACAGTTTGTAGAACTTGGTTTTAAAGGACTGAAACGGGGACTCACTGATGACTTTGTAATACTTTTCACAAATAGCATTTATCACATAAACGTTAACCAGTTTTTCTTTCAATAAATGTCACTGATAGCCGATTGCTGACTTTCTCTGAGCAACTTCTGCTGCTGAGAAAGGAAGCAGCCATGTAGAAGTAAGATTAAAGAATATACTTGACTATATATATTTATTTAACAAATATATACTCCACATGTTGATAGTGATAAGAGCCAAAAAAAAAAGTTTAAGTGCTGATTATGAATCATTTCTGACAGAATTCAGAAAGACACAGAGATCCTTCTACCATTATAAATTTCCATGTCACAAATATAGTAAGGAGAAGACACAGCTAAAATGAAAATTCACCAATGGATGCCAAGTTTACTAATCTTACCAGTCACTCATCAAAAGATGTTGCAGGTTTTCATCATTTGACCAGGGGCTGGTCTTTCCAGCCATTTTTCTGTCAGCCCCAATACGAGGGAACAGAGGCAGCCAAGACAAGGCAGGGTGGAGCCAATAGACAAGGCTCTGCTGGAGTGCACAACGTAGCTCAGTAGAGAGTTTGGGATCCTAAAATCCAGAGGGCATAGTGGGTGGTTTTCAAGCCATGAGAGATACAGAATTTTATTAGAAGCACTAATATACAAAATGTTCAGTCTAAGAGTTTTTGCTGTTTTGTATGAGAAAGCATTCATAACTGCTATATGGGTTAAAACGTAGTATACGCCTTGTTTGGGATGGCCTTTCTGGCCAGCAATTGCTATTAAACCATTGGTCAGAAAGAACCACAAACATAGGTGGGCATTTTCTCCTTCCTCCTGTCATCCTTGAGAACAAAGACTATGGGTTAATTTTTTTGTTTTGTTTTTTCCCTCAGTACTGGGGCTTGAACTCAGGGCCTGCACCTTAAGGCATTCCACCAGTCCTCTTTTGTGGGAGGTTTTTTTCAGGATAGGTCTCACCAACTCTTTCACCAGGCTGGCCTGGAACTTCAAGTAGCTAGGATTACAGGCATACACTACCAGGGCCCAGGTAGGTAAACCTGTACAAACAAGTCTGAGTTGATGAGGTGCTTCAATGTAATGAAAATACACGTCTCTAAAATCTTTCTAGAACTCATCGGTTTCCGTAAAATTACAAGAGACTATTAACCAGGTAGCAAGAATCTGTGCATAATTAAAAAAGCATGTCCTACATGAGCAGATCAGTAAAAACCCATCTGTTCTTGTAATCCTACTAAATTGCTTTCCATTTCCTTATATTTTCTTTCTCAAAAAGCCTTAGAAAAGAAAGAATGCTTAGTGAAAACAATTTCTGGCTATACCACTGATTCTCAGGACAAGTCTCTAAATTTAATAGATAGGGCTGGTGGAGTGGCTCAAGTGATAGAGCACCTGCCTAGCAAGTGTGAGGCCCTGAGTTCAAACCCCAGCACCGCCATAAAAAAAAAAAAAAAAAAAAACTGACTGGTAAATTTAATGAGCAGTTACTCAATCTGACAAAAATGTATCTGAAAGCACCATCTGGGAAAAACAAAATTTCCTGTCTTTTTGTCATTAAGTGTCAGAAGAAATATCTCTGATAGTATATAGAGAAAAGCCTTTTTATATTTAACTTGTTACTTTATACCAGAGCTACTTTATTTCAGCATTACCTTTATACTTTGAGGCAAAGTAACTGCTACTGCCCTACAATGCTGAACAACACCTTGAGCCTCTTCCTGTGCTTTCAAGTGATCCGCCCAGGTAAAGGGTTGAGAAGAGGTGAAAAGGAGTCGAGTTTTAATACTCCAGTCCACAGGTAACTCAGTACCTTCTGAAGATGGAGTATCCAATTCAGAGAATGATATGAGCTGACTCTTAGAAAACAAGGAACACAAAATTAGTGTTTCAAGAAAAACCCTGTAATCTAAAGATTTTAAATAAAATATTCATGACCACTGAAATGTCAAAATTATCCGAACTGTACAATAAATAGCATTAAAAATATATCACACTGAAAAAAGTCTGGAAGGATCCACTAAGCTGTTAAGCAGATGCCTCTGTGAATCAGGAATTTGTTCAGGGTGATGAGGCAGACTTCACTTTTTAGTTTTTACAGTATTTTCTTAATACTACAGATCTTGCTTGAGTGGAACTCTTCCCAATTTTTTTTAAATCTATCTTCTCTTTGTCTTTTTTCTTCCTAGTATTTAAAAAAGAATAATGCTTAAACCTTTGAAACCAAAACCCTAGGCTAAGCGGTTTCTTCTGCAGGTAACAGAATTTTTAAGGGTCATATTTAAGAAATATTTTCTTGCCTTACTCTCAATTTGTTTTGTTGTTCTTCAAGTCAATATTCTCCACATTACAGGGTTTTTTTAGGTAACATCACAACAAAGAATTAGGCAAGGGGGAACTGTATCCAACAGACCATTTATAAAAACGGAAGGCTGGATCTTGGACAGCTCTTCTAGCCTGGTCCCAATAGGACAAACTATGCATTTATCAAACTATTATAACAGAAATACTTGGGAATGAAAACGTATGTGTTGGGAAGAGGAACAACAAGTTTAAGTTCTAAGCCACAACTAGTGGAGGTAATCTTGGGGATTTCAAGACTTAGTATATGACTAAGAGTAGTAGCTCAGCCAATGGAGTGCCTCTGAGCGAAGAGCTGGAGAGTCACTACCAGAGGAAAAAAGAGTGAAAAACTGATGGGGATACAAGGACAACCCACATTCACCACCTCTTGCTTTAGTGCAGGCAGTCGTTACAGGCATCACGAGTACATCATACCAAGTTCTTTATCTTGGCTGATGGCATCTCTCCAACCCTGGGATGTGCTCGTTCTCAAGCTTGTTTGTCAAACTGTTTTCCAAGCAAAAAGTTTCTAAGAATACACCTTCTGATATGTAAAAACTTCTTACCTGGAAGAATTCAGGGACAATTGTTCTTTCCGGTGACGTCTCTTCCCATAGCGAATCATTTTCTTGATTGGAATCTAAAACCTGAGGTTAAAAAAAATAATTCTTTTTAAACTTAGAAGATGCTGTAGTTTGCTTTAAATACGTGCGGGACCTCAGCGGGCAAACGAGTTTCTCAGTGAGTGAGTGGGCCCAAATTCATACACGCCCAAGCTGAAGTTCACCTCAGCGTAGCGTCTCAACTAAGACGGGCAGAAGGCCGGCGTTTTGCACGTTCACTAACTGACATATAAACCTCCAGCACAAGATCCAGAACGCTTTACGGTAAGCCAATGCTGGTCCATCTGGCGGACCCGTCCTCCCCAACCTCCACCCCGGATAACTGAGGGTGCGCAGCGGGCGGTGGAAGCCTGCAGGCAGACTGCCCTAGGGTCGGCCTCTCTGTCCAGTCCACCTCGGAGGAGTCCGGGCCGCCGCCGCCACCCCCCAGCAGGGCAGCCCCGGCGAGGGGCGGACACTCACCGAGCCCGGCGCCTCGTGCTGGCCGTGGGGCGGCCCATCGGGGCCCTGGGTGACGGGCCGAGGCCGGTTGTCCAGGCGGGCGAAAGGGTTCCTCCGAGCCGCGGGGCCGCCGCCTCTGCCCGCCGCGGCGGGGAAGGGGCGGAGGGGCAGTCCGGCAGCCAGGGCGGCACGGCGCGGCGCGGGCTCCGGCAGCTCGGGCGCCGGGGAGGCGGCGGCTCCGCGGCTCCGGGCCCTTTTCCGCCGGAGCCGCAGTGTCTCGGGAGGTCTCTTGAAGCTGGGCGAATAGCCCGGCACTGAGAGAGCCATGACCCGCGGCCCGGGAGGCAGGCCGGCAGCCCGAAAGTCACTTCCCGCGCGCAGCGCCCCACCCCCGATGCGGCGCCGCGCCGCGCGCCGACTGGAAGCCCCTGCCCCGCCCCCGTGCGGCCGCCTAGCGTGCGCAGTGGGCCGTCCGCGAGGCCCGCCCCCATGCGACCTACGAGCATGCGCGGCGGGCCGCCCGCGAGGCCCCGCCCTGGTCGAGTCCCTCCGGGTTCTCGGCCGTAGTCCAGCGACATGTGGCAACGCGGGCTAGCACGCGCGAGGTACCGGACGTGCACTAGCTTGCCGGGCACCGCAATGGCCAGACGCTACTGACATTCGCAGCAGAGATGCGATCAGCCGAGGGTATGGCGCCTGGATGAAAAGCAAGTATCACTCTTGAGCTGCGGTGACGGGCTGCTGCTTTGAGAACTTAAAGAGGCCGGCAACGTGTACAGGTGGCACAAGGGCCTTGGCCTCCACCGCCCCATCTTCCAACAGAGAACTCCGATGGGAAGCGACTGGCCAAGCATAGCCTCAGGCAACCCTCCCCACCTCCTTTACGATGCCTGGCCTCCCCAGCCCTTGCCGCTGTTACCGTGATTGTTAGATCCTGGAAAAACTCGGAGTGAAGCAATACTTTAAAAGACTTAAGTGCCTGTGGGTTACTTTGAGATCTGGAAATATACTCAAATGCTGAAATTATGACAGCGGAGGCTTGTTGAGAATTGAGTTGATACAAATTAGTAACACTTTCACAGTATAGCAAAGGCGTAGCATGTGCAGGTAGTTAATGTGCCTTTTGCTGAAGGCAGTCTTCTTCGTGGAAAGAATTTTATACCAGAGGTAAAATGCAGAGAAACAATAAAGACTTTCAGAATACTCCCTTCAGATGTTAAAGAATTATATCGACCGTTTGCACAATAATTTTGCAAATAATTTTGAAATACATCACATAACCGAACATCTTGTCTTAGCAGGAAGACATGCTTAAAAACAGAACTGCTTTTATCTTCCTTGATTTTTCTCAACAATTTCCAAAGAAAACTGGCTTCAAATACTGCGATGGGTCCATCCAGCTGAGGTCTGAGAAAGAAGAAAATTAAAATTGAACAACTTGCTTTTTTCTTTCTTGGTTTTTCTGAACAACTTCCATAGAAACTTTGGCTTCATACAGTGGAATGGGTTCATCCAACTGAGGCCTAAGGAAGAAAAATTAGAAATGTCAGGTCTAGTCACAGATAGTACAACATACAGGATGGCATTTAACAGTTGGCTAGATTTTGGTTGTATTACTTTAAATAATTCAAGAAAAAGTGTCCATTAGTGACACTTAGTGTCACTTGAATGAGACGAGGTCTAGCCAAGGCTAGCCTTCTTTTTTTTTCTTTCTGTGGTACTGGGGATTGAACTCAGGGCCTCATGCATGCAAGGCAAACACTAAACCACTGAGCTATATCCCCAGCCCCAAGGCTAGCCTTAAACTCACAATCTTCCTTCCTCAGTACTCCCAGTGCTGGGATTATAGATGAGAACCACTAGGCCTTGCTAAAAGCAGTTTTTTTGTTATTTTTTGTTTTTTTGAGATAGGGTTTTTCTATGTAACTCAGGCTGGCCTGGAACTCACTATGAAGTCAAGGCTGGCCTCAAACTTCTGAACCTCCTGTTTCTACCTTGTTAGTCCTGGGATTATATCCTTGCACTACCATGCGTACCACACATTTTGAAGGAAAAAAATACCTCCTTATCCACTCCCTCTCTTATAAGTGATAAACCAATACAACTTAAAACAAACCAATTGTACTTTTTCCTCTCCTCAAAATATGGCTTGTTTCAAGTTATTTTGGGAGGGTGATAAGGAAAAGCAAAGGGTGAGATGCAGAATGGAATGGAGGGAGGAAAGCTCACAGCCACTGTATATCTGGGAGTACTTACTAGTATACCCCAGAGAAACTCTCAGACAAATACTAGGGAACAGGTATTTAGCTAAGATAATCAATAAAATAAACAGTTAAGTATACTGTAAAAACTAAAACAAAACCAAATACTCTTATCTCTCTGAGAACAGAAAAATCAACGATTTGGTTTCTTTAGCGTACCTAAAAACACCAGATGATAACTTCTCCATCACATCTTTTAAGACACGTAGCTGAAAGAACTGTTAAGGTGGCAATATAAAGAGATGAAATAAGTACATTCAATAAGCAGATTGTTAGGCATGTCACTTCTTTTTTTAAAAAGTTTACACTCTCAGGAAATGTTACAGAAGTTATAGACTGTCAATTTTACTTCTAAAACAGAAAAATGATTTGAGAGACCTGGTAGTGTAACCTGGCCTACACTTCTAAGGACAAGTGATGAAAACAGTGAGCCTGGGACCTAAGTGATGAGTACTGTGATCCCAATGGGTGGTAATGAACTAGTCTATGGTTTTCATCTCTGTACTACGCATGGTGTTTAGCGTTTATGTCTCTTATGTTAGGTACACGTTTATCAACACATTTATCAATGTGGTTGAAAACAGGTTCAAAATTTGTTTGCAGAAATGTTAATAATTAAGCCAGGTATGGTGGTGCACACCTGTAATCCTAGAACTCAGTAGGCAGAGTCAGGAGGATCAGAGTTTGAGGTCAGCAGGCCAGTACTGTAGAATTATTTATGGCAGAGAACCACACAGTTGGAAGTAAAGGTCTATATTAAATCACAAGGAGAAACTAACTTGTGTAAAGTGATTGAGGAGAGTTTGCAAAAGGACTAAAGTGTGATTCAGAACTTTAGAAATGTAAATTAGAAAATACAATCCTAAACCATTTAAAAAATTTAAAAAAGGCCCTAAGGAACATTGATTTACTTCTTTCAACTTATGATAATGAAACTGCTATCTGTACAGATGCTCCATGAATTATGATGGCGTTATTTCCTGATAAACCTGTTATAAGTTGAAAATATTGGGAAGTCAGAAGTACACTGACCACACATCTTGCTTAACAATAGAGTAGACTGCAGAGTACTGGTTTCTGCCTCTGCATTCTTGTCGCTGGCTGGAAGCTGAGGCTTGCTGTTGCATTGTAAGAGTGTACCACAAGGCTGCATCCTGCCAGCCTTGTAGCACAGTATCACAGTACTATTGTTGGACATTTCAGCTTTTTAAAAACTAACTTAAAAATGTAATAGGAAAATACTTAATCAAAACACTTTAGATTCATATTCACTACCTGAAGGAGTTTTGAAAAAATTCAGCACATTCAATAAACTGCACGTTAATATTTCAAAGCTTGGCATTAAGTCTGTCATTGCTACTGGGGGGCTGGCTTTTATATGAATCACACATATATAACTATACACATTTAACAAAGGTAAAGTATAATACTCAGTGGAGACAAATGTAAGGCTATGCAAATCTCTTTCTTCACACACATACTGTAACATGTAATGAGAATTTAGTTTTTACCCAATATATTAAAACTTTTACCAAGCTGCCTTTAAAATAGTCATCTAAGAAATAAAAAGAATGCTTAAGTTGACCCTGCTTTATAGAATTTTGGATCTTTCTTTTCAGAACTGCTTTCACATTCTCACAGGAAAACTTTTCACTACTTTTACCAAAACTAGAATGATAATACCTCTTTTTTTTATCAACCACTTAAGGAGGACTGATATTAATTCTTTAAATGCTTGGCTGAATTCTGTAATGGAGCCATCTGGTCCTAGCTTTTCTTTGATTGGAGATTTTTAATTACTGATTCCAACCTGTTACTGTTCTATCTGAGTTTACTATTTTTGTTTATTATTACGATTCAGTCTTAACAAATGTATATGTCTATGAGTTTGTCCATTTCTTCTAGATAATGAAATCTGGTGGTGTATTAATATTCGTAGCCTATCCATTGGTGAAGTACTGTATTTGAGTCTATCACTTTATGTATATCTGCTGATGCCTGCTGTATATATTTAGGTGGTCTGATATGGGGTACATACATGTTTACAGTAATTTCCTCTAACAGAATTTACCCTTGTGCCTTGTCTATTTTTCCTGCTTTATTTAATGGCTATTTCACCTTATGTTAGGATGTCTACTCTTATTTTTCCTGCAATGTACTGGACATTGTTCTCCATAAATATGTTTCTCAACTTCAAAAAAAACCGGAATGATCTCGTCTCATTCATAAGATTTGTCTTTGAGTGAGTTCTATTTTTGAAAGTCAGACACATCCAGGAGTCAGGTGTGGTGCACACATCTGTAATCCCTGCACTCAGGAGGCTGAGGCAGGAGGATTAAGAGTTTGAAGCCAGCCTGGGCTACATAATAAGACCATGTCCAAAAAAAAAAAAAATCAGACAAATTCTCATGTGATTAAGCTTCCTATCACTGGCATTTCTAAAATCAAACTCTTTATTTTAGATAAATATTTTGAAATGCTTTATGCAATGGCACCATTATAGGAGTAAGTTTGCATGCTGGGTGCACGGTGGCTCACACCTGTAATCCTAGCTATTCAGGAGTCAAGAGATCAGGAGGATCGTAGTTCAAAGCCAGCCCAGGCAAATAGTTCAAGAGACCCTATGGAAAAAGGGATGGTGGAGTGGCTCAAGCAGTAAAAGCACCTGCCTAGCAAGTGTGAGGTTCAGAGTTCAAACTCAAGTACCACCAAAAAAAAGGTAGTTTGCAACCTCTTACCAGGTGGCATGTAATATCCAGTTTAAAAACAAAACAATGGAATGGGTCAAGCGGTAAGAGCACTTGCTTAGCAAGCATGAAGCCCTGAGTTGAAACCCTAGTACCACGAAAACAAAACAAAATAAATCCCAACACACACACACACACACACACACACACACACACACACAAAGCAAACAAAACAAAACTCTCCACTTATTTTAAGGTTCCTCTCCTATTCAGAAAAGGAGGAGGCTGCTTGATGTGATTCTGGCTCTGCCGCTTGCTGTTGGATGTGTATTGACCTCTCTATGCGTTAGTTTCTTCACCTGTGAAGTGGCGCACTTACGTCTCATAGAGTTGTTTAATGTTTAAACGAATACCTGGCAAGGCACTTGGAATACTGCCAGGCATACTCAAGGAAAATGAATGGCTAAGTATTATCTCCTACTATCACAATGAAAGAATACAGTATAAGGCAAATTTAAAACCAGAAACTCAAGTCAGCAGAGAAAAAGGATATAAAGATATTTTCCTTGTTGTACATTTGATAAATTCCAAATTTCATCATTAAGGAAAGCCACCGTTGCTCCCTTGAGGAAAAGGCAATGGCTATCTGGAGGATCCAACTTTGAGAGAATAAACAAAAAACAGTTACTGTGCAAGCACAAGGAGGATTGATATCTTCAGCCAGAAAAACTATACAAATTAAACATGTCGAAATCATATAAACACACGCACAAAATCAGCTCACAAAGTTTTATGCAGTATGTAAGTCATAATGTTTTCTTTTCTATATCATGGTCCAAAATGATGAAATAGCTAGGTGATACGTGCAGGGCAAATGAAGGGCCAAGTGAGAATTTCGGTGATGGAATGGTAGGTGTTTGTGTGTGTGACCGGCTTGTGTGTGTGGTTTCTGGCCATTACTTACCAGCCATTTTCATGAGTATACTGAAGGTCAAGACTGGTATATGAGAATTATAGTATTTATCATTTAGCTGTGATAAAAGTTTAATTAGAATAACTGTTGAAAAATATAATTTTGGGAGGCAACTTGTTTGAATAATCAAGAAATAGGGATAATTTCGTACAGAAATATTTTGCTAGGTATAAGTTTGCTAGGTGTGTTAATAAGAAAATGTTACTTGAAATACAATTTTAAAATTGAAATTTCAAACCACTAAAAAAATAAAATTCATTCTAACTGAATGAACTCCCCCACCAGGTGGTATTTCAACATTTTGGCCAACATAAAGCTAACATTAAAAAGAAGCCACATGTCTTTAAACATAGGGTATAATTCAGAACTGACACCGTTCTTTGTTATTACATCCCTTTGCTGTAATAGTGATGTGTTACTGTTTCTGTAATACCTGAAGGTTTTCTTCTGCTGTTATCCAATGTCCTCCAACAGCAAGAAGCGTGATGATATCGTGTTTATGTGGGAATGGTTGTAGTTTTACAGCTGGCTCATCATCTTTACTATATAATCTCACTTAAAATGAGTAGTTAAAAAAACAGAAAAATATATTTTATAATAACCGACAAAACATATTCTTCAAGTAAGTTCCCTACTTTTTTTAATATAAGTAGCAACATTTTTCTTAGATAAAGGCAACACATTGTATTCCCATAACTTAAACTATACTTTTTGCATTATAATTTGTTCTATATTTAATTACAAATGAAATAGTTTACTTTCCTTTGGAAACCAAGCAAGATAACGTAACGTAACTCTCAAAATGGTAATTACAACAATGATAGCTTACTACAATTGTTTCTGATTAAAGTACTTAGACTCAAGGGTGCCACACTTTGACATAATTACTAAAATGTACATGTGAAAAAATGACATCAATGAGATATTATATTTACTTTCACTGAAAGATTATTCTCTGAGCTAATTTCACATTTTCAAAAATACTGGTTAAAAAACTGGCTATAGTTGTATTCACAATGAAGAACAAATAGAAATGCTTAATGGGCTCGTAATATCAATCCTTTAGTGGTGTTACTACCTCAGTGTATATAGACTGGGCATGAAATAGATATTGGTTGAAAAGAGAGAATGGAACATTTTAATTTCACAATAGACTTAGAAGTCAGCCATCCAACAGAGGGGAGCCACACATAGCAACAGTGACTGTAAATAAGGATCTGTACAGTAATGTGTGAGCTCTGGGCCCGAATGATAGGATCACAGTTATAGGATTCTTAGATTTGTCATTTGTTCCTTAAACGTCAGTGCCAGGCTGGGGGAATGGCTCACGTGGTAGAGTGCCTGCCCAGCAAGCATGAGGTTCTGAGTTCAAACCCCAGAACTGCCAAAACAAACACCCCCACAACAACTTCAGTGCCTATGCTTTAGAAGGCCAGCATGTTCTCTCTTCCTGAGAAAGTGAGTACAATGGGAATAAAGTGAGAAACTCCAATTTAAATAGACAAGTCTTTAGCTAAAGACAAAGCCCCAAACTAAACATCCAATGTAATAAATGCATTAATAATTATTTCCTAGTTTCATTTTTTTCTGAAATTCATCAAAGTACAAAAATGACACAGGCTGCTGACATCATAGGTACCTACCTCCAGCATCTAGGACGATGTCTACTCCCAGACCACCTGTTTCTTCTAAACAGCTTTCAGCAACGTGGACTTTCCCATTTGATACATCAATCACTCGGGCTGTAAAGGACAGGAGAGCAGGCAATTGTACTGTTCTCTAAGTGATCAACATAAGCAAACCAGGGGAGAAAAAAAGAAAAGAAATGTCTGTTTTCCAAAATGAATTAAGCAGCTCAAATAATTACTAAGTTTAAAGAGGATAAGTCAATTTCAATTTTACTTTTCCTCATAACTCCAGTATTGGTAAGGATCAATCTAAATGAAGGGACCATAAGTAAAATAAAATAATGTATAAAAAATAAAATAATGTTGTAAGCATTTTGTGGATAAAGTGATTCAAGGCTGGTGACACAAAACTATTCTTTATAGTTAGATACGTTGCCAGAACTGAAAAGCTAAAAACACAGAGTTATATATAACACATATTAGGATCTGAGATGTAAGATCAGTTTCCGTATGTAGATTTAGTAGTGTTTGAGGATAAAAAAATACATCTACTAAGTGTTATAACCTTTCTCATAAGCAACCCCTGTTCCCCCTCTTGTTCCCCAAAATGGAGAAAAGTCTTAAAAGAAAAGGAACGTGATTTTTAGCACAGTTGGTGAAAATTAAGCTAATTTTAGTTGATTGCCTTAATCCTTTCTATTTATCTTTCTGTGTGTCTATCTAGCTAGCTAGTTACATATGTGCATGTATACACACATGTATACATATCTATTTTTGGGGGCACTAGGGGTTGAACCTAGGGCCTCATGCATGGCAGACAAGTGCTCTGTATCAGAGCCACAGCCTTAGCCCCTTAAGTATTTATGAATAGAAAAATTAATATTAATACAACAGAAATTGAGAGAACTGCCAAAACTTCTCAGAATTTGAGTGAGCAAACAGACATGGTTATCTTTCGCTTTGTATTTTTAACACCTTGTTGAAGAGAATTTCTCTCAGTGTTGTTCAGATTAGAGGTGCAGTCCAACAGTAATCTGAGACTGAAGGAGAGGGGATAGGATGACAAAAGATAAAGAGGACTGAAGGAGTCTAGGAAGGGTAGCCTTAGCCAGTAAGGAACCTTTCCCTTCAACAATGTCATTTGGCTTTCTTTATTCTCTCCATTCATTGTTTCTTCCCTTCCTCCCTCAATCCCTCTCTAAACCTTCCCCCATCCCTTTTTTTCTCTCTGCTGCACATCAATCCCAGGGCCCAGGGCCTTATATATGCTAGACAAGTGCTCTACCACTGAGCTATACCACAGTCCTCCATTCTATTTTGAAATCTCTTCTTTCTCTTTTCCTCTGACTCCAGTCTCTGTATTAGCTTCCTTCCATTTCTTGGTTATCTCTGCCAGATATGGAAATAATGCATGCTTTAATGTTAGGTAGGTGTGGATTCAAATCCCATTCCAATTCTTTGTCTAGCTGAATATCCTTGGAGAAGCTAGTTAAATTCTCCCAAGAAGATATTTCTTGGTCATACAACACAAGGTTGTTGAGGACTTGAAGAAATGTTCATATTAACTCAGTGGACATTTCTATAATCCCACTTTACTTGTGGAGTTATTACATACAGTTTGAATCAAATGTGGGGAATAAATAAAAAGGAATTTCAAAACAAAATTTAAAGTCCCACGCTTGCATTACGCAGCCCAACACAAAAAAGGGCTGGTAGAGTGGCTCAAGTGGTACAGTGTCTGCCTAGCAAGTGTGAGGCCTTGAGTTAAACCCCAGTACCACCAAAAAACCAAAAGGTCCCGAAAAATACTGGTAGGGCATGTAGCTCAGTGGTAGCTATTTGCCTAGCATGTGTGAGGTCCTAGGCTCAATCCCCAGCACCATTAAAAAAAAAAAAACCACCTTAAACAATTAAAACTATCACTTAAATAAATATGGATTCAGCACAGATACTAACTACATTTTAAAACTGAGTTTAATTTTGTATTTTGTTTTATCAGTGAAGAATTTTTTTCACAAAACCTCTTCCCTCTCTTTTTTTTTTTATTTTTTATTTTTTTGAGACAGGGTCTTATTATATAGTCCAGGCTGGCCTTGAATTCACAATTCTCTAGCTCAACCTCCCCAGGGGGATTACAGGTATGTACCACATGCCTAGCTTACCAGAGAGATTTTTGATTTCCCCACAAAAATCTCATGTTCTGAAGTCGGTGATGAGTAATATTACCCACCTATAGAAGGCCTAAGTCTCTCCAGGCACTGCTTGTCTTCCAGGCTGCAAGCTGTTGAAATCACTTTGGCTCCTCTATGATGTGCTAACTGAATGGCTATTGTACCAAACGCCTGTGTGGAAACACATGTACAATGAGTTAGCAGATACAGGGCAGAAGACATAGCTAGTTTATTTTATAGACTATTATGCTGTTTTGATCTGACTTCTTCAGAAAGGGTGGTAGAAGAACTGCTCATGTCACATGTTTTTACTCACTCTGGACATAGCACAGTTTCAAGGGTGGAGGGTCACACTGAAGATGGCCATGGAAAAGAGAAAAATAGGCCTCATAAAGCCTTGCTAGCACAATGCTCTAAACTGATTACACAGTGCTTATGGGAGTCTAGCTACTTCTTTCTGAAGATCAAAGTACCTGAAAGGCTCAGGGAAACACTGTCATCTTGATTTTGGATATTAGGTTGAAGCCAATGCTGAAGACACTGCTGCCTTTTTTCAAAGAAAAGCAGGTAGGAAAACATTTTCATCAAAAGCCAGACAGAAAAAAACTATGAGTTCACCTCAAGTTTTGCATCATTTTTAGATAATTGTTTTATGTGGCTTTTTTTGGCAGTTACTGGGGTTTGCACTTAGGGCTTCATCCTTGCTAGGCAGGTGCTCTACTACTTGAGCCATGCCTCCAGCGTGGTGCTGGTGTTTAAACTCAGTTCCTCACACTTACTGGGAAGGTCCTCTACCTCTTGAGCCACACTCCCAGCCTTTTTTTGCTTTAGTTATTTTTCAGATAGGATCTCCCATTTTTTTGTCGCAGGCGGGCCTCAGACCCAGAGACCTTTGTCTCCCACAAGGCTGGGTCTGCATACATGTGCCAGTATACCTGGGCTGCTTGTTGAGACAGGGGTAGGGTGGGGTGGGGTGTCTCATCAACTTTTGCCCAGCTAGCCTCAAGTTGTGTAGTTGGAATTCCAGCTGCACACCACCTCATCAAGCCCTATTCTGTGTTGTTAGAATCTTGAACTACTTATTTATTTTTTGATGGTACTGGGGTTTGAACTCAGGGCTTCATACTTGCTAGGTAGGTGCTCTACCACTTTAGCCATGTCTCTCCCCCTTTTTTGCTCCAGTTATTTTGGAGGTGGAATCTCTGTTTTTGCCCAGGCCAGCCTGGACAGTGATCCTCCTATTTAATGCTCTGCCATAGCTGGGATGACAGGTGTGTACCACTATGCCCAGCTTTTTTCTGTTGAGATAGGGGTCTTGTGAAATCTTTGCCTGGGTTGGCCTTAAACCGTCATCCTCCCAATCTCAGCCTCCCAAGTACCCAGGATTACAGGTATGAGCCACCAGTGCCTGGTCTGAACTATTTCTTTGATGATACAGGCAATATATCTAAATTAGCACATTTTGACCTTGCATATGATTCATGTATAAAATACCAACACTTTATTAATGTAAGTGCTTTAGGTATGTAGGACATTTTGGAGTGTGACTTCAAAGACTCATGAACTATTCCAGGGTTTGTATGGTAGGAACAGAAATGTTTGGCTTGGAGCATAGCTCAGTGGCAAAGTGCTTGCCTGGCATGAACAAACCCCTGAGATGATCCTCAGCATTGTAACAACTATAATGAGAAAGGCTTGTCTGTTTTTTCATTTACTTATGGAGTCAAAGTGATTAGAAACTAACCACACTAAATCTAACTTCTACCTCCTATTGACAAAACCTGCTTATGAGAACAAAATGGTGGCTGGGAAAGAAATCAGTTAATAATCTACCGTCAAATAACTATGTTAGCAAATGGATGGCTGCTTCTAAATCTCATTTACTGTACGTTGGTCTATTTTTTACCAAAACCATTGGCACCTACACTTGCTCCATCCATTATCAGCACTGATTTTCCAGGAGAGAGATGAGAAAGATAATGCAGGGCTGTATAGGCTCGTACTCCATCCCGAATTGTTCCAGCTGCTTCTGTCCATGTAACCTTTTCTGGTTTATGAACTATCAGAAAGAACAAGAGGAAAGTATCCATTAACAAGGCCCATTAGTTCTGCCACCTAGATCTACTCCTATTGTTGCCCCGGTCCAAGACCCTATTCCTGATACCTGCCATCTGCATTCTGGTTTCTGTGCTTTTGTTTTTCTGTTTGACTGTTTTCTTTTCACGACAAGGTCTTGCTATGTAGCCCAGGCTCGTGTTGAACTCACTATGTAACTCAGGCTAGCCTTGAACTTACAATAATCTTGCCTAAACCGTCTGAATGAGATCACAGGCACATATCATCACGCCTGGTCCTGTTCCATTGTTAAGCCACGTATAATCTATTCAAGATAGGAGCCAGTGTGGGTGTATTTCTTAAACTTTTCATTGTGAAGTAAAACACATGCAGACAAGTACATGAAACAAGGCACAGCTGCATGAATGAACATGAAGCAAATATAAGTAACCACCTTCTAGTTGAGAAAAAGTACACAGCTACCACTCCAACAGCCTCTTCTCTCTCTTCCCACATGGTAACTCAATTTCTTTGCCTTTATCATTTCAACTAAGGTATTCATTTCTAAACAGTACAAATTAATTTTTCCTGGTCTTGAACTTATTCTAAATGGAACCATACCTTACCTTTTCTGTGCTTCCATTTTGTTGTTTTATGGTACTGTACTATGTGGAAGCACCTTTCTTTGGATATACACTCTCCAGTGATGAACACTTGTATTGTCCCGTTTTTGGCAGTTACAAACAATGCTGTTAAGAATGTTCTTGTATAAAGGAAACTGTTATACTATGCATGGTTTTCACTGGGGTATTTACTTTGGAGAGAAAACCCCAGGGCCCAGGGTATACTATTTTGGATTAAACTACATACTTTCAGAGTGCCTGGATCAATTTACTCTCCCAAAGGAGTGTCCTGTCGTAAGAGTCTTTGTAAACCTTGGTATTTCTACTTTTATACATTTTACCAATCACTTGGTATGTAAAGGTTTCTTATAGTGTTTTAATTTGCTTTCCCTGACTACTGAAAAGGCTAAGTCTCTTTCCATGTGTACCAGTCTTTTGGAGTTCTTTTTTGTGAAGTGGCTTTTCAAATCTTTGCCAAATATATTATTTTAGGCAAGTCATTTGTCTATTTATATGCCACAAATATTACAAATTGAGGATTCCTTAACAAAATGCTTCAGACCAGTGAGTAGTGCTTTGCATTTTGGAATATTTGCATAAACATAATGAGATATTTTGAGAATGGAACCCAAGCCTAAACTCAAAAATCAATTATTTCACATGTATCTTACACACATACCCTGAAGTAATTTTATACGGTAGTTTTAGTGTGCTTTCCTTTTGATTGCAACCTGCCACGTGAAGTCAGGTATGGAAATATTCACTTGTGGCATCATGTTGGTACTTAAAAAATTTCAAATGTGAATAATTTTGGACTGCATATTATGGATGCTGAACATGCATATCAACTGCATGGCTTTTCTTTTCAATCACTTTAATGGTGTCTTTGGAAACAGAAACATTAGAATTATATTTTAAAAACAAATAAGAATTAGCAATGGTACATGCCTGTTACCCCTGCACTCAAGAGGCTGTAGTAAGAGAATTGTGAGTTCAAGGACAGCCTGGCCTACACAGCAAACTTGAAGCAAGCCTGGGCTACATAGTGAGAATCTATCCCAAAAAAACAAAACAAGGACCAAGGCTGGGGGCATGGCTCAAGTGATAAGAGTGCTGCCTAACATGTGCAAAACTCTGGATTCAATTTCTGACGAACGTACACACACACAAATAAAGACAAAAAAAAAACTTCAATGTTGGGAGCGTGGCTCAAGTTGTAGAGCACCTGCCTAGGCCTTGAATTCAAACCCCAGTACACCAAAACAAACAAACAAACAAATACTATAAATAACACCCTAACACTTGTCTGCTTAAAATGTATCAGTGGCTTTCCATTGTACTTGGAACAAAATGCAAACTCCTAATACATAGTTTAAAAAGTTCTACATTATCTGGCCATTAAGCTAGTTCTTAATGTTTCACCAATTTTTATTTTGTGTTCTGGTTGTAAATTAAATATGATTTGTTTTCACAGTAAAAGCCATCCTTTCTCATTTTATTTAAAATCAACTTATTGCTGGAGGGCTCAACTGCTTATTATTGTGGCTGAAGTGGTAGAGTGCACTTGCCTGGTAAATGCAAAGCCCTGAGTTCAAATCCCTGCCCACTAAAAAATAAATACGTGAAATAAAATCAACTTATTACATCTTTCAGTCTTAACCAGCTCTTTCAAGTATTTCCTTTAATGGTAATTAGCACTGCATCAGCAAAAAAGACCTTGTACTGCCAGTCACTACGTGGAAGAAAGGAAGAGCATCTGACGCATTGCAAGCTTGAAAAATTGGCACGAGTAGATGAAGGCAGGGATATGAAAATACATTAAGACTCAGTACCTAAAGCCATGACTGACTCGCACATTATTATCGGATAGCTTCCCAATTTCTTTATAGGAAACTCCATCCTTAAAAAAAGAATCTAAAGTGTAAATTAAAAAAAAAATTGGAAATATTTAAGAGTTATTCAAACTGGATTTTCTGAAGATTCATAAACATTACGCAAACAAGCCCCTATTATAATTCTGAAACGACAATAGGGAAAGAGCCTTTGTCTTTTGATGCTAGAATATTTTGACTGTAAAATTGGACTTTGGTTTCTGAAGACTGCTTAGGAAAGCAATTGGAAGGTTTCCAAAAGGACAGTCTTTTCTATTAAAAAATAGCATGGGGTACTTTCAGCTTCAGAAAAGGCAGGGCCTCAGGAAAGCAAAAATATCTCTCTCTCTCTCTCTCTCTCCCTCTCTACCCCTTTTCCTCCCTCCCACTCTCTCTCTCTCTGATTTTCTTTTGCTCTTCATTCTCACCAAGGCAGACCACAGACACTACAATTTCTCTTTCTCAGGGCAAGTTAGAGAAACTAAAGTATCTAAAATAGTCTTCTGTTCCTTTCTGTCTCAGAGCTAGCTTGGCCATAAGAAATTCTTGGACACACCCTGTTTGCCCTGCCCTATTCTCAGGAGGAAGGAATGCTTCTCAACAGATAAGCTTGTTGTATTTCTCCATTCACTCTTTTAGCCTTGGGGAATTCCTTTTTGTCCAGTCACATTTCTACCTAGTTGTTCATGCTTCCATTATCCCTAGGTAATGAAGTTCCCATTAAAAAACCCCAGAGGACAGGGGTTAAGAGAGATTCTGGACAGCTAAACATGTGGGAGCCATGTGACCTACGTATGTCTTCATTTGGCTGTTTATTCGTACCCTTTAAAATAGCCTTTATAATTAACTGGCAAACATGCTTTCATGAGTTCTATCACTATCCTGGCAAATTAACCAAGCTTAATGGTGGAACCCTAACTTATAGTTGGCTGGTCAGAAGTTCTAAAGTCCCAGATTTTGACTAATATTTGAAGTGAGAGCAGTCCTATGGGACCTGATAGATGGTGTCAGAATTAAAGAGAACTGGAGGATGCTCAGATGGTATCTGGTATAGAACTGATTGTTTGCTTGCTAGTGGGGAGACACCCACACATTTTGAGGTCACTTTGGAAGTGATCTGTGCTACAAGTATATAGTAAAAGAAACTGAGCTTGAGTTTGTTTTCTCTAGCCAATAGCTAGAAAGTTTTTACTGATTAGGAAATGGGTTAACTAATTAATTTGCCTAAAGCCAGATAGGAAATAAGGTGAATGCATGGCTCTACATCACATCTGACAGTTTGGGCTCAATGTATATAATTATGTGGACTGTTTTTTTTCTGGGGGTGGGGGGAGGATTTCCCACTGTAAGAATTGGAACTACAAGATGGACACAGTGGCACATACCTATAATCCTAGCAGTTGGGAGGCTGGGACAGAAGGATCCAGAGTTCAAGACCAGCCTGGGCTATACAGAGAGTTTAATGCCAGCCGAGGCTACATAATGAGACTCTGAGACAAATGAATTGGGACTTCCTCCATATTTTATCAAAATTTCATTAATAGGCTGGGTGTGGCAGTATATGCCTGTAATCCCAGCACTCAGGTGGCTCAGGTAGGAGGATTTTGAATTCAAAGTCAGCCTGGGCTACACAGTGATACCCTGTCTCAAAAAAAAAAAGTGTGTATCTACATACATTTTGACCTGTAGATATGAAGAGTAACGTATCTCAGCATAAGAAATACCCATTGGCATGCCGCAGCAGTTACACATACCCATCCGATCACATCCTCCTCACATCCTCCTCCCTGCCCACAAATTAACTTTCACCTAACTTCCATGCTCTTCCTTTTCTATCTAATCTTTTTTTTTTTTTTTTCTTTTTTTTGTGGTACTGGTATTTGAATTCAGGGCCTCACACTTGCTAGGCAGGTGCTCTACCACTTGAGCCACTCAACTAGCCCTTTTTCGTGTTGAGCATTTTTGAGAAAAGGTCTTGTGAACTATCTTTCTGGGCTGGCTTTGAACTGCAATCCTCCTGATCTCTGCCTCCAGAGTAGCCAGGATGACAGGTGTGAGCTACTCTGGCTGGAGGCGTGGCTTAAGTGGTAGAGTCTGCCTAGCAACCATGAAACCCTCAGTACCACCAAAAACTCCTTAATACGTGCCTAATTTTACATGTCTTTGAACTTTATGTAAACGAATGGTTATCAGACTGTATTCTTCTGCAACTTATTTTTTACTTAATGCTGTTTGTGACATTTATCCATCTTGGTAAGTTGGTTCTCATGCAGTCATCTTCACAGCCAAAGAGAAATGCATTCTCTGAATATCTTTAGTTATTCATTCTCCTGGTGATAGACATGGATTATTTCCAGTTTTTCACTATTGTAAACCACGCTGCTATGAATTCTTGTGCATGTTCTGGTTCACACCAAATTTCTTTGGGTATTTAAGCACCAGTAGAATTATCACATCTAGTGTGCATTTATCATTATCTAGATAATACTGAACTATTTTCTAACCCATTCATAACAATTTACACTGGTGCTGTATAACAAGTTTGACTGATTCATGGGCTTGCCCACTTGCGATGGTAACAATTAACTTTTGTAAATCTCTTGGGTGCATAATGGTATCTCTAAGTGCGTTTACTTTTTTTTTTAGGTACTGAGGTTTGAACTCAGAGTCTATACCTTGAGTGACATCACCAGCCCTTTTTTTGTGATGGGTTTTTTCAAGATAGGGTCTCGTGAACTATTTGCCCAGGCTGGTTTAGAATCACAATCCTCCTGTTCTCTGCCTCTTGAGTAGCTAGGATTACAGGTGTGAGTCACCAGTCAATTTTTATTTAAATATTTTTTTTAGAGATGATGTATTGCTTTGTTGCCTAGGCTGACTGAACTTGTGGGTTCAAGAGATCCTGCTTCAGTCTCTTGAGTACCGAGGACTACCACTGTGAACCACTGTGCTAGCTTCTAAGTGTTTTTAATTTGGTTTTCTCTGATTACTTAGGTGATGGAGAATCTTTTCACTATGGTTTCATGTCTTTCCTGCCTCAGATTTTGTATATTTTTTTGTGTCAAGTTAATGTACAGCAGCCTTGGGGATGGAGCTCAGTGCTATAGCACTGAGTTTGCCTAGCATACTTAAGGCCCTGGGTTCAAAATCCCAGCACTGCAAAAGAAGAAAAGGAAAAACAAAAAAACTAAGAGAAAGAAGTGTAAAAATTTTGATTAGAGATACATAATTTTAAAGCTAACAGCATTATTACCATAATAGCATTAGTAAAGTATAAAGGTCCATATGCTGTTTAGTCTGAAAGAGTTTTGTGAATAATAACTCTAAGCTACAGGTACTCACATAGCCAACAGTTACAACACTACACATTAGTGAAATAAGACTTACATGTGCTATCAAAGACTAATTACCACATACCTAAGTAATGCTCATGCACTCTAATGACTTCACAAAGTCCAGGATCTTCAGAATCCAGGGGCAAAATTCCTAAAAATTAAAATAAGAAATTTAAGGGAAAAAAATTCATGATGATATTTTAGTGGAATTATAAGGTAGGTTTTTATGATTACCAGTGGGGGAAAGGGAAAAACTTGAGAAATATGGAAGGGAAGGGAACTGTACATTTTCTGACAGGAACCCTGTGATACCCATGCTATTTCTTTCTCCCTCTTGCTTCCTTGAGTGCGGTAAAGGTAATGGCCATTATGGAGCCAAATGACAGCTTTGGGGCACCCAGATTCCTGGTTAAAATTATTCCTGATGCACAGCTACCTTCCCATAGTTTGGTTCTGTAAGATACCTTGGGTATGTTTCCAGTAAAATCACATTTTCCTCTAAGCTAGTCAGATTTTACATGTGGTCTCTTACAAAAAGAATCTTGAGTAAAACAGAGTATCACTGAATTCATGGACAGAACAAAGATAAGAACAAAATCATCAATTCTCTGGAAAAATACTTGAGTCAAAGGCAATCTTAAAAAAGCTGAAGAAAACCTTCTTATGAATCTATTATTATTTTTTAGTGGTATTAGGGTTTGAACCCAGGGTTTTGTGCACTCTAGCATTAAGTGCATTAGAGTGCATGCTTTGTGTGTGTGTGTGTGTGTGTGTGTGTGTGTGTGTGTGTGTGTGTGTGTGTGTGTGTATGTGTGTTTATGTGTGTGTGCTTTAGTGATATTTTGGATCTTGCAGTTTTGCCCATAACGTCTCACGTTTTGGCCTTGGACCAATTCACCTACCTCCAGCCTCCCACATAGCTGCAACTACAGATGTGCACCACCATGCCTGGCTTATTTGTTGAGACAGGTCATGCTATCTTTGCCCCTGGGCTAGCCTCAAACAGCGATCCTCCAGATCTCTGCCTCTCAAGTAGGTGGGATCACAGGAATGAACTACCATGCCTAGTCTTATCTCATGGGCTTTCTCAAGCTCCTGGTTCTCCCTGACCTAACTGGGGGCAAATGGAGATGCAGAAAGGACAAACGATAGAAGATGGAGATGTACAACAGCCTTGTTGCTTCTTTTTTCTAATAACTCCTCTTTTACTTCTTTTCTCTATTCTTTAAAACCTTACTTCTAAAATCTTCTTTTTTATTCTTTAAAGTCTCTTTCTCTAATCTCTAGCATAACTCAGCAGTAGCAGCAGCATCATTCTTGCAAGCAGCCCACCAATCAATCAACCATCAAAAACCCTTCCACCAATCCCCCATCAAAAAACCCCCATGTCCTCCTTCAGGGAGTCTTTTATATCCAGTGGTAAACAAGGAGGTGGAGCAACAGTTCTTGGGGAGGGGTATGACACTGTAACAAGAGAAACCTGCTCTCTACTTCTCTGAACTTAAACAACTTAGGAAAAGCAGATGTGCTGCATTTTGCCTCTGGCTTTCTTCTGTGGCTGTGGCCGTGCCAAACTCAGCCTGTAGATCATTGAGCACAACTGTGCTTATGTCAAGTTCTCATAGGCTTCTCATAATACAAATCTATTCTTTAACAGGCTAGGGGCATGGCTCAAGTGGTGGAGCATCTGCCTAGCAAGCATGAGGCCCTGAGTACTACCAAAAACCAAAACATAACAAATCTATTCTTTAACAGCTTCAAGCATGTCAAGTTAAACGTTTTCCAAGTTTATATGAGAATCTTCCGTGAAGATAAGAAAATTTCACCGATTACTAAGCTAGTGATACTCTGTATTTTGTGTGACTGTCTAGAATATAAGTCTAAATATGTGTTTGTAAAAATATTATTATAGTAATTACGGATTTAAAGAAATGCTTCAAGTCGATTTTTACAGGAGCAGCAGGAGCTACTACTTGTAAAGCTCTCTACAAGGGAGCTCTGTAGGGTTCATGTTAAGAGTGGAGAACCGAGGTTGTTTTCTGCCCAGAGAGCCAGCAGTCACCATGCAGAGGACTGTGATTTTTGTTTTCTTGAGAAACCTCAATCTGGCCACAGACTGGGGAATGACCAGGAAATCACGACACCAAGCATAGAAGCAACTATGGTGACTTTCTTATCTATAAAACCATTCTGTAGTCGAACATTGGCAAGCTTTAAATGTTCTGTTAAACTCCAAATTTTCTACATCAAAGGACACTTGAGAGTAAATTCCAAAAGATGGGAAAGTACCTTTATATTTTTGCATCACTGGGGATCAAACCCAGGGCCTCACACATCCAGGCAAGTGCTCTACTCTGAGCTACACCCCAGCCCAAGAAAGTGTTTTTATAAGAAGATGGTCATAATGAAATTAATAATTATATAGAAAAAAGAAGAGATGACAGTAAAATGAGATGGCTTGAGGTAAGACTGTGAACTACAACTTACCAACTACTTCATCATCAGGTTTGAAAGAATTGATACCTTGCTTCCAACTACAGAGTACAAAAATAAATAGTTAATATTACAAGGTTACTAAATGTAATTCTCATTTGACTATTAAAACCAAATCAAAAGATCCATGGGTTTATTAAAAAGCCATTCATGTTAAGAGTGGAGAACCGAGGTTGTTTTCTGCCCAGAGAGCCAGCAGTCACCATGCAGAGGACTGTGATTTTTGTTTTCTTGAGAAACCTCAATCTGGCCACAGACTGGGGAATGACCAGGAAATCACGACACCAAGCATAGAAGCAACTATGGTGACTTTCTTATCTATAAAACCATTCTGTAGTCGAACATTGGCAAGCTTTAAATGTTCTGTTAAACTCCAAATTTTCTACATCAAAGGACACTTGAGAGTAAATTCCAAAAGATGGGAAAGTACCTTTATATTTTTGCATCACTGGGGATCAAACCCAGGGCCTCACACATCCAGGCAAGTGCTCTACTCTGAGCTACACCCCAGCCCAAGAAAGTGTTTTTATAAGAAGATGGTCATAATGAAATTAATAATTATATAGAAAAAAGAAGAGATGACAGTAAAATAGATGGCTTGAGGTAAGACTGTGAACTACAACTTACCAACTACTTCATCATCAGGTTGAAAGAATGATACCTTGCTTCCAACTACAGAGTACAGAAAATAAATAGTTAATATTACAAGGTTACTAAATGTAATTCTCATTTGACTATTAAAACAAAATCAAAAGATCCATGGGTTTATTAAAAAGCCATTCATTCAGAGAAAGACCAAGAATGTGTGGGATATTATGATGACCTGTAAGGATTATAAGATAAAATACTCCAAATCTGGATTCTGAAGAAAATCTGGGTCACATGGTTGTTGACACCATGGAGAAATAGGTTTCACTCTGTGGCTGCCTGCTAATTTAGCTAACTTTATTTTTGTGTGTGGCAGTATTGGGGTTTGAACTCAGGGCCTCATACTTGCTAGGTAGGTGCTCTACAACTTGAGCTATGCCCCAGCCCTTTTTGCTTTAATTATTTTTTTAGGTAGAGTATCTATTTTTTTGCCTGAGGCCAGCCTCAGACCTCAATCATCCTATTTATATTTTCTGTGTGGATGGGACTACAGGTGTGAACTACCAAGCTCAGTTTCTTGGTTGAAATGGGGTTCCTCCTAACTTTTTGCCTGGGCAAAAGTTTGCCTCCCAAGTACTTGGAGTTACAGGCACGAGTCACTGTGCCCAGTCAATTTAGCTAACTTTTAAGGATGAAAGAACAAAGGAAATAATTTGTTCTATAGTTTCTATAATGGTAATGTTGTTTCTATCCACTGCCCTCCTGATAGTCCAATCTTTTATCATTATTTTACTTATAGAATCTCAGACACACAATGGAGAGTTTTGATGAGTCACATATAACATTACTTTGATTTGGAAAATTAATTCAGATTGGCACCAAGAAAGTTTATGGAACTTTAAAGAAATCAAGTAGTACCATTTTCTCTGTGTATGTACAGAAAGCCTCTGCCATCAGTCAAGCCATCTGAAAATGTTTGTTCAAAGAGTAATAAGGGAAGGGGAGGGAAAAGCTCTGTCCTTGTTGAATATCTTAGTGTGCACAGCATTTTAGTGTGCTCACACATCTAATCTTCACAACAGAGCATGAAATAGGTATCATTCTTCCTGTTCTACAGATAAGGAAACTGGGGTGAAGCAGTGAAGTGATCTGGACATGGCCCCTTTGGCTGACTCTAACAGCAAAGTGAAGTGGCCCCAGAACTCACCTGTCAGTACCCAGCAAGTAGCTCTAAGCCCCTACTTCTCATTTTGTAGTTTGCTTCTTTTTGGGACTCCTCCTATGCTATCACTCACCAGCACTTTTGGCTTCTGATCCACTGTATTTTTCTCTTTCCTTTCTACTGCTATTACATAGCTGTCTAATTACTCTGACCCTCTTCTTGGGCTTCCTTCACACTCCTCTTTCAATAATTCCTTGAACAGACGCATTCCAACAGGTTATCCTTTCATTTTTTCTCTCTCTCTCCAGTTGAGCTCATCAACTCCTTTTCTTTCTTCTTCTTCTCACTTGATGGTACTAGGGTTTGAAGTCAGGGCCTCACACTTGATAGGCAGGTGCTCTACCACACTGCCGGCCCAATTCTATTATTTTAAATACAACCTACATGCTGATGAATTCTCACTACAAACATTTCAAGTATAGATCTCTCACCCTTGAAATTCAGCTCATACAACTATTTACTACATCTTGGCAGATGTCACTTAAGGATCTTGGACTCAACAAATACAAATCTGAAATCATCGTATCTTCCTTCAGATTGTATCCTTTTTATTTATGAACTGTTGGTCCCAATTCATGCCTTACACAGAATTCCATGTCATTTACTGTTCTCCTATGTTTTGATTTCCCTAGCTCCAATGAGTATTAAGTCCTTCTGACCCAGTCTCCTCGGAATTTCCTGAATCTGTCTCTGGTCTCTCCCTGCTTCACCACTGTCAAGGTTATGAACTTAGTCATCTCTTTCTTATTGTTTGTGACACAAATCAGTCCTCTTGCATAAGGACTGGTTTGCCTCAAACCTACCTTCATAAAACTAGTGTAATAACTTCCTGAAATCCAATCTGATTTAAAAAGCTTACCAAGGGTCTTGCCCTAATCTATTCTCCTGCCTCATTTTTAAGAAAGCTGTGTTCATACCATAAGTTTAGTCTTACTATATTTGAAGTAGAATTTTCTTTTCTTTTGCAATGTTAGGGATCAATCCCATGGCCTTCTACACATTAGGTAAGCATTCTATCACTGATCTATACCCCAAACTCGAGAATTTTATTGACAGACGTTTCTCTGCTTCCAAGTCACTTGACCCTGACTCCTGTTCACATTAAACTCTTTATAATTCTTACATACATCCTATGTTCCTTGCTTTTTTGATTTTGCTCATAGCCTCTCTGTGATTCTCCATCTGCCCATCTCTACCATTTAGACAGTTTTTTTTTCTTCTCTCTCTGTCTCTTTTTTTGGCAATACTTGGGTGTGAATTCAGGGTCTTGCGCATGTAAGGTAAATGCTCTACCACCTGATTCATGCCCCTAGCCCAGAATGAAAATTTATTTCATACTTTTTTTTTCTTGATGGTATTGGGTTTGAACTCAGGGCCTTCTACTTGCTAGGCAAGTGCTCTACCAGTTGAGCCACACTTCCGGCCCTACAGACAATTTACTCTTCATAAATTTTTTCCCACCTGTAAATCCAATTACTCAGGAGGTGGAGATCAGGGGGATCATGGTTAAAGGCCAGCCTGGGCAAAAAATTAGGGAGAACCCATCTAAATCAATAAGCTTGGGAGTGGTGGGGTACACCTGTGATCCTAGCTATGGGAAGAAATAGGTAGGAGAATCTTGGTCTGAGACTGGCCCCAGGCACATAAATCTATGAGATTCTATAGGAAAAATAACCAAAGCAAAAAAGGATAAGCATGGCTCAAGTAATAGAGTGCCTGCCTAGCAAACATGAGGCCCTGAGTTCAAACCCCAGTTCTACCAAGGAGTCTTTCCTGTTTATTTTGGTTAGATTGGGCAGTTCTCCTTGGAGAACTCATACATAGAATTTGCTCGTTCTATATATCTGTCTTTCTCTTAGATGGCTAACTCTTTAAGGGCAGGAACTTTGTCTTATTTAGCAAGTGCTTATAGCAGATTAAAGGAAAAGAAACAAAATGATCATTAACTAAATCAGAAGATTATACTGAGAAAAACGTATCATACATATGGTAGATTAAAATCACAGGTAAAACTCAAATATAGTTTAATCCACAATAATACTTATTCATTCTTACATGCAGTAAGAGCAAACATATACAGATATATTATGAACTACTTGCAAGAAAACATTAAAAGTAGATCTGGGTGATATATACAGGACTGAAGTACCAAGGCAAAACCCTGTTGGACTATCAATATACACTTCAAAAAAAAAAAAGGAGGGCAAGCGGGAAAAATAGGTCTTTTTTCTGGGGATGGGTACTAGTGGAAGACGGTGGGCATAAGGAAAAGGGGACTGAGGGTGAATATTGTGGGTATAACTTGTATTCATATATGCAAATAGAAGAATGAAACCTGTCAAAATTGTTCTAAGAAGGTGGGAAGAGAGAAAATGATGGAGGGAGTAAATCTAACCAAGATATATTGAAAGCACAGATGTAAATAACAAAATTTATTTCCCTATACAACTATTATATGCTATTAAAATCATAAAAAAGAATAGGCTTAGGGCTTGGGGCACAGCTCAATTATAAAGAGTCTGCCTAACATGCATGTGGCCCCGAGTTCAAATCACAGAACCACAAAAAAAGATATTCAAAAAGAGAATTTAGCCACAATTAAATACTTACAGTTACTGCTATAAGTGTTAAATGTTAAGATTATTACTTATTAAATAAAAGTTTAATATTTTAAGACAATCATAACATCTCACTGGTCATTTCTTCTCAGAAATTCACATTTTTAGATGAATAAACTGCTTAATTTTCAAATGCTCAATTTTAGGCAAACTTTAATTACTGATGATTACACTTTTGGTCCAAAGCTAACTTACACAAGTAATTCACGCCTATTTGTAAACACCACAGAAAGGACAACATTAGAGGCAGCTCAGCAGCAGAGCACATGCCAAGCACCTGCAAGAACCTGGCCTGAACCCAAACATGGGGACAGGAGGAGGACAACACTGATCTTTCTATTATTCTACTAAATATACGATTACTCATGAACTTAAATATGGAATACCTAAATATTTACTGAACTGTAATAAACACTTTCATAATAAATTCAGTTCTATTTTTAGTTTTTTAAAAGGGCATTTGTAATTGAAGGGATGTGTGTAATTTTATGTACCAGCAAACCTATTAGCTATTACTTAATTTCTCGTACTTGAGAAAATCAATATGGGTATTTATACCTGTACACTTACCATCTAACACAATTCCAGCAACTTCTCTTCCAACAGGGAAGAAATCTTTTTCCATTTTCATTTCTGCCAGAAGCTAAATCATGACAAAGGCTGTTACCAAATTATGTTCAAGAATAAATTATAAAGCATGAGGTGCAGAGTTTAAACCCCAATACTGCCACCCCCCCCCAAACTATAATAATAAAGAATAAATTCTGGACTTTCTGAGAAATGTGAAAGCAAAAATCAAGGCACAGAAAAAGGAACTGTGATTCAATTTCTGGAATTAAGGCAAAGCAAACAACTTCACAAAATAGTTTTCTCTATAGAAAAGGAAACAGAGATTGCTGAGGAATTAATTGGCATATAGGATTTAGGCATGAGTATTACGCCTCTGTTGTTAAGAGTCTTACTAAATTAGCAAGCCCTTGCCTTTTGAAGTAATGGAGTACACTAAGATAAGCCTGCTTTTAAGTTCTTGCCACTTATAGTAATAGCAGAGATGGTGAATATATTTGTAGATATCATAGCATTTATCTTAGGAATAGTAAATACAAAAATTGAAATATTCAAGCTGGACACTGGTGGCTCATGCCTTTAGTCCTAGCTATTCAGGAGGCAGAGATCAGGAGGATTGTGGTTTGAAGCCAGACTGGGCAAATAGTTCATGAGACCCTATCTCACCTGGTGGAGTGGCTCAAGGTGTAGGCCCTGAGTTTAAGCCCCAGTACTGGAGAAAAAAATAGAAATATCCTCTTATATATTTCATTTTTCAACTACTAAAAAGTCATATATGTATGTATATGTACATTTGCTTTCTAGAAGTCTGTCTTTCAATGTGAAACTTTATACTTTTCCAAGATGTTTATTTAACAGTCTTCTAGAAATGCTGTGTATTTTTTTCCTACACATTTTTACAGTTATAATCAGGCTTTAGCAACTGCATCCTGCTTCCTTCGCTTATTGTAAGCATTTTCCTACATTATACAGTTTTCATAACCATTATTATGTTAGCAGTCATGAACTATTTCATCTAGCTGAGTTTCTGTTATTTACCATTTCTTTCTGTTACACAGGGAGATTCTTAACCTATATTCAGATTTGAATAGATTCTTTTTTTTTTAATTTTTTAAGAGTATCTTCTGAACACAGAAGTCTGCAGACAAGGACTAGTACTGGTGAAAAGACTTCAGGGAATATCATTAATTCATTTCTCAAGTCATACTCATGTCGCAGTTGTCCAATGGTATACCACCTATAACCTTGTTCTATAATTTTCTCCTTTGACTTTATCCAAGAAAACTTTTAGGTTCCTAGAAATTACGGTAACACAATTTAATAAGGTAAGTTCTGATAAATTATAGTATTGCTACATATATATTTTAGTGAAACTGGGGTTTGAACTCAGGGCTTCAGTGCTTCCAAAACAGATACTCTATTAGTATTAATCTTCTAAAAACTGAGAAAAAGCCTGCTATGGGGGTTCATGCCGATAATTCCAGTACTTGGGAAGCTGAGGTGGGAAGATCATGATTTTAAGTCCAGCCTGGGTTACACAGCACTATCCTGTCTCAGAAAGCAAACAAGGGCTGGTGGAGTGGTACAAGCAGTAGAGCACCTGTCTAGCAAGTGTAAGGTCTTGAGTTCAAACCCCAGTGACACCAAAACAAAACAAACCTGAAAAACTCACCATGCACTACTAATTGTGGTACATCTAACCACAGTTTATTTAACATATGAAGGTATTTATGATAAATAGTGAACAATTACTATGGGGTGGTATTCAATTGGAGATACATGTTTATGACAGAGACAATGACAAAAGTATGAACCATATCTAAAGACATGATTCAATAGTTAATAAATCAGTTGATTAGGTTTCTAGTTTCTATTTTTATTGTATTCAATAAAGGTAATTTTCCCCTTGATTTATAGGCCTTACTAATTGTAAAATCAGCTTTTGGCAAAGTAAAGTAAGTTTATAAAATATTTTCACAGTGATACAAAATAAGTGATCTTAAATCAGACTAATAATTTATCTTAATGTAGAAAAATACAAATTCACATTAAATATTCTTCCTAACAATTCAATTTTTGTTAAGGATAATAAACTTTTTGGCACTCTGAAGTCAGTTCCCACTATATTTGCACATGAAACATGTTATGAAGCTCTCATTTGACTTTTGGTCATAATAAAAGCACCAATACCTTTGTATTTATCTGGCTCAGAGCACAAGCTTTAACTTGAACTTTCACAAAGTTATCTTCTGTAACAGGAAAATTTTCCTAGAGTCAAACGATAACAAAATAATGTTACATATTCCTCAGAGAACACTTCTTTATGTTGTGAAAATTTTCATACATAATTGAACAAAGTTAAAACTGACATTAAATCTTAGGGCTACATTCATTTTAAAACTACAAATAAGCCCAGTAGTGGTGGCACATGCCTACAATCCTAGCTACTTGGGAGGTTAAAATCAGAATGATTGAGGTTGGAGGACAGCCTGAGCAAACAGTTCGTGAGACCCCATCTTCAAAAAATGACCAGAATAAAATGGACTGGTGGTGCAGCTCAAGCAGTAGAATGCCTGCTCTGCAAGTGTGAAACAGAGTTCAAACTTCAGCCCCATCAACAAAACAAAACAAAAACTACAAATTATTATGCAACAGTATATAATCAAAAAGAATAAAGGAAATTTTGTAGTATAATTTATAAAAAGCTTTAGGCTCCATATTTTGAAAAGTACTCAGGTATCAGCATAGGTGTAGGTGTAGATAATAAACTTAGGTGAATAAAGTCAAGCAATCAATACCGTACTCCATTTCACCCTAAATAATCTCAAAGCATTTGAGATTTATAATCTCACACTTACAAGACATATCCTTACACAAACACACATTAAACACATACAACATACTGTCTTTAATAATTTTTGGAATTTTCTTAATGCTATAAATGAAATTCTTTAGAATCATTTTTTCATCTCTTTCTTTCTTTTTTTGTTTTTTCCATAGTTAGGTTTGGATTTGGAGCCTAGCTCTTGCTAGGCAGGCACTCTACCACTTGATCCAAACCCCCAGCCCTTCATCTCTTTCTTAACATCCATCTACCTTGGATGTTTCAGCATATTCCATGGGATTTGGGGGTTAAAATACAAAGTTAATGGAATTTAATTACCTCTCATATTTCACAATTATATAAAGCTTCAAAGGTCAAAAGACATTCCAAATTCAGATACTCAATGTCATTAAACCAGTATTATTAAATAGAATATCACCTCCTCCAAGTACCTACACTCTTATGGCACCCCCTAATTAAAATACTCTCAACTCCTCATATGCATAAAGTTAGATCAAAGGCTAGCAACGAATGACTCTTGAATAGCACCCCCATGACCTATCAAATAAATTATCATGTTTTGTTTGCCATAAACAGAATATTTTTTTAAATTTCAGATTTGATATTTACATATATATACATACATATGTATATATAATATTGATAAATTTGCAACTTATACTTGTATGAATCTGGAGACGATTTTTACTGAGACCTTCTTTATGAAGTCAAGTTGCTTGATATTTAGATTGCTAATCTAAATAATTTTGGAATTAGAGAAAGATGAGAGAAAAATTGGATTATATTCATGACCTAGAAATCTTGTTATTACTGTGAATTGCTCATATGCACACAGCATTTACTTATCCCTAAATTTACAATGAAAGGATTCTGGCTTGCCACAAACCTCTCTAATAATTACCAATACATAAAAATTTTACTGTTTATGTTTAAGTAGTAAAAAACTAAAGATCACTCAAAATTTAATGTATGAGGCAACTTTGGTATGCTCAAAATTTGTGTGGAAGTCCTGAGTTCAATCCATAGTATGGGCAGAAAAAGAAAAAAAAGCAAGAAAATTACGTGTAAGACAGTTTTTCAACCTCCTCCATTTCATAATACAAGTCAAAGTATTTTCTGAAATATGACTACGATCTGTAAACTTGCTTTATTGTGGCATTCAGAATAAACTGGTTTATTTCTTTTTCTTTCTTTTCTTTCTGTTTTTAGCAGTGTTAGGGATCGAATCCTGGGCTTTGTGTATACTGGCAAGCACTCTAGCATGGAGCTACATCCCCAGCTGACTTCAGTTGACTTCTGGTGTGGTTCACATCACTACCCGAAGGAAATACAACTCTTTTGTAGCAGCTCTTTAAAAAATACAGTCATACTACAATATAAACCATTTTCATATAAAGATTAAAGGAAAGCAATTTGGTGGGTTTCAATTAAACTTTTGCTCATTTAGTTAGTTTTACCCAAAATAACTAGTAAACATATCATTTAAAAGTGGGTCCAGGGCTAGAGGTATGGCTCAGGTAGTAGAGTGCCTGCCTAGCAAGTGGGAAGCCAAGGGTGCAAGGTCTCCCCCAAACCCCCTCCCAAGTAGGTCCATTATATATGGAAATATATGTCTCACTTAACGATTAACCAATTTTCTTACCCTTTCTTGAAATACAAATGTTATTTCTTCATTTGTGGAACCCTGTTGAAAATATAAGCCTTTCATAGTAGTGACCTAAAACAAACAAAAATACATGTAAACAAAGTCTTCGAAACCAAATGAAAGCAAAACTTGAAAAAGAGTGCTGGCAAACAATAAAATGACAACTGTAAATGTGGTCTTCAATCAAGCAAATTTAGATAATACTTCTTTCATAAAGTGATCAAATAAGGAATATGCAACATGTAGGTGGGGTAGTATACACCTGTAATCCCAGCAGTTGGGAGGCACAGGAAGGAGGACCTTTAGTTTAAGGCCAGCCTGGGCTACATAGCAAGGCCTTGTCTCAAAGAGGGGTGGAAAGTACAACTAAAATGAAAAAGTGAACAGCCAAGACACTGGTTGAAATTGTGACCCTAATTCTTCTGTAGCAGTCTATAAGCTTTTTAATGGAAGCATTTATAAGGGCATTCTTGAACTTATTAAAGCATCTTTAAGGATCCCACAGCTGTTTAATTTCTATAGTAATCATATTGCAAGACTATTTTTAATAGAAGTATAAAATACATATAGAAAAGCACACAAACCCTAAGTATACACCTTGTTCAATTTTAAAAGTAAATATGCTTATGTCACAGCAGCAGACACATCACCACTGTAACTTCGGAAGCTCCCTTCTAGTGGCTACCTTCCCTCCCTCACCTCAGGACACCCAATATTCTGAGTTTTAAAACGCAGATTCATTTTGTCTTTTTTTGAACGTCACAGAAATGAGTACATGCTCTTCCTTTATGTCTGTTCATTTCTGTCATTATGCTTGTGAGTTTCACTCATGCTGTTGCTTGTGGTCATAGACCATTCATTCTCTTTGCTATGTATTTTAGTGTACGAATAAGTTACTATATATCCATTCCACTATAGATAAGGCATTTAAATAGTTTTCAGTTTGAGGCTCTTACAAGTTGCCCTGTTAATAACATTTTTGTATACATATTTGGTGAAAGTTATTTTTGCATTTATTTTATGGATAAGGAAACTGCATCTCCCTACCCCTAACTGGGGACTGAACTCAAGGAAACTGAATCTCAAAGAGTTTAAGAGTCACATCTGAGAGACTTATTGCACCAGCTGGGCCAGAACTGGTACACAAACCAGATGCTACAGATTAATTCTAAAGTCATTACTTCTAACCATTATAGTATTTAATGATTTCCTATTGAGCTGCTAACATGAGCGGTATCACTTAAAAGGAGAATAGTTTATCCTGTAGGACTAATAATTGTGCTTATTGATAGAATTGGCTCTATAATTTGCAGGTCCCAGTGCAAAATGAAAATGTAGAAAAATTTATTCCCAAATTATTAAAATTTCCAAGTCAGCAATAGTAGAATATCAAACCAAGCATGAAGACCAGTGCTACGGCATGGGTCTCATGACCATGAAACCAGTCTCCACTGCTGGGATCTTAGTGGATCCAACTGGATTCATATAAAAGGTTTTAGTGAGTGCAGCTGAGCAGTAGTTGCTGCTTTCTAGGATGAGATAATCAAATGTTGGAACAGAATGTGAACATTTAAGACATGTATAGAAATAATGTACGCAGCACGTATCAACAAAATATGTAAAACAGGGTGAGTTAGGTAGACTGCTTAAATTAACCCTGCCTCTTTGGTTACAGAAGGTCTTAATTTATGTCCATGTGTAGGAGATACAGTGTGTATCACCTAGAACTCTAACTACTTCTGCCTAACTTTCAAAGCTCTTTAAAATGGATTCTCACTCTTTCTAATTTACCTTGCTCTACCCATAACATTCCAGCACAGAACCTGTTTTTTTTTTTTTTTTCCTTTTTCTTCTTCTTTTGGTGGTACAGGAGTTTGAACTCGGACCTCTCACTTGCTAGGCAGGTGTTGTACCACTTGAGCCACTCTGTCAGCCCTCAATACCAAACCTGTTTGATGCAGTCAGTTTGACTTCACACCATATGGTTATCACCTATGGACTTCCAGGCATGGCCTTTTCTCTGAGAATGTGCTACAGCAACTCTATAGATTCAGCTAAGTTAATAAAGCTCAAGTCCTACTGCCTCTACGAATCACCCTTGGTGACAGTTAATCTACCCCAGCTGTCCCATGCTTCTAGCTTTTATTCCATGCTAACAAACAATACCTTATTTTATTTACTAACTAGTGATATTCCCCAGCTACTGGATGCTTGGATGAATCAATATTTCTGCTATATATATATATTTTTTGGTTTGTTTGTTTTGAGGCAGGGTCTTGATATGTAGCCCAGACTGACTTCAAACTCTTGATCTTCCTGCCTCTGCCTTCTTTTTGGCAGTACTAGGGTTTGAACTCAGGGCCTCATGCTTACTAGTTAGGCACTCTACCACTTAAGCCATGCCTCCAATCCTCCCCCCCCCCCCGCCTGTCTTTTGCATGTTGGGATTACAGGTGTGCACCACCATGTCCATCAATAACCCTTACTATTAAATAAATAAATCTCTCTTCCTACCTAGTCTGGAGCTACTAGGGTTGCTTTTTCCAAGAGTGGAGCAATTCTACATTTACACCTTGATTTCAATTTCCCATTGTGATTATGGAAATCATTGTTTTCTCTGCTCATTGAATCATGAAACATTTGGCATATGGCCCAGATCAGCAGTCACATGGGCCATATACAAGGTCCCAATTTCAAAGACGGGGAAGATAACTGTTTATTTGTACTCTCAGGATCCCCTAAAGCAACTATCATATACATAATAAAGCCAATATTTTCAGTCAGATCATGCTAAATAGTTCCTCCAAATTAGATGAATATTGGCCTGGCTGATGGAAAAAAGTAAGGAGTACTTGGTCCAACTAAGAACTGTGTGGGATCAAAATGAGTCTGAAAGTTACAAAGTAAAGAAAGGGAGGTGATTTAACAAAAGTGGTCAGAAGGAAAGTGAGGAGGTATCAATGACCTGTTTTGCAGCCCCTTAAAAGGAATTCTGAATTCCCAGAAGTAAGAAAATCATAGTATAGGTGATACTAAAGGCCCACACGGTTTCTTTCTTTCTCTTTTTTTGGTGAGGGGATGGTACTAGAGTTTAAGTAAGGGTCTTGTGCTTGTAAGGTAGGTGCTATACCACTTGGGCCACTCCGCCACATGGTTTTTTAGGCATGGGTCCAGATTAAATAGAATTACTAAATCAACTGTTTACTAAAAATAGAAGTTAAAATACATTATATTTATCATTTCATGTCATTTCTTTTTTTTTTTTTTTTTTTTTGGTGACACTGGGGTTTGAATTTAGGGCCTCAAGTTTGCTAGGTGGGCACTCTACCACTTGAGCCACTCCAACAGTCCTTATCATGTCATTTCTAAGAAAGTTATGTAACTTCAAAATTATATGTCCTACTATAAAATCTGCTAAATCAAAACAGTGCTATACAAAACTTTCTTTTTTTTCCCTGCATTGTTGGGGATTGAACCCAGGGCCTTACACACATTAGACATGTTCTTGTCTGCTGAGCTACATGTACAGCACGAACCTGTTTTTAATAACAAATCTGTTTAAAAATGCAGCCTGATGCGCCCCGAGGGAGGCATACAGGTTTTATATTTTTAAAGGTGTATCAGAAGTTTTAAATAAATGCACTGAGGATTATAATGGCTACATGTTACACTAAAACATGTAGAAACAAAAATTAAGAAGATATTACCTAAAATAATTTTTGGTAAAAGCAGAAATTAAATACATGATTATAAATACTTCACCTTTGTTGTAACAGAAACAAGAACTTTACTGGCTCTTCTGCTACACTCAATCCCCTAAGGAGCTCATCTATTAATAATTGTAAATTAAACCTCCTCAGAGCATTCCTTACTATCAGGCCAAAAGTGTCCTGAGTATCAGATCAACCTCAAATTCAACAGACATATAACTGAACTGACATGTCCCTCAAACAAGATTCTTCTGTAATCTCCAGTCATCAGGGATATCTTAGATTCAGTCAAAACCCCTTTCTCTGAACTACATTATCAGTCATACTCTTTTCCTTTATGATGTCCTTCCTGGTCTGCTCACTTTAAGGGGCATCATCTAAGTATGGGTGATATCAGAACACCTCAATGCCTCAGACCTTTTGCTTTATTTTTCTCTACCATCTAATTCATCTGTTACTCCATGGCCCACTTAATTCCTGAATTTCCAATTCTTCTTCTCAGATACTCAAAAACTTATACCATCCAACATAACCTTTGCAATACTATGACTACTTCAGGTTCAGATCTTATAGTGTTTATAACTCACCTTTTAAAAAATTTATTTATTTATGGTACTGAGGTTTGAACTCAGGGCTTCACACTTGCTATGCAGGAGCTCTACCACTTGAGCCACACCTTCAGCCCATTCATTTTCATTTTTAAGAAAAGCAAAGGTATACTGCCAAGTAGTTTGGTTACAGTAAAACAGATAAAGTCAACTTTGAAATGTGTCCCCCATACATTCAATATGCTCACCATGCAGGGTGGTCTGTATTCAATACCTTATTCCCCATCCTATCTCTGGGTCTGTGCACCCAGAATTATAACAGTAGATGGATTATTAAAGGGAAATCTTCAGTTATATTTGACCTTTTGGGAAGATGTGACTTAATATTTAACTTTAACAGTATTATTTATCCATGGGACTTTTCATACATATCCACAAATCAGAAAAAGAAATACATCTAACCATGGCTCCAAAAATCTGATTAAAAAACATGATCAGTGTAATCAAAGTAACTAGCTAAGATTTGGATCAAATACTGTATTTTGCAGGCTGTAGAGGAGGGTAGTGCTAACCCAATATACCAGGCCAGCTGTGTCTTAAGAGAGGCAGATGCATTGTCATAACAGCTAGAGACTACTTCTACATTGTGTAGGCAACACTCTCTAGAAATCTGCATACTCTAAGGACACTTTGAATGTGCCATGGATACCCAGGTGTTTTGTTGCGAACAGCTTCACCGCTCTTCTGAGCCTGTTATAAGCTATGAATGACAGCAGCTTGCACTTGGCTAAATTCTGGAAAGCAACTCTACCAAATAACCTGTTTTAAGAACTTTCTACTTTTATATTTTAGGTATTTAAAACTAAAAAAAAAAAAAGAAGGAAAATGAAGTTGTGTAGTTCCTACTCTAGGAGTTTAAATATGCTGGATACACAGTTACGTGGGCTTCATACAGGGGATTTCAGCATCAGATGAATGGAACAGGAGGATCAGATGACTGTTAAGGTCTCTTGTAATTATGACAATCCACCCCTCTTTCTCTGACTCTGTTTTTGTTTTTGGCAACAGAATCTTGCTATTTAGCCCAGCTGGGGCTTAAACTCTCAATCCTCCTGCCTTAGCCTCCCTAGTGCTAGGTTTATAGGCCTGTACCACCATTACCTGGCTGACAATTTAGATATGAATATTACCAACACATGTACAACTGACTTTATGTATAAAGTCACATACATTTGTGGCATAATCTATTTTGTGCAACCTAAGTACAAGAGATGGTTGGAGAAGCAGAAAAAGAAAATTATCTCCTTTTGATACAGACTTTAGACAGAAGAAAAATAAAGGCATTTGCTTGGAGATGTCAAATATTTGCTCATCTATTTCAACAGGTGGTTCCCAACATTTCCAACATGGGCCTATGAACAAGGAAGCTCCCAGCAACTTTGCCTGAATCTCAATAGTTTTTGAACACCTCCCCCTACTCTCCATGACAGTTTTACTTTATTTTGACTTACAGAATCCATTTCACTGAATAGTCTTGCATTTCTAGGCAGGTGTTTTACCGCTTGAGCCATTCCGCCAGCCCTAGTCTTGCATTTCTTACATGAAATACTCCTTACCAATACCAACAGGGAGATGGAAGATGGTGGGTTGGAAAGGTGGGAGATTATCCTAAAGACTGGAAATCTCTGCTCCAGTTACTATTCCAATATATTGCCATTTTTGTATATAGTATGATCCAGAATAACAAACTTCAATTTTCACTTACATTTCTAAATTAGCATATTTTCCTACATTTTGCTATTGGGGAAAAATGGAGCCAATGGTGTGATGAAGTCTTCCCTTACTGACTTCTCCATGTGACACTGAAACAATGCAGGTGGGGACTGGTGGAGAGTGACGCGAAATTGAGAGATCCCCCCAATCTCTTATCACACTTTCTCCTTCCTATCCATTAGAAAATCTCTGCCTACTAAGCATTATTGCAATCTATAAATATTTATTTCATTTCCTAGTTCACTATAGGGTACTGATGAAACCATTTCTTGGTTTAAATGAAATAAACGCATTGTTCCTCAGGGAGATTCTCAAATGAATGAAGACTCCTTATTGCTAGATAAGTACTGGTCCAGAGGTTTAAGGATCACCTTCAGGTTTTCACGTCTTCTTCAATCTAGAGTTTTAGTTTCAATTGAGCATCACCACCAATTATCAGGCACCTTGATCTTACATGGGAATTCTCTCTTCCAAATCTGAACACTTCATCCCCTGCTGCGAACTAAGCATCAATGAAGTGAAAAATAGTCATACGAGGCAATAGTGGTTGATGGATAGAATTTAGAAGTCTTAAGTGACCCTGAATTGAATCTACAGTGATCTGCAAGGGTTGCTACAAGAATTAAATATAGTAAGATGTGTAAAGCACTCATTACAAGACTTACTTTCAATAATGTTATTTTTACTATTATTTCTGTAAGTTTGGCAGAGAACCTCTAAAGTAGTTCTGACACCCACATAATAGAGAAGCTAAGGGTTGGTCACTTGCAACCACACTGTTAACCCGTTTGGATTTCTACAGTGGCCCATTCTATCACCTGGATCTGTATAGTAGCAGCCAACAGCCACAGGTGGCAACTAAGCCCTTGAACTGTGTGTAGTTAGAATTGAGATGTGCGCTAAGTGTAAAATGCACATGAGATTCAAAAGACTTAACATGAACAAAATATATATGCTAGCTCATTTTAAAATATTTGATTTTGCATTGATTTTGGATATACCGAGTTTTAAAAAACCATAAAATTAATCTCGTTTCTTTTCGATTTCTAAATGTATCTAAGCGGCTCCCATTGTATTTGTTTTCGTGTATTTGTTTTTGATGTACAACCTTGCTACTTATCGCACCTGGGAGCTCGTGAAAGACGCAGCTGTGAGGTCCAGACCTACAAAAATGAGTATCTCCACTTCAACAGGCTCAGGAGGTGATTCTTACGTAGGGCTCCAGGCTATCACGCCGTTCAGCTTAAAGAAGAGGGCAAATCTGGGTTCATGGCCACATAAATGCGGATACCCTTGCTTTAGGAAGGAAAAGTGAAGGGGGAGAAAGCTGTGGCAGAGGAGTAATGGAGAAAGAAAAAAGAAACTGAATTACAAGGGGGTAAAAAAGGTAAAGGGAAAAAAAATTCAACGTGGTAGAAAGGAACGTCCAAGACCTTTGTCTCCATAAATGTGGAGAGAGACGGAAACAGATAAAACGTACAATCAAAACCTATAAAGGGCCAGGAAATTGCTCGTCAAATTTGGTCTCACCCGCCCCTCAGCGGCCTCAGCTAAGCTAGGCCTGAGCCCGAGCGTGTCTGACGTTGGGAAGCAACGCGAACCACCATCTTTCCCAACCCAGACAGTTCCTTCGCGCATTTCTCCATTTTTCGGCCAAAGCCCGGTTTCCCAAGACGCACAATGAGCTTCCCCAGGCTCACCTGCTTCGGGACAGTCCCAACCGCCAGCGCCTTCGCCACCGCCACCTTCCAGACCTTCCGCAAGAGTCCACCCCCTCGGGCCCAAGTGGTGCTTCCATTGGCCTGTCTGCCCGTCACTCCTGTAGGTCGGGCTCAGGGAGGTTGTGGACAACGCCATAGCAACGGCGCTCAGAACTACAACTCCCGACATGCTCCGCTCTGTAGCGAAGCGAAGCACCGCCCAGAGACCGCCAATAAGTGGGCTAAGTTGGAGTCGTCTGGGTGGGTTCCGTTTTATGCAAATTTGAGTTAAAGGACACACCCTTCCTCGTTCCAACCATACTCTTGCCACCTTCCTCGGGCTGTGTCTCGTCTCGCCTTTCGTCCCCACATTATTCTCCTCTGTAAAACCTTCCGTAACTTAGTTGAATGCATCTTGGCTACTGTCTAGCACGGCAAAGAACAGAAGCACCGAATCGTAAAACAAAATCGCTATAAACCCTAGACCAGAAACCTCTGGTTAAGACTTCGTGGGAGGCGTGCTGATTGGTTTATCCGGCTGTCACCCATTCTCTTCGGCTCCCCCTCTTTCCGCTCCCGCGGCGGGCGGAGCCAAATGTGGGGGGGAGGGGGCGGAGAGGAGGCGTGGCCTCCCTCCAATTGCCAGTCAGTTGTCCCCGCCCACCTGTGGGCGGAGACGGAGGGGTGGATGGGGGCGGGAGAGGCTGCCGAGGGAGATGAGGAGATAGGCGGGAGCGAGGGAGCTAGGGAGCTAGGGAGCGAAGGAGGTAGAGAGGAGTGGAGGAGCGCGGGGAGGGAGCGCAGCTTGGTTGCTCCGTAGTACGGCGGCTCGCGAGGGAGCATCCCGAGCGGGCTCCGGGTCGGCGGGGAGGCAGGCGGGGATGGTGTGCGGGGCTGCGGATCCTGCGTCCCTCCCCGCGCGCGCGGCGTGTGAGGGGCACTGATTTGTGTCTGGGGCGGCAGCGCGCACCCGCCCGGAGATGAGGTGAGGAGCGGGCACCCGGCGGCGGCCTGGACCGCTGGAGGCGCGCGGAGGCGGGGGTCCGCGCGGGAGGTCGGCGCGATGGCCGCCCGGGGCTCCGGTCCCGCGGCCCGACGCGCGTGCCTCGGGCTGTCCTTCGCCCCCGTGCCGCGCGCCCGGGAGGCTCGGCAGCTGCTGCCTCTTCGCCTCGTCCTTCTCGTCCTCCCTGGGGGCGGTGGCAGGGGGCCCGGCGGACGGGCGCCGGGAGGCCGGGGCGCTGCGGCGGGGCCGTGGGGGTGGCGGCCTCGGGACGGGCTCGTGTTGAATGGGCTCCCTCCCGTCCTCCCGAGGGGACATCAGGGGCGGGCGGTCCTTCCCAGGCTGACCTCGCTGCCCTCGGCCGCCGGAGGGTGGCGGGCCGGCCCAGCCTCATTCCTCGGCAGCCTCCCGGGGAGCCCGAGCTCCGCAGGGGGCGGCATCGTCTGTCCCCACCCCCCTCCCGGCCTCCGGTCCCCGGGCTCATCCTTTTCATTCTCTCTCGCGTGCCTGCACAATCTGTCAGTGAAGGGCAGTCAATGCCGTTCGGCCCTAAGTGGTGCGGCCGGGCTGCCTCCGATGGCATTGCACCGAAAGCGACTGGCTCCCCTTTGCAGTGTGAGCGCGTCCCCGGGGCTGCCGCCTCTCCTTCCCTTCTGGACGCACCGACTCGGGTTTCTGGTGTGGACCCAAGGCTCAATTGTGGTCTCCTCTTGGGTTGGATGAGGAAATGTAGTCCGGATTCCCAGAAAAAGGAAACCAACATGGAATAGGCTGTACCTTCCTTGGGTTCTGTTTGCCTTTGATTTGGAAGACAACTTCGTAGGTCACATTTCCTAAGAGCAATCTTTTGTTGTGATTCAGACTAAAGGTTTTGCTTTTGAAGAAATAGACTAGTGGCTTTCACGGTTGAGTTGGAGAGGATGGAGATTTTCGGTAGCATCTCAAATATGAAAGTTTTCTTTCTAACTTCAGAAAGCAGAACCAACCTGAAAATTTAAATGTATGCAGACTCTGGCCAGATGCGGTTCTTTTGTGCTTATATCTGTTTGGTATCTTTCTCCCTACTTCCGTGGTCAAAAACATAGAGATAATCAAAACAAATCCAATAAAAATATACACAATAAAAATAAATATGATACAAACAAGTGCACCTGGAAAAAATTTATTCTGTCAGCGGGGAGGCAGATTTACTAATTCCGTTGAACGGATGAAGAGAAAGGCTTAGAGCTAGCTCATGGATTATGTAGTGGACAGGATGTGAGGGCAGAACCGGGGCCGGGAGCCAACAGGGCAGCTGGTTCGCATGGTGTTACTCGAAACCCCCCAAATAGAAGGAATATATTTGTTGGGATGCCTTTGTTTTTAGATGACTTTAAGGTTCAGAGTGCAAAAGCTTAAACGCCCCTTCTAGCTAGCTCTGAGAATAAACTACTGGGATTGTTTAAAATTTTTTTTCTAGTTTGTTTTTTCAGGAGTTTGCTTACAACTAAAACATTTTTAAAAAATGGAAATTCTTTCTGCAGGTTTGTAAAGAACCCAGGAACTTTTAAGTGATCCTAATTAAGAAATGATGGGTATTGATTTAGTGATGGCATGAAAAATATTTAAGTAGCCCAGTAAGGAGCCTTTCTGATACTACTTTTTTTAAAAATTGGTATTTCTTTATCCAAGAATGTATCTGCTAAAATTGCTGACGATCATGGCACCTTCATGAAACTATTATTATTCTGCCTGAGTAAGAGAGGAAATGAACAAATTTTTAATGTACTTTGGAACCCTGTGGATTGTTCAGATACTAAGCATTGTGAAATAGGGCATAAAATGAGTGGTAGCAAGTTAGTTCCCTGAAATGTTTGTCCCTCTTAGCATTTTTTTTTTTTTTAGTTGACTAGCAATTTCCTTTTTTCTTTTTGCTTATCTCTAGTGTTGATAGAACTCTGGGTATACTTTTTTTTTTTTATCAATTCCCCAAATGCCTAGATTGAGAGACACACCCTCAAAGCTCTTAGAAGAGATTAGGGGGAAGTGCTGGTTGAATTTCTCTACCCTCTGTTTTTGGGGGATTGGGAGAAGGAGGTGGGGTGCTGGGAATTGAACCCAGGTCCAGGGGAGTGCAAAGCACACGTTCTACCACTGAGCTACCTATCCCTCCACACTCTTCTCTCCTTTTTTTTTTGTTTTTGGTGCTGGTGGTTCAAACCGGATTTTGTGCATGGGAGGCAAGCATTCTACCACTGGGCTGTGTCCCCAATCTCATCTTTTTAATTTGCTAAACTTGTGAATTACAGAGAATTAGTTACAATGACGGTTGGGTTTGTATCACTCAGTTCAAATTCTGCTACCACAGAGCTGTTCTCTTTTGAATGTCTCCCTCCTGAATGGTTCCACTTACTGGACTTCAAGTCTCTTACATCAGCATTAAATGAAGTTCTTACTGAAATACAGATTTCTGTCACCTCACCTCAGAATCAGATGCTGGGAGATGGGGCCTGGGAGTCAATATTTTCAACACGTTTTCCATGAAGTTTTCCTGAGCAGTAAAGTTGAAAAAAATGACATGGTGCTTCTTTCTCACTGAGCCTTTCCCTAAGACCATCTCCTGAACTGGATAGCACATTTTTTGAGTGGCAGAAGTTTTATGCCTTAGGCTACAATTAAAAACTACTGGTGACCAACAGCTATGGTAATTGTACCTATAATAAATGTTTCAGAAGGGCAGAAACTTTGGCTTACCTTGGTATATCTAGAGACTAAAACAGTGCCTGGAGGAACTCAATTAAATATTTGTTGAGTGAGTGAGTGAGCTACATTGCAGTGTGACCAGTTTTTTAAGTCTGCTTGCCAAATTGATTGCATCATGTAATAATCACTAATTTTATGAATTAGGAGTAACAAACACTATACCTCAGTCATTTCTGTAAGCTTGGTTAGTGTTGAGAATCTTTTCCCGAGCATGGTATGTTCAAGGCAATCAGCTGGAAGAAGACTCCTTGCAAAATGGTAGCTAAGCTGTGTGAGGGTGGCTCATGCCTGTAATCCTAACTAGTCGGGAGGCTGAGATCAGGAGGATCGAGGTTCAAGGCCAACCTAGGCAAATACTTCATGAGACACTCCCCCACCCCCATCTCCAAAATAACCAGAGCAAAATGGACTGGAGGTGTGGCTCAAACAGTAGAGAACCATGAAGACCTGAGTTCAAAAAAGAAGTTCCTTAGCGACATAAAATATAAGCTAAGATTACATGTAGTAGTAAGTCACTTATTATCATTTTGTCATTACCATTTTATAAACTATGATAACCCCCAAATTTAGTTTCCAGACAATATAGACAATTGATGTGGTTTTTAATTTTTCATGCTAATAAAATATGACCTGTACTCCTTTTTTAGAGCCCATTACAGGGTTCTAAAGATTGTAGGCAGGGGTTGAGTTGTTAAGGGTATGAATGAACTCTGGAGAATATTGGATTTAATCATACATTATCAGTGACTGATCTAGTCACCTGACCTCTCAATGCCTAACTCAGTTTTCTCAGCTGATAATGAGAAGAAAAGTAGTAAAGTTAAAATGGTTTTAAGTGCTTATATAAATTCTGAGACACATCTAGGTAACATTGATAATAAATAATAGGGGTACATAAATATGTAAAAGTCAAAGCTAACTCATTTAGTTTTTGTACTATAGTACTTTATGGTAGTAAGGAGAAACCCACTGCTTAAGAAGTCTCTTACTAACTTCTTGGTAGTAAATATGTATGTTTTTTAAAAAATTGGATAACTAAACAGTAAGTACTTAATAAGCTAACAAATACATGAATATAAGTTTTAAAATAATGATCACTTTCAGCTTAATTGCATTACCAATCTCATAATTAGTTTATGATGAACAGCTAATATTTCTTGTATTAAAAAGTATTGCAGGTAGAGAAATTTAAATACAGATAAGTAAACTGCCTGGAAGTCCCTTACCTAAGTATGTATCTCTTCAGATCCTTTTTTTGTGTGTGTGTGTTGCTATTGTATATAACTTTTGGTAACAAAAATGGTGTCGTAGACAAGCACCAGTGGCTCAAATTTGTAATCCTAGCTACTCAGGAGTCAGAGATCAGGAGGATTGAGGTTTGAAGCCAGCCCAAGGCAAATGCTTTGAGAGACCCTGTCTTGAAAATACTTAACACACACACAAAAAGGACTGGCAGAGTGGCTCAGGTAGTAGAGTACCTGCTAGCAAGCATGAAGCCCTGAGTTCAAACCCCAGTACCACAAAACAAAACAAAAATGGGGTCCTGCTATATATGTTTATTTTCTAATTTGCTTTTTAAAAAAATATTTTAAATTTTTTCCATTCTGTATTGTCAATTATATAGTTTTAGAAACTGAAAAACATTCTACTTTACATATCTATGAGGTATTAACAAATATTTTAAACGTTAATTTTGTTTCCTTTTTCACTCTATTGCTGTCAGTGATCCTACAAGGACTATTCTGCATACATTTCTATATCTACTTGTAAGGAATTTTTTTTAACATTAAGAAAGGTTTCTAGTAGTGGAATTGTAGACTCAAAGGATATGCTGAAGTTGAAAGATTTTTGATGCCTGTTTCCAATTTGCCACTTAGAAACGTTGTAGCAGTTTATACTCTTACAGTGGTATATGAGTGTTCCATTCTCCCCACTCCTCCTACACCACACTTTTTGGAATGACTTACCCAGTGACAAACCTAGTGAATTTTTTCTTTTAGGAAGAGAAGTGGCTTATTAGTATAGCTAGCTTAGGAGCAGGATCTGGAAAGTCAGTAAGTTCATACACCTGTAATAGTGATAGCAACTTCAATCAAGCGCTGCACAGCAGTTATGTGTGCTCACTTAACCTTCACAAAATCTCTCGTTTTACAGATGAACATGCCTTCAAAACTGAGTTGTCAACAGTTAAGTAACTTAGAGAGCCAACAAGTAGCTGGGCTGATTTTTAACCATAGAATCCAAAACTCCTAGTCTATTTTCTGAGCATGTTTATAGGCACTTGGGTACTTTTTATATTTCTGAATTTTGTTGCGGAATAACTTAGAGGTCTTTGACATGTATTAATGCATATATTAGTTAGGTGGGGTACCAATTTGAATCCCTCATTGAAGAGTTGGTTATGTAAGTTGGCTCACAAATGAGCCTTGCCAACTGTCTGGCATTCATCCCTCAAAGCAGTCTTGTTATTTTTTATTCTGTAGTGATTTTCCCAAAGTGCCACTGCATAAAGGACAGGATGGAGTGATAGAGAAAACTAGTGAAGTGTGATAATAGTTTACTAGTGGTGTGGATTTGCCTTGGAACACAAGACTACAAGAAGTGTGATGAGGAAGATAGCTGGGAGTCTACTCAGGTCCATTTCCGTGTTGGCCAGTTTGGAGATTTGAAATAGCCTTTGAAAGTTTCAGGAATGTGAAGACCTCAGTGTAGACAGATGTTACGGATCCACGAGAGATGGTTTAAAAAATGAACCAAAAGCTGGGTGTCAGTGGCTCATGCCTGTAATCCTAGCTACTTGGGAGGCTGAGATCAGGGGGATCAAGGTTCCAGGCTAGCCTGGGCAAATAGTTTGAGAGACCCAAGCTCCAAAATAAGCAGAGCAAAATGGCCTGGAGGGGTGGCTTAAGCAAAAGCTTTGAGTTCAAACCCCAGTCCCATCTAAAAGAACCAAAAAGTACTTCTATTAAGCTGGGTGTGGTGGCCCAGCCTGCAATCCCAGGACTCAGGAGGTAGAGGCAG